ACAGAAAATATACGAAAGAGCAACCATTATATTACCCAAAAAAAAGGTAGAAAAATACTTAATGAAGAAGAAAAAATATTTACAAAAAAAAGTGAAAATACCTATAGAGGTGTTTTTTCACTCATCAATAGGCTACCTTACGAAAGGAAAGGTTTAATCGAAAAATCCTCATTTAAGCCGCGAGGAGCTCTGGTGTTAAGGTAATGTACCCAGTAAAGTTCTCGCTGGAGAAGGAGTTTCTCGGTGTCTCCTCTCCTTCTTCTCGGAAGAACCTGTTCCACACCCACATAGCGGAGAGAAGCAACAGGATGATTAAATTTATTAAAGTGTCTGGCGACTGAGCTCTTTTCATCTCCAGTGCGCATGCCACTGCGATGTTCTGCAGTACGAGTTTTTTGTGTTTTCCCTTCATAGGCCAGTCTACAGGGGCACTTAAGTAAATAAATGACGTTAGTAGTAGAGCATGTTATTTTTCCTTTTATTCTGATGGTTTTTCCACTAATATGATGGTTAAAATGAGTCATTTCGTTGGTGAAATTGCATTGTGTGCAAGAATTGCACCTGAAATTACCCTGGAAACTGTCCAGGAATGTGACTGATTTTTTAGGTTTGTGATCTGAATTAACCACCCTGTCACCTATGTTAGGGGCTCGCCTGTATACCATCTGTGGTGGAGATTTAAATACCTTATCCAGAGATGGATCAGCGCTCAGGACATGCCAGTGTTTGATGATATTTTCAATTTCTTTCGCTTGTGTAGAGTAATGTAAAATGCAATGTATGGGGTTCTTATTAGGTTTTTTGGCAGTTGGTTTGAGACAATCCTCCTGTGTTTTTTTGGAATATATATCCTGTGCCTTTTTAATGGCAGTATCTTTGTAGCCCCAGTTTTTTAGTTTTTGTTTTAAACATGTGCTCTGTTCTTCATATGCCTCATCTGACAGATCCCCAAAAGTGAAGCCAAAACATCTGGATCACCCCCTGGTGGCAGGCTGTAGTACAGGTCATAAAGCCCGCCTACTCCATGTGAGTGGTGGGACATGGGCCAAACTAAAAACTCAAAGTACAACTAAATGTTTTACCAAAGATGGTGTGTGTCATTTCAGGTAGCCGTTATCACACTGTTGTATGTTCAAGTGTTAAGTTTGAACTCAACATGGCAAAGATGGCAACTGCGCAGTCTCTGGCTGCAAATGACGTCACCGGCGTAAGATGGCAGCGGCCGTATCGGGATATTTTGGCTTCATTTTTGTGCAGTGGGGGTAAGTGCAGACACATCATACGTCTTTGTGTACAGTCTATGACCATGGGCAGCACGGGTGTGACATTTTGATGACGTATTATGTGTGTGAGCCATTGCAGGTTATTTAAAAAATAGCTAGCAGCAGTTAGCAGCTAACCCACGAAGAACAGCATCCAAAAATGTCCGCAAATTGGGAAAACAATGAAGTCCAGGAGCTCCTTGCCCTCCGAGCAGAGGACGAGATCATTCGCTATATAACAAGGGATGGCAAATGACTGTTAATGCTATGTCAATGCCACTGTTATTATTAATAGAGCACTGCGGACACGTATATGTCACACTAGAGACTGATACTGTTGTGTTAAATGTCATGCCCTTCATGCCTCTTTTGCTTCCGTGATGCCAGCATGCTGTTTAAAATCATCACACACTGGAGCAGAAAGATGCTGCCATTGTTTGTTTCTGTGCAAAAATGCAAAGACAGCATAAAGAAGGGACTTCATAGTTATCCTATAGGGCAACCTCTGTGTTCAAAGGGCCAGAGAGACAAGAGACAGTCTGCGAAATAAATGAGTCAGAGACAAGTGTTTTCACGTGGCATCCCCCTGTTAAAGGAGCTATATGTAAGAAATCTAAAGCAAATAGTCGTAAATTCATCCTAATATGTCACAGAGACTAAGGAATAATGTTCATATAACATACTGATCTCACCGACAACAATAGTACAGCCAGAATATTCGCATTTAAAAAAAAATTTACGGCCTGCAAATCATGTTTATGTTTTGAATTTGTGTTTTGGCCTGTTGCGCCACCCACCGACCTACCAACCAGTCACGCAGTCAGTGGAGTCTCAGCATCAGTTACAGTTACGACTGAGCTACAATGGCTGACGGTGCGACTAAACCCAAACGACCGTTATGATTCCCAAAAATGCCAAGACAAAACTCGAGGCAAAGCGAGGGTCTATATAGGAGATGCTTTTGAACGGTGGAGACTGTTGAAAGCGGAGAAGAATTTGAAATCAGATATCAAAGTGGCTACTCTTCTCCTCGACAGGTAAGCTTTAGCCAAAGTTGGCTAACTAGCATCATAGCTAGACAGGGATGGACATTTCGAATACTTTCAACTGTTATTCATTTTCGATCATACATTGTAGGCCATGTGCAGGTGGGTCATCGACCCAACTGATTTTTTTGAGAAACAAACATTAGCAGCATGGCAAGCAGCATTAGCAGCGTCCTGGTACATAGCATTAGCAGCCGGCTCCTCCTCAGCTGTAGCAGAGAAGCCGGACTTGCTCGAACGGCCTGCTGGAAAACCAAAGATCAAGGACGCGGCCACGGCAGCCGCCCGTGGGCAAACAAATCACCCCCAATTTCCACCAGATGCGTGTTGGTTGCGTCTCCACTCCAGTACGGCAGCGGAGCTGATAGGCTTCAATTCTAGTCAATGTGTGTGTTTCCACCAGCTGCGGTTGTGCTGCGTTCCGGCTCCGTCTCAGCTGCGACACTCCGGAGTCCTCTGCAACAGATACGCAGGACTTCTATTTTTGCTGGACCCCGGAGCACAACGCAACAATTCAGCACAGAGCAGCAACCTCGAACCTGTAGGGGAGGGGGGGGCGGACACGACTCGCGGCAGTATTTTGAATTTGACTGCAGTAACCGTTTTGGCCACATTCTTAAATACAGCGCCTTTAACAATTAACAGATTGCCCACTGGACACTGCACTTGTGATTTTTTTTTTACCTCAGTTTGCTGATGTGTGTCTCAAAATGACTTCCAAAGCCTTAACAAAGCCTTATGCTATCTGATGTTTCAGATAATTGCACTGGGAATATTATGACATGACATATAACTCGCTGTGTGTGGAAGTTATTAATAAGAATATGAAGAATGCTTCACCAATAAGGCTGTAGCATTCATGATTATGAATCATCGTGAATGATTAAACCCAGTGGTTTACATAACATTCATTATTAGCATGAGATTAATGAATCATGCTGTCGCCAAGAGCTCATATGGGGAGGAGAGATGTGAAACCAGCCAGCCATGATACATGTAATATATGCTTTGATATTTTCTGTGTATAATTCAAGACTGGGAGACAGACTACTTATAGGATAAATGTCCTCTGCACAAACACAAGCTCTGTATTATTAGTAAATGACAGACAAATGGGAGCCTGAGTAAATAGTTGCTAAAACACCCTGAAGCTCTCTGGACCGTGGCTCTGAGTCACCCTGCTCTGCTCCCAGAGGGGGTAGTATTGTATGATCTCTTGGTGAGAGTCTACCACTGTGGCTCCATCATCCCAATTCATTCACAGAGCCAGGTTTCAAATGTCACATCCTGGGCGCCAAGAACCGGGCAAATGAGTAATGTCTCTCTTTGTTTTCTAAGCAAAATCACATTCAGCTTTTGGCATCTTAATAAATCATGAAAGAAGAGTGTGGTGGAGGACAGCGATGCAAATGTGCTTTTCAAAGTGGGGGTCCAAGCAACAGCAATAGTTGAATTTATTAATTATTTAACTCCTTGGATGCACAATCACAATGAGAACATGTATGATGACGACTATCCCACCCTGATTATGTTTCACTGCACACACTGTTGTTATCACTCCACCCATAGCTGTGAAAGCAATGCAATTCTATAGCCTCTTGAAGCCTGACTGAGAGTCTTTTCTGTTTGAGCACCCCCTCCAAGGTAAACCTCATCAAAATGGGGCCCATGAAAAAGTTTTGGAACCACTGATGCACCTTGGATCAGTGTGCGTGTGTGTGTGTGTGTGTGTGTGTGTGTGTGTGTGTGTGTGTGAGAGACAAAATAGAGGGATTCCGTATGGCTTCACGTCAGGAAGGTCATCATGTAGCCCCGAAACGTGCCTCTCTGACATGGAGAGTAAGGCACGTGGAACTCCATTAAAAATCTGTCATTTTTAATTTGTCGTGTTTAGACTCAAAGCTACACTCGCGAAATAATAGGTCTTAAGATGTTTTCTGATTGTCAAGAGACCACTGTTCAATTCGGCATAAGTCCAATACATCAAGAAGAAACTTACTGCAGTTAAAGTACACTTTTATTGAGGATTAACTCTGATCGCCAGTCCGTCTTTTGAGCGAAGAGGACTGAGGACGACCAGTTGAAAAAGTTAAAATTGTATTAAAATAAGACATACTATGATTATTAAAGTGATGCCGAATTAAAAAGTACGCTATAAGGACTAGAATGATTTCTTAAGTCATCTTCTATCTAAGGTGCAAGTCCTCCAGCGGTTGAAGAAACTCCTAAATGCCAGATTTTTAAAGGGGGTTCGGCGCAAGGTCTCAAGCCAGTGCCACATAACGGCGCGTATGGGGTCTTCAACACATCGATATGATGCTTCCTGCACGATAAAATGCTTGTGAAATAAATCAATCACTTGAACAGATCGAATAAATGACGTTAACTTAATTTGTGTTTGATTTTCGCTTCAGTAACTAATAATTCACCACAAATATTAGGAGACCGGGGTTCATGGAAACGAAATTGGAAATCCGACCACTCGCCACGCAGACAATCGATGAGCCATGTAAAGCGGATTTGCGTTACACACCACACACCAAATGACATTAACGCCAATTTTTCATCGGTGAAAAAAAGGCAGAGTGTGAAAATGTCTGAAACCGCGACGTTAATGGAGAAATAAGAGGTTTAAAACAGCGCAAATTCCTCACGGCACTTTGGTTCAGCGGGGGAACAGAGGATACCTTACCTTCTCATTGAGTCGAAGGATTTGGTCCATTTTGTCGTCGTTTTGTAAAAGCTCCCTCAGCTCACTTGTGCTCAAAGCCCTGTAGCCGTCAGGACAAGAGTTGGACTCCTTCAGACCGGACATTTTATTCATTCAAAATGCGGCTGGAGACGGTTTAGGAAACATAAAGTCTGCACAGCGGTTACATCTCGCTCACATTGGAATGCGATGCGATCAGCCCGCATGCAGCGTCAAGACAGAGACCGTCACACTTCCTGTCAGCTCCTTCAAAATAAAACACGTTTCCCGCCTCGAGGCTCTCGAGTATGCGGAGGAGTTTGTGCAGCAGTGAGCCCCCTCAGTGTTAATGATACACAGGGCCGGATTATTGGACAATGGGCCCCTGGGCACATATATGTGAAAGGCCCCTCCACCTCCTCTACACAGGAGGAAGACACACAGAATGTGAGGTGGTTTTGAGTCTCTTTGTAGACGTCATGTATGGTTTTGTCATTTTGTGTCTCTTTGCTCATTCTTTGCATCTCATTGTGGTAGTAGTTATTGTGTGTCTTTCTGGTTGTTTTGTGTATCTTTGTTTTTGTAGTTATTTTGTGTCTTTTTGATGTCTCTTTGTAGTCTTGCTGTGTCTCTGTTTTTTCGCACCTTTTTGTAGTGTTTTTGTGTCTCTTTGTACATCCTTTGCATCTCTTTGTGGTCTTTTCGTGACTCTTTTTGTAGTAATTATGTGTCATTTTGGGGGTTTTGCACCTTTTTGTAGTTTTGTGTCTCTTTGTAGTCATTTTGGGACTCTTTTTGTAGTTATTGTGTGTCTTTCTGGTTGTTTTGTGTCTCTTCTTTGTTGTTTTTTTTTTTTGCACCTTTTTGTAGTTTTGTGTCTTTTTGTAGTTATTTTGTGTCTCTTTGGTTTCGACTGTGGAACACCCTCCCAGAACACCTGAGGGTTCCACAGTCAATTGATTGTTTTAAAAAGGGCCTTAAAACGTACCTTTTTAAAAAATCTTTTAATCTGTAATTTTTGCTCGTGTTACTTTGATAACTGCTTTTAACTCTTGTTTTAACTTATTTTTTCTTTTCTTGCTGTTGTAGCACTTTGAGATTTTTTGTTAAATACAAAGTGCGTTACAAATAAAATGTATTATTATTATTATTATTATTATTATTATTCTTTTTGGTCGTTTTGCACCTTTGTGCATTCATTTTGTGTCTCTTTGTACATCCTTTGCATCTCTTTGTGGTCTTTTTTTGACTCTTTTTGTAGTTATTGTGTGTCTTTCTGGTTGTTTTGTGTCTCTTTTTGGTCCATATGTTTTAACTTGACTGACTCTTTGCAGTTGAAGGCCAGAGGAGCCCCTTTTCCACCAAATTAGATCTGGTTCTTAAAACATTTTAGTTCAGGATTCTAGGAACCTTAGTCCTATCTATTACTAATTATTCATTCATTTTCTGTAAGCTTTATCCTGTTGGGGGTCACGGGGTGCTGGAGCCTATCCCAGCTGACATTGGGCAAGAGGCAGGGTACACCCTGGACAGGTCACCAGACTATCACAGGACTGACACATAGAGACAGACAACCATTCACACTCACATTCACACAGTACGGACAATTTAGAGTCACCAATTAACCTGCATGTCTTTGGACTGTGGGAGGAAGTTGGAGTACCTGGAGGAAACCTACGCTGACACGGGGAGAACATGCAAACTCTGCACAGAAGGGCTCGAAGGGTTTGAACCAGGAACCCTCTTGCTGTGAGGCAACACTGCTAACCACTGCTCTAATGTGCTGCAAATCTATTACTATCTATCTAGTAATCTATCTAGTAATATATTTATATTATATATATATTTAGTATATTTTATTTGATAATTCCTGTTTTGTTTGTTTATTTGTTTGTTTGATCCCCAGAGGAGAAATGAATGTGTTGCAGCAGCACACGCACAGAAATACATACGGATAAATACAGAAAAGTAAAATAATAATAATAATGATAATAATAATGATGATGAAAAGAAGAGGAAGAAGAACAAGAAGAAGTATATAAGTATATAAAGTAAAAATAAAATTATGTATACTGCACATACAGTACAAACAGTGCTGTACTTAAACAATAATGCAATTCTGCCTTAAAATAATATCTACTATAACAGTGTGCACTAGAATAACAGCCAGGCTATATAAAATGATGAATTATTTCTGGCACTGTATTGAATTGAAGATCTACTTGCTCCTTTAGTGTTAATTTAAGTTCTGTGAGGCATTAGGTCTGCATTATTTAATGTGACACAAAGTTGCTCATTACTCCATTTTAACCTAAAAGCGATCATTTCCTGTCATAAAATAAAATGTTTTATGCACCAGTATCACTCCGTAGTTTCTATTTTCTCTTTTAACATTTATATATACTGCCAATAGCCACGTTAATGTGACTTTCTTTAACCAAGAAGTGACAAAACTGTCGCGTTTCTCCTGTTTCAAGTTAGCACTTATAGTCCTAGTTTAACTTCCGTTTTAGATTGTTCAAAATAAAAGTCCCCATGACAAATTACAGATTTTGTTCACGATACTCTTTACAAGATTTTAATAATTCATACGTGTTTAATAGTATATTTGTTGACAGCTATAACTCCTCCTGTATTATTTAAACAGAAAATAAATGGCAATATAACAGAACACAGTTTTAATGTCTTCCTAGGAGTAGTTCGCAAAAGCTGTATTTAAAAAACACTTACGCTGTCCTTATATCTCCCTACAACCACATTATAGTGTGTTGTAAACATTAATTAAAGTTTAATAAGTTGCTTATAAATGGTATGAAATAATAATTATCATATTATTAGTATTTTCTTCCACCAAGCAGTTGAACAGTGGATAATGGCAGCTTAGTAACACAGGCTGAGAGGTGAAAGTAGGAAGCCATGAGTGCAGATATAATCTGTAATTGTGGTTACAGTTTATCACCATTTTGCTTCAGTGAACTTGTTTGAGCAGTTTTGTGCCCAGACTTCTTAAAAATCCTTGTCCTGCATTGTCGCTTTATGTGATCAGCTCTTTAAACCCTAAACTGAGGCATCCAAACCCACTGATATCCATTAAATTTCTCAGGGCCAAGTGATGCAATGACTGATGACTGACAGGATATTATTATGTGGTCAGTGTGTGAGGGATTAATAAATGTATGTAGGTCACCAAACTATTGGCTACCACTGGTTTTCATAAACAGAGTCCAAATGATTTTTAGATTTTTAGATATTTGCTGCATTTTCAGTCCAACATTTGGACCCAGCATGGCCGACCTGAGACATTTAAGCACTGAGTATAAACTGACTGGGAAGCTGCTACGGGCCCTGCTGCCACCAGGGGGCCCCCAATACAACCAGTACAAAAAGGAAAATGACAGATGATGGAGGTTGAAGTCAATCCAACCATTTTTTTTTGCTCAAAAACTTTAAGCAACAGTCATTTAGATTTACTTAAGAACTGTACTCAAGGACAATTTTAATTTATTTCTTCTTTCCATGTTACTCTCTCTCTGACTTCTCTGAATCTTCACTCCTCTTAACCGGCCTTAACTTACATGGTGGACATCTGTACTCTATGGAGTGCAGTTTGCTGGTTAGACACAGAAACCTTTTGTTAATGACTTACTCTTCATCTCTCCGACCTCATTGTGTCATGATCTGCCCTGATCTCTTCTTCAGGTCATGTTTTTCCTTTGTTTAGTTCTTCATTCAAACTTAGTGTTTCCTGTTTTTTTTTTTTTTGGTGAATCTCCTCTGGCTTCAGATCACTTCACTTCTAGCCCTTGTGTTTTCCTACCAGTTCTGATTGTCTGCCTCGCCCTGATTAGTTTCATCTGTCCCTCACTGGTCCTGCAGTCAACCCACCTGTTCTCACTTCCCCTAGTAGTGTCTTTCTACTTATACCCGCCCAGTTCCTTTGTCCTTTGTCAGATCATCTAACACATTCTCACTCCAACCTCGTCACATATCGTCGTTTGGTCATGGACTTTTCATGTCAACATATGACATGCACGGTTCCCTGGGTGTGTTGGTTGTCCACGTCCTGGAATGCCATGTCAACTTCTGCCTGTTACATGCATCGTCTGTTTTCAAAATACATTGCCATTTGCATACAGTCTCTGTCAAAATAAATGCACTGCATTGGTACAACAACACCACAAATTGACATCAAAAACATGGGGTTGGGTTTAAGAAAAAAGAACAGGGTTTGGCTTTACAATTTTAAGAGAAGCAAACACTGGCCTCCCAGGTGAAAGTTGGTGGTTGTTGGACCACCCCTCCTGCTGACCCTACTCAGACTTCCACCTCCTTAATTTTCGCTGCTGTCCTGCCCCATTTCCCCCTTATGCCGCCAGGCGCTGTTAAACAGTAACAGCGACCAGCTGCGTATCATGCCGACGTGAAAGGACAGCTTTTTCTGTCAGCGTATGACACCAGAAGTCACTGGCCAAATGCCAAATTTCAACAACTTTGGAGTCATGGGTTGGATCATCTGCTTGTGTTCACTTGTGGTTTCCCTGCGTTCTTGTGGTGTTTCTCAAAGTCAAGGATGCTGACCTGGTAGTACAGGTCCTTCCAAGTTAGGTCCTTCAGAGGCTAGGCAAGACTCCTTCCTAGCATTTGGTGAACTCCCACTGGAACAGGGTAGCCCCGCCTTCAATTCTGGTAAATCCTGTGTAAAGAATTGTTGGTAGGCTACTTCATGCCCACTGAGAATATACACATGCATCCTTTAAAATTCTCTGAAGGAAAAACTTGGTCCTCGGTAGAATTCAGAAGATACGTGACACTGGAAGAGTCCTTTGGCGGTATTCAATGACATAGTCTTTGTGAAATTCAGCCATTTCAGGATCCTCTCTTGACTTTGAGAAGCACCAACTGTTGGTTTTTGCTGCTGATTGTTTGCTTGCTTGCTTGCCTGCTCGCCGATGTTCATCTCATTTGCCTGGAAGTCTGTTTTCGTCAGTGGAAGTATGTTTTTTTTAAATCCACTTGCCTGCTGTATTGCGTATGGCTCCTCCCTGCCTGTGCTGCGCCAATCAGCTTTAACACATTAATCACCTCAAAACGCCTTAGATTTATCCTGTAGCCTTTTAGTTGGAGCCCGACCTCTAGGCTGGTAACCACTGAACTATGAATGCATATAAAGAAGAAACTAACCCTATCTCAACAAGCTACGGCAGTAAAATACGACTTACACAGAGAAGCATCAGTACAAACAATAATAAATCAGTCTTGGTCATATTTTTCTGCAGAACGGAGACTGGAACGTGCTTACATTGTCATATTGGTACTTTTAACTAAGTAGGAGCTGAATGCTTCTTTCACCACTGATCTGATGTTATTAGACGTCCCCACACTTTGACTGTTAGTGCCTTTGACAGCACTTTGGGCTTCTGAGCAGTCAGGAAATTAACTCATGTTTGGTTTGGTTACTGTATGGTTTGCAGCAAGAGCCCAACATCACCGATTCTGCTGACTGTTGCTGCAGTTGTTACAGCAGTGAGATGTGTAAACTGTGGTTTCATTGGACAAGGCGCTTGTTCTGTTTTTTGTGGACTGAGAAAATGTGTCGTGGTTCGGCCAGACTCAAACAGAAGGTATTAACTCTCTAACCAATTAATATGTTCCAAGAAAGTTTTAGTTAGAAACACACCCTTCCTGTTTCTGAATGTGTGAATCATCATTTAACGAGACTCTTGAACTCTTTTTAAGTCTGGGAGCTGCAGGACTTCTGCTTGTAGTGGAGTATTTTCACAGTGTAGTATTAGTACTTTTATTTAAGTAAAGGATCTGAATTCCACTTCCACCTCAGCTCATGAGTCATTTTTGTGTCCCTATGACCAATTTCATACCCTGAGACTTTTCATAACTACTGTAACACAGCAGGCCCAAGTCAGATGGGGCAGTTTTTTCCCTAATGACAACCTAAGATTACAGTGCCCCTTTTGCATAATTTAATAGCTTTAATGTCTTTAATGCACAAACCATTCTAATGCATAAATGAACTTGAGAACAGCTAAGAAAATGAGAATAGTCCTCTGGGAAATTTTACCAACTAAAGGGACCAAGAGGCTGAAACAATAAGCCAGAAAGACAATCACATGGGTGAAAGTATACCCAAGAGGAGTGCATATATTATTCATTGAAACTTAAAGGATATTGAAGATGTTTTTAAGCACTCACATGTTTTAAATTGTGTTTGTAAAGAAAGCCACAGACCCTCTTCACAGGAAACATTTTGATTGAAGGCAGTTACTTGTTATGCGCCTAAACCAGCTACAGTGTAATCTTATCATCACACGATCAAATAGAGACCCGACAACACCAACATACATATCACCTGGAAATCATCATTACATATATCTATAGGACAAAAATACCAAAGAAAATAAGGAATTAGTCATTTAACTGAACAGTTTTTATAACTTATTTATAGTCATATAAAGGCATAGTCATATAGGCATATAAACCACATGACACCATTTTTAATTAAATGTGAGTTGTTTTTTTTAACACAGCCATATTTCTTAGGTGGCAGTTTAAACTACTGCAAGGGCCTGTTTTCTGCCGAACATATAGTTGGAGGGCCCACTTTCTTTTTGGGCCCCCTCGTCCCATAGGCAGCAGTGCAACCGTGTACCTAATTTAGGTTTAGGAAAGTAAAGTTACATAAGTTAGGCTTAGGAACAGCAACATGGACGGGATTCATCACATTACATCCTTAACATAAAGTTACATAAGTTTGGTTAAGGAAAAGAAATATGGAAATGAAATACTTTAAAATAACTTAGTAATTTGGTTTCATATGAAACACAAACACCAGTCTCCTGGGGAAAAGTCCTTTGTTTGTTTGACTTATCCACCACCCCAACCTGCCTTCTTATGTGGAGTTTTGGCCTTTAAACTACTTCCTTTTTTATTCCCATCAGTGCATTGGACATGTAATCACAGCCTTCACAATTACATGGGATATATGCGACTTCTGGTGCATTACTTTTCATATGTACATGTACGAACAGTGCATGAGAACAGCCTGAGACATAACATGCTGGACAAAGCCAGGCTTGCTGTTTCCCCCTGTTTTCAGAGAGAGTCAACTTCAGAGAGTCATATCAATCTTCTGATGGAACTCTCACCATGAAAGCAAAACATATAACTAATTCCTTTAAATTGTATTTGACAAAAAAATCAAAATAGTTTTTAAAAAATATGTAGATTACAATATTAGCTTTTAAATCAGAAATATAAAAAGACCACTGTTGTTAGATCAGTTAGTCACAGACATTGTTTACAATTTAAAAATACTGAAACTATGCAACATGTGTCACATAACCGCTATCTGGTTGTTCAGCACAACGACTTGTAGCCTGTAAACAATGTTGGTTAAAGGGAAAATAAATTAGCTGAAGGTTCCATGACTAGAGTCAAAACCTTTTGCCCCTGTTGTCTGAATACCACCTATATTTTCTTCAGATTTTGGTCTCTTCAGTCCTGTCGTTTGTGCTTTAATATGTACATATAATACAGATACGTCATTTGTTCTTTACTTTTTTATGAATAATATCAAAAAACACAGTCAAAAAGAAATATGTGGTAAGGTTCATTTCTGATCTGTCTGCTCAGCAAGATTCAGATAAGAAAAGTCAACAGTGTCTTTTACTTCAGAATAATATCTCTCCTGTTTTCTCCTCGTCTTAACCCACATCGTCGTAGTCCTCCTCTCCCTGGTTTTCATCCTCGCCTCCAATGTCATCATAGTCCTCCGAGGAGTAACCTGCCGCTGGATCTGGATCCTCGAACGATGGAGGAGGAGGAGGTAGAAGTACTTCCCCATCCTCCGGCTCCACATAGTCAGACTGCTCGTCCATGTCCTGCACGTAGTCGGGCATACTTTGCTTGTAGTCACCCTTGTCCTGCTCGTAGTCAGGGAAGCTCTGCTCATAGTCACCCTTGTCCTGCTCGTAGTCGGGGATGTCCTGCACATAGTCGCCCTTGTCCTGCTCATAGTCGGGCATACTCTGCTCGCAGTCGCCCTTGTCCTGCTCGTAGTCAGGGATGCTCTGCACGTAGTCGCCCTTGTCCTGCTCGTAGTCGGGCATACTCTGCTCGTAGTCGCCCTTGTCCTGCTCATAGTCAGGGATGCTCTGCACGTAGTCGCCCTTGTCCTGCTCGTAGTCAGGCGTGCTCTGCTCATAGTCGCCCTTGTCCTGCTCGTATTCTGGTGTGCACTCCTCGTAGTCCTCAGCCAGGTTCTCGTAGCTTTGGGCTGCTGAAACATACATTTTAGAGTTACAACATACCAATGTAGTGGTTTGGTGGTAGATTGCAGCCATAATAGACAGTGAGATGGCAGTTTGATTACATTATTATATGACTTATATTAATGAGTAATTATATGTCTGTCATGTGAATTGACAATGAACATTCACTTTAGATATATTTTATTCTGTGAGGATAAATATTTTATACAGGGCTATTTCTAATATTCTTAAGAAAGACATGTTAGCCACTTCCCCTGGACAAGACGACAGTCTTTTATATTACTTTGGGGTCCTACAGTATAAATAAACCCCTCTTGAGCCAGAATTAGATTTAATTCCAGTCTACCTGCCATTAGTAAGTGCTATATAGTAATTGTCATCTTGGCAGTCAGTGTAACTAATTAACTAAACTAATTTTGGATATGTGTGAGCTTAACATTTTGGGAAATACACTTTATTTGTTGGTGGAGAGTTGACTAGATGTTTGATACCAATCTCATATAAGTTGAATATGAAATTACAGCAGCCAGTTAGCTTAGCTTAGCTTAGCTTAGCTTAGCTTAGCTTAGCTTAGCACAAAGCTTCAAAACAGAGGGAAACAGCCTGCCTGGCTCAGCACAAAGCCAACAAAAGCACCTCTAAAGCGTACTAATTAACACCATGTGTATTTTATAAACTGTATAAAACACAAGTGTAAAAGCAAGAATTTGCTGCTTTGCAGTGGGTTATGTCATGTGCCAGACGTTTTCTTGGCCAGGAACAGTAACTTCTTAGACAACCAGTATGAACGTTGTAACTCTATTAGGAGTCAGTAGTGGTTATCAGCATTATAGGTATAGGTTTGAAAGCTCCTGCTACACTGACTACTATGTTCAGAATGCCATTATCTGGTTGTTTGAGGCATTTTCAGGCTGTATTTTTGCCCCTAAACGTGGCTCTGTCCTTGCTAACCATTGCTGCATTTCCAGCTGCTTTCGCGCTAATAAGTGTAGTAGTAAGCACCTTTGAGGATTCCAAAAAGTGCTATATATGTGTGATGTATTATTATTACTATTATTTTTATCATTATTATTATTTTAAATAGTAGTTGTTGATTTCTTTTTTACAGAGCCTTTTAACATGTGGCACACCCTCTACAAGTTGAACTTAAGGTTTCATTCACGTTCACCACAGTGTTGTTAAAACATAAAGAAATGTACATTTTTGCCAAGGCCATTTATTAAGGTTATAACGGTATTTTGAACATACTCATCAGTGTAGCAGGAGCCGTCTCACTGACTAATGTTACCTGACTAATCCCAGCAAGCAATAGTCGTGATTTAAACATATTGGCCATATTTAGCTCCGATTTAGTCTAGCTACATGTAACCCAAATCTAACCGATTTAATTTTGAAATTGATTAAATGTAATTTTCGCCATTGCAGATGGTGTGCGGTATGATATTCAATCACGTATGGAGAGTCAACAGTAATTAAAATATGTTTATCTCCATTTTTTGGACATGGTCTCTACATAGCCTATAATTGATGATGTCTACACTTTGGCTATGGTTAGACGTCTACCAAATTTTCACTGACAGCCCAAATTCAGTGATTTAGCCTAGACGTCAGGTCTTCATGTAGACAGCTATTACACGTTTTTTAAACCAAAGAATGCTATCTGGGATGTTAGCAATGATAAGTTTAGAGTTAGGTTTTGCCATTCTATATGTTTTTCACACCTCACTGACAATGGAATATCAATGGTAAAATGTTGATGTTAGTTTTAGATTAGTTATGAAAGACCAATGACTGTATATAAAGATGGCCGGCAAGACAGCTTCCCAAAAGTGAAGCCAAAACATTTCTGTGGTGTTTAAAAGAAAAAGTGAGCTAGTAAGGCTTAACATAAGAAGAAAATACTGTTATGCGTATATGCTGTTTTGGGACACATGTTGTATCTGGTATTGGCCTCTAGGTGGCGAGAAGGCTCTTTGCAAGAGCCAGTGTTATAATGGAGCTGATCATGCTCAGGCGTGTTCTACCTGCCTCTGCATTAAAAGCTGGACGCTGAGTTTGTAAGAAGCTTTTCTCTCTGTCGTTTTTCACCAGGAGTATTTCCCCACAACCTTCTGTGATTCACAACAGATTCAATCGCCCCCTGGTGGCTGGCTGCAGTACAGGTCATAAACCCTGCCACCTCTGTGTTAGCAGATGGGACACAGGCCAAACTAAAAACTCAAAGTACACGTCAAACATAGATTGTTTCTGTCATTTTATGTAGTTTTTATCACGCTGATGTGTGTTCAAATGTTTTTTTTCTGATAAGTTTGATTATAAGTAGTTATTTGATGATATCAAAAGGGGTTTGACATCATGACTGAACGCTGTGTGTGTCAGTTGGCATGCTCAGGATCAGTGTTGCTGCTGTTGATGTGGTCAGACCTGTGAATTGGTGGGAATTTGATAACACAGCTCCACTATCATTACTGTGAAGACATTGGCTCTAAGAGTGCAAGATGGTGGCGCCAAAATCAGGAGGATTAGGAGGAAATGGAGACCTGTATTTGGTATTGGTCTTATAATGTAAGCCAGTAAAAATCCCAAAAAGCTGTTATCAATGCATCTACAGCCAGCAGGCTTTTACTGTACAAAAATACTAATGTATTTTTACAGACAGCAGGTAGTTTAAGTTTATAAAACTGCATTAAAAACAGGCTACTCCTCCTATAAAAGCTGCTGCGCATCCCTCCACAGTTTGTGGTACATTTTACAATTGCTTCATTTCCATGGATCTGAGTTGAACTGCAAACATCATCTACACTTCTCACTTGGTCTGATTTAATGATGCACAGATGAACTTTGGTTCAGAAACTGCAGCTTGGATTAAAATATGTGGTTCTCTCTTGGCTTCGAGAAAAGTTTCTGGGGTTTTCACTGTCCTTCATGTTGCCTAATTTTACTGTCATCAGTGGTCACATGATGTTTGTTTGGTTTGTCAAGACAAACTCATGTGAAACCAGAAATACAGTTTCTTTTTTGTATGTCCTTTAGACTTGGGTTTATTGTCAAATGGCAGATGGACTGAGGTTTTGTATTCAGCTCTTGTGAGTATGTGGTGAAAGTTAGTGGAGGTCATGTGGTTTAAAAGAGGACGGGGGATTCTGAGGGGAAGTGTGGTGTCTTGCCTTCTGTGAGAAACTGTGTCCGAGGAGGTAAAGCTGGGGTGAAGTCTTTGGGGGTTCTCTCCTGGTAGTTGTTGCTCCTGAAAAGTCGAGAAGAAAAAATGTTGAGCTGTATGTTTTATTGTTGTTATGTGGAAAATATCACCCAGAGGAACAGTTCCACATTTTGGGAAATATACTTTTTTTGCTTTATGGCACTGAGTTAAACAAGAAGACTGATACCACTCTCATGTTTGTCCAATAGGGGCTGTTCTCTACTTACCAGAGGAGGGAGGGGGGTGGCTGAGGTGTCACTTTGTTTTTTTATTTATTTATTATTTTTAGATTGACCCTCCCCAGAGCTGCAAATATTTTTCCTTAGCCTCCCTGAGTCACTGGGGGAAAATGCATGACCCTCCCGCCACCATAAATAAGCACGCACACAGCCAGCATTGTAGCAACACATGGACATAATGACCTCTTTCCCAAATAAACCACAACATACTGAACAGTGGCAGCAGTGGCTATAATAATATCAGTAACTTGGCATGGCAGGCATTATTAGATTTTAAAAACGTACCCTTTGGTGATTGAAAGTAAAAAGCTACAAATAGAAATTAAAGAATGAAATCCTGGAGTTGAAGAAAAGCCTTGGTTTTTGACTATTGTCATGCACATAGTAGCAAGGAAATTTACATCCGGGTAAAGCAAAAATAAAGTGGCCAGTGATTTTGAATGGTTAAAAAAATCTCCAAGTGTATAACAAAACCATGAAAAAATAGGCTTTAAATGTTTTTATAGGATGTGGTTAGGGCACTTCAAATGGTGTTTTTTAATTAGACATGTAGAAAAAGTTGACCAATGGAAATCTAAAAATCTGCTGATAATTGCTCTTTTTTCCAGTGTCTGGTTATGATAAATGGTGTAATTTTGGTGCTTTTTATGTCCCTCCCCTAAGACAAAATTTAAAAAAAATCACTCCCTGTGCTTAAAAAATTATTTGATGCGCCTCCCCCATTTTGCACCATGTCCTCCCCTCTTCTAGGTAACGAAACATCCCTTAAATATGAAGCTATAGCTGGCAGCTGGTTAGCTTAGCTTAAGGACTGAAAACAGAGGGAAACCTGGCCTGGGTCTTTTCATTATACCTTTATAATTTGTACAAAAGCTGCAGTAAAAATATGACAATTTGCAAATTTATGGGGGGACCACACTTCAGACAGAAAGATTAAACATTTTAATTTGCTTTAGAGGTGCCTGTAGGACTTCATTTATTAACTTTGGAAAGAACCAGGCTAGTTGTTTCCCCTAGTTTCTAGTCTTTATGCTAAGCTAAGCTAATGCTTCATATATAACAAAAATATATGAGTTTGGTATCAATCTTCCCATCTCTCATTAAGAGAGTGAAAAAGTCCCCTTTAAGGTCCAGTGTGTAGGATTTAGTGGCATCTAGTGTTGAGGTTGTGGAATGCGTGTAGGAGAAATATGGTGGCCAAGACAAAAATGTGAAAATGTGATGTCTAGAGCCAGTGTTCAGTTTGTCCATTCCAGGCTACTGTAAAACAACATGGTACACTCTGTGGAAGAGGACCCGCTCTGTGTGTAGACAGAAACGTCTCATCCTAAGGTAACGAAAATACAATGATTCTTTTTTTCAGGTGATTCATAAAAAAAAACACAGTTATGAATAATATATTGTTTTTCTGCTACTAGATGTCCCTAAATCCTGAACACTGGACCTTTAATGCTGCGTTCACATGGAATCATGCAGACGGTAGATGGACAACACCTTCTGGACAGCACGTAAAACACAAACAGCCTGGTGGAATGGCGGGACGGTAAAACAAAACATGCATAAATAGGAAGTGAATGGCAAAAAATGCACAAAAATTGCACAGTTAAATTAAAATGGTGGACTTTCTGTTGCATTTTGGGTATGGCTTCAAGAGACTTGCGGCAACAAAAATATCATAAGTGCGACTGACTATTTTACAAAAAAAAAGAAAAGAAAAAGAAAACAAAGGGTATGGTTTGCCATTTTGAGGACATATATTGTAAATGGCACAGTTTTTAATTAACTTACATTCCCTTTTTTTCATTCATCTTTGAACAAATCTAAATGAATGGCACTTTCTCTGTGCCACCTGTTGATTTGGCTGTTGTTTTTTTTTTTTTTACCATAAATTCTCAAACATGTCTAACATTACATCAAATACATTCCTTGTATTACTGATTTAAACTCTAGTGCTGCGCTGCATTGCTGTTAAAACACCACAAGTATCACACGAGACACACAGACCAGACCTGCATCGAGTTATCGCTGAGGTCGCATCCCCTTTCCGGGTAAACAAAGGTGCTATTACACAGTTACACAAAGAGAGAAACAGGAAAATACTAAAAGCTGTTATATAGCAGGTTAACCAAAGCTTTCACACTAAGGTCTGAGGCACTTTAGATGCATGAACGTCCACTGTCAGTGTGGTAAACTGCTGAATAATGATGGTGACAGTTACTACTGACAGATAGCTAATGTTAGCTTGAGTCAAAGGCTTCTGCAGCGGTGTTACAGTTATGCAGGATAGCAGCATCAGACTGTCATCTGTCTGCCACTGTGTTAAATCATTGAGTCACTTGGATGGCGAAAGACTGAGGGGACATGGCGGCCATTGACCTTAATATACAGTACAGGCCAAAAGTTTGGACACACCTTCTCATTCAATGCGTTTTCTTTATTTTCATGACTATTTACATTGTAGATTCTCACTGAAGGCATCAAAACTATGAATGAACACATGTGGAGTTATGTACTTAACAAAAAAAGGTGAAATAACTGAAAACATGTTTTATATTCTAGTTTCTTCAAAATAGCCACCCTTTGCTCTGATTACTGCTTTGCACACTCTTGGCATTCTCTCCATGAGCTTCAAGAGGTAGTCACCTGAAATGGTTTCCACTTCACAGGTGTGCCTTATCAGGGTTAATTAGTGGAATTTCTTGCTTTATCAATGGGGTTGGGACCATCAGTTGTGTTGTGCAGAAGTCAGGTTAATACACAGCCGACAGCCCTATTGGACAACTGTTAAAATTCATATTATGGCAAGAACCAATCAGCTAACTAAAGAAAAACGAGTGGCCATCATTACTTTAAGAAATGAAGGTCAGTCAGTCCGGAAAATTGCAAAAACTTTAAATGTGTCCCCAAGTGGAGTCGCAAAAACCATCAAGCGCTACAACGAAACTGGCACACATGAGGACCGACCCAGGAAAGGAAGACCAAGAGTCACCTCTGCTTCTGAGGATAAGTTCATCCGAGTCACCAGCCTCAGAAATCGCAAGTTAACAGCAGCTCAGATCAGAGACCAGATGAATGCCACACAGAGTTCTAGCAGCAGACCCATCTCTAGAACAACTGTTAAGAGGAGACTGCGCCAATCAGGCCTTCATGGTCAAATAGCTGCTAGGAAACCACTGCTAAGGAGAGGCAACAAGCAGAAGAGATTTGTTTGGGCCAAGAAACACAAGGAATGGACATTAGACCAGTGGAAATCTGTGCTTTGGTCTGATGAGTCCAAATTTGAGATCTTTGGTTCCAACCGCCGTGTCTTTGTGAGACGCAGAAAAGGTGAACGGATGGATTCCACATGCCTGGTTCCCACTGTGAAGCATGGAGGAGGAGGTGTGATGGTGTGGGGGTGTTTTGCTGGTGACACTGTTGGGGATTTATTCAAAATTGAAGGCACACTGAACCAGCATGGCTACCACAGCATCCTGCAGCGACATGCCATCCCATCCGGTTTGCGTTTAGTTGGACGATCATTTATTTTTCAACAGGACAATGACCCCAAACACACCTCCAGGCTGTGTAAGGGCTATTTGACCAAGAAGGAGAGTGATGGAGTGCTGCGGCAGATGACCTGGCCTCCACAGTCACCGGACCTGAACCCAATCGAGATGGTTTGGGGTGAGCTGGACCGCAGAGTGAAGGCAAAGGGGCCAACAAGTGCTAAACACCTCTGGGAACTCCTTCAAGACTGTTGGAAAACCATTTCAGGTGACTACCTCTTGAAGCTCATGGAGAGAATGCCAAGAGTGTGCAAAGCAGTAATCAGAGCAAAGGGTGGCTATTTTGAAGAAACTAGAATATAAAACATGTTTTCAGTTATTTCACCTTTTTTTGTTAAGTACATAACTCCACATGTGTTCATTCATAGTTTTGATGCCTTCAGTGAGAATCTACAATGTAAATAGTCATGAAAATAAAGAAAACGCATTGAATGAGAAGGTGTGTCCAAACTTTTGGCCTGTACTGTATATTGCAACACATTCTCACTTCGACCTCGTCACAAATTGATGTTTGGTCATGGACTTTCCACACACACATATGACGTGCAAGGTACCCTGGGTGTGTTGGTTGTTGACGTTCTGGGACGCCATATCAAGTTCTGCCTGTTACATGTATTGTCGTCTTTCAAAATACACTTCTGTTTTCACAGGAAATTTAACGTTTACATACAGTCTCTTTCACAATAAATGCACTACGTTGGTACAACACTGCAAATTGGCTTTTAGGAGACACCCCTCCTGCCTGCCCCAATCGGACTTTTGCCACCTTTAGTCCTTGTCCTGCCGCATTTCCCCCTGATGCTGCCAGGCGCCTTTAAACTATAATGGCAACCAGCCATGTATCATGCTGATGTTAAAGGACGGCTTTTTTCGTTGGTTTCTGATGCTGCAAGGCACTGCCCAAGCGCCGGATTCCAAGGACTTGAGGGTGAGACTGGGCTCAATTATTATAAAATATACATAAGTATAATATATATATATGTATGTATATATGTATACTTTGACTGTTGAACTGCAGCAATCACATCACGCTAGGGGGAGGCTCGCCTAGGGCCCCAAATATGCTACTAACATGGCAATTTGTCGTCTGCCGAATTCCATGTGAATGCAGCACAAATGAGGAACTTTTCTGTTTAATACTGAGATCAAATATTCAACAATTCAATTTTAAATGTGAGAAATATGCAGCAAAGTGTATATTCATATTACTTGACAGTGAGGTTGGAAGATCTTCTGTGAAGCTGTGTGATCCTGTGTTTTCCTGTGATAATAACAAAAGAACATGCAGTTAGATTTAAGCTACAAGAAACTCAACTCAGCTTAACTTATATAGCACCTTTCATACAAATGTGCAGCTTAAAGCTCCACATGGCAAAATTGGAATGACAGGTGCAAATTAAAGGATAATATGAACAACTATATATAAAGGTTTGCAAGAGTAGAAAATTACAGCAATAAGACAATAAAATATTAAAAAAGCAAACCAAATAAAACAGAACAAACTAACAAAAAAGATGATTTAAATCCCATAGAATAAAAAGAAAGTAAATAAATAGAATTAAAAACAAACAGGATGGATAAAATGAGGTGAACTTAAAAATCAAGACTGTAATGTTACTCCATATTAAGATGTCAGAAACTTGGTATCAGATCTTGAAACACTATGAGGCTTATTATTTTGGTGCGTGAGCAGGATTGTGTCGATACAAATGAGGACACAAATAAACATTTTTTAAGACCAAATAATGAGGTGCTTTATTTACTTTCAGTTTTAAGTAGGACATGATCATAAGAAACCCCCAGTGATAAACACTTACACATTAGATCTGTGTTTCTGTCTAAATTTATGTTCATGTATTCATGTTTTGATATGATCTTCTTTTATCTCCACGTGTACTGTTACTTGTGATTGTGTTATATTTTGCTCCCTTTATTTGCTCTCTCCATAATAAACCATCAACGAGCCCGTCTCTCTGCAGCTGCAGCCCACTTTCCCCACAGGGATCATTAAAGTTTCATCTAAGCTAATCAAATCCAGAGGGCACCACTAATAATAGCAATTCATACAATTATAATAGTTTTTCTTATGGTTTGCAACGAACCCCTCGGAGTAATACTTTCACAGCTACAATGATGGGCTGTTTTTGTGTGTTTGGTTTCTCTTCCCTGTTCTGGATTTTGATTCGTGGTAATACAGTATATTGGTTTTCAGTTAGCTAAAGAACTAAACACAAAAAACAGGTAGTTAGCAATACTGAAAATGAAACTGCTCACTTCTTTTTACATTAAATTAAACCTTCACATGAAATTCCTGATGAGAACACGAGGAAAGTGGTTGATGGTGTGTAACGGTGCTGCCGTTATTACAAATACATTTAGTCAAATGCAATTTTACACTCATACTGCACCACAAATTAAAGGAAAATGTTATACTTCACTTCCTGCATTTATCTGAGAACTTCAGTGATAACAGCTTAAAAAATACAATGCACTATTATAGATCAAACTATCCAAAAATAGTTAAAATAATCTCCACTTAACCAACAAAAAACCTTCACACACTTTCATACACATCACATTTTTCTGCTTTTCTGTCTTTTAATAATTATTGTTGTTGTTGTTGTTGTTATATATATTTAGTAGTAGTTTGTTATCACTTTTACTGTATGTAATCATATTATCATATTATGTTAAATTAATTTTTGTGTTCTTCATAACTCATTTTTTTATTTCTGTTTTTTTATATTTTTGCCTTTTTTTCATTTTATATATTTCAAATTGTGCAAAAAAATAAAAATATAAAATAAAACAAAAAGACAAAACCCTACAAAGTTAAATTGATCAGTAATGGTGATCATATAATATAATATATATAAAGTTGTGGTAGAAGTATTCACATATTTTAAGTAGTGGTAAGTCAGTGTAGAAATAAGCTGTTACAAGTAAAAGTCCTGTGTTCAAAATGTCACAGAAGTACAAAAATATTAGCATCAAAATATAGTTAAAGTAGCCTACCAAAAAGTAGTCATTATACAGACTGGCTCATTTCAAAATAATGTATATTATATTATTCATATCTAATCGTATCGTATTGTATCGTATTATATTATATGATCTTATATCATATTGTAATTGATTCATTAATATGTTCATGCCTTTAAAGGAGCAGTGTGTAAGATTTATGGGAATTTAATGGAATCTCCAGCAGTAAGGATTGCAGATTGCAACCAGCTAAAACTCCTCCTGCTTAGTGTTTAATTTTTAATTTAATTTAATTTTATATACTTTATTAATCCCCAAGGAAGTTTTTAATGGAGCCATATTATCCGTAGCAGTCTTTTCCTCTCTCATCACAGAGAGGCTTCTAACTACGATGGCCAAAGCCAAAATGCAAAAATGTGAATGGCCCTATCTAGAGCCAGTGTTTGGTTTGGCTGTTCTGGGCTACTGTAGAAACTGGACAGTGAACATGGCGATCTCCGTAGACAATGACCTGCTCCTTCTATTAATATAAGTGGCACATTCTGAGGTGAGGAGAACGCAATACTTATTCTCAGGTGGTTATACATAAAAGAAAACATATTCATATCGTACTCGTATCATATTCCTTTCCTGCCAGTATATCCCCCTAAATCCTACGCACTGGACTTTTGATGTTGCAGGTGAGCTGATTGTAATTACTTTATGCTGTGTATCTTAACCTATAATACTGCATCATATTTTGTCATTTGATTTATATTCTATTTTGATGATTTGAATTTGCAAAGTATCAGGAGTTATTAGATAAATGTAGGGGAGTAAATTGTATAATATTTGCCTCTAAAATGTTGTGGAGCAGAAGAAGGAGGCAGCATGAAATGGAAACACTGTGAAGTACAGTACAAGTACCCTAAAAACGTAAGTACTGTAGCTGAGTAAATGTCCTTAGTTACATTCCAGCACTGGACAGTCTGTTTTATAGTAAATGACTCATGTGGAACACTTTGCGACATCACTGGTACTTTTACTTTTGATTTTGCTGATAATATTTGCATATTTTCAGTTGAAAGTTCAGTGCAGGACCTTGACTTATAACACAGTAGTTTTTATTTATTTTTATATTACAGTGTTGCGACTTTTATTTAAGTGAAGGATCTGAATATTTTTTGCAGCTATAACTGATGTGAGGAACAGTGGTAGCTTAGCCAGCGGAGCTAACCATAGCTACTAAAGCTATTAGCATAATAAGCATTGCTTTTATTATAAATTTGTGATTTTTTGCACATCCCTTGTTCAGTCATTTTGCATATCCCTGCAGAAACTGTGCAGCCTTCCACTTGTAACAAATTGTAACCAGTGGCGTACAACAGGTCCCAGTGCACAATTCTATGACAGGCCATAGTGCACGCTCTCGTGCATGTATAATCTTGACACAATCAGAAATGTGACATCGAGCAACATCAACCTATAACTCTGCAATCACCATTGCATATCTGACAAAAATATCAAAGAAAGTCATAAATGAATCATTTAATTGAATAGTTTTTATGGTATATAATAATGTTTTACAGTATATTTATAGATTGTATAGTTAATTGCTATCTTATTGATGTTATTTCCCATTTCTTATCTTGATTTTAGCTTTTGCCCTCCTTATTTTGATGTAATTTTATTCTCCTTGTGTTTTAAGTGTGTGAAGTTTTATTGTACAACAGCTGGTAACTGTGTTTTGAAAGGTGCTATATAAAGAAAGTTTATTATTATTATTGTGATATAAAAAACTGTATAATTTTGTTTTAGATAGCTACTGACTATTCAAAAAAATAAAAATAAAACAGAAAATCAGGGTTTGCCTTTTTGAGGACATATATAGCAAATGGCACCATTTTTTAAATTAATAATATTCTTTCTTTTTCTTTTTTTTAAAAATCATTTTTCTTTATATATTTCCAAGGTGGCAATCTGAATCACTTGCAAGGGCCGGCTCTCTCTATGGGCCCCTCCACCCCAGGGACCCCAGTGCAATCACACTGCCTGCACTGCCTATATTTACGCCCCTGACTGGAACACATTTCTTATATTTTCTCATGTTTTTATTGAATATTTTTTTCTATTTTATTCTATCATGTCTGTTGACTCTCTGGACTGATAAAAATGTTTATGATTCAATAAAGTCTGACCATTAAATTGATTTAGATAGATAGATAGATAGATAGATAGATAGATAGACAGATAGATTTTAACTTTATATTAGTTTTTTTGTCTTACACTGCACGTTTTGTACATCCTGTGGTGTGCATCTATAGACATATATTTCAGGGGGCGATGCAGGAAACACATTCCCCTCTATATTTAGAACATGTATATTTGTCTCCCCCCATTTTACATTTTACATTTTGATGAAACTGAAAACATTTCCACCATAAATTGGTGCAGAAAAGGCAAGAATCGGTGCATTAAAAAGTCACCCAAATGCAAGAAATTAAGTGCTGGTGCACAAATTTTCCTGATTCATATGTATTCACATGTTCATATTTACATAGAGGTCATGATTCCAAATTTCCCCCAAAAAACCCTCTCACCTAACAGATTCTTTCACATTATATTTGACATTTTCCTGTGCATCTTATTCCCCTGTATGATTACATAAATGTTGTTTCAAATAAATATCCACACTGCCTGTCATTCTGTTAATACTGACCCTGCTGAAGTGATAATCACAGGCTGCTCAAGAGGCAAATAAAAAGTGTGCGTGTCAGAACAGGAAAAAGAAGTAAACATTTTTGTTTTGGCATGCAAATGATTCCACGTCCTGTAACTCTCTGACAGATGTGTGTGAGCAAAGATTGGACCTACCTTGTCTGGAGATGCACTTGTTGATGAAGATGAAGATGAGGCTGATCACCCCACTTGCAAAAATAATCGCTATTATCACCCATAGCCACTTGTAGGTGTGCAGGAGATCCATGGGCACTGTGTTCGACACGACAAAAGAAGATTAAAAATAATCACACTGATGCTGTCAGAAACTACAGGAAGACATGTGAGTCGCTGCTTTTCAGTATACAGAACTGTGGATCGGAAAGAAGACCATTCACCACTTCCCCTTTTTGTGCATTGACTAAGTCTTACGATTATTTTGGTGTTTGCATTAGCCTTCTGAGAATTAAATGGGCCACTTGAGAAGCTTGGCCACTTTTTCATGTGAAGACATTGAGCAAGAATGTGAAAGCTTTTGTTCAGCTGAGATATCTGAGTTTGTGTTTGATATTAACTTGAAAGAGGAAGGCGGTTTTCACATTAATTGCTCATGTCAGCTCGAAAAATGTATTTATGTTCCCCTTATCTCTTTGAGCAGAATGATGTAAATGTTCTTTTCTTTGGTTTATCTGAACGCCCCATATCCTCTCTTTCCAACAGCTTCCTGTCAACTTCCAACAAAAAGACATGTCATGCTGGATATTAGGATATTTTTTCACACATGGATGCACATAAAAGTATTTTTATACTCATTTCTCTTTAATTTACTTATTTTATACAATACAGTGATGCTTATTATGAATAATTTGATAGTTTGATGATCTTAAGGGTTAATTTAAGTCCAAGATGTTTCACATTAATGTCTTCCCAAGTACTCAGAGTGTGTCTTACCTTTTCAGAGAAGAGCTGATGTCTTCAGGGCTGGGTGAAAGTCTGTTGAAAGTCTCAGCAAACGGTCGATGAAAGTGGATGAAGAGATACAGCAGCAGTCATCATATGTTGTATTTGCATGACAGTTTCTAATTTTCTTAGTTAACCAAAGAAACTTGTAGGCTGAGGCTACAGTACACTCCCCTGCTTCCTGCCACGCTCCAGTGACTGCAGCCTGAGAGTGTGTGTGAGACTCAAACAAGCATGCTAAATATGTCATGTGTGAAGACATGACGTTTAATGTTTTTGTGGGAGATGATACTCCTCACTCAGTCCCTCGATGCCAATGTCACAATGTCAAAACCAATATTTTATGTATCAGTTAAGAACCCCTGGTGATGTCAGTGTCTTGTAACAGTTTATTTCAAAAACAGAGTATTACATCCATTTCCTAGTCTGGTTATGTTTTCACTTCCTCTTAAATCACCATCATGTTACATTGGTTTTATCACCTTCATAGATCATCTGAAAAGTCTTGTGCAGCTGCCTTTTAAAATTAGTTTTATTAACCCTTTCCATGTCAAAAAGAGACAACTTAACCCATTCAGATCCCCTGTCCACTCTGATAGACGTAACTTTTCATTACTATCATCTGACACTAGCCTACCCAAATAAATAAACTTAATTGATTGGATGTCTATTGGCCAAGAAAGGACAGCAGAGGAGATACCCGCACACCAATGCAACTGGGCTGGACCACCACAAAAATGATTCACAGGCTGAGACCAATCCAGAAAAACATTTTTTGTTTTGTGGCGGTCCAGCCCAGTTGCGTTGGTGTGCGCGTATCTCCTCTGCCGTCCTGTCTTGGTTGTCGATTGTACCGATGCACCCAAGATAAACTTTTTGTCGCCCTAAGCGGACCCAGTGGCTGTGTCTCATTTCAGGGGCTGCAGCCTTCAAGGGCTGCATTTGAAGACTGATTGCGTCACATTGGCGCGACCAGCCTATCCCAATGTGCTTTGTGCACAGATGACGGTTATATGTTAAGTTAAGCTAACTAACAGTTGTTAACTAGCTACCGGTTAACTGTTGTCCATGATTTAGGGTTAACTAGCTTACTAGCTTACTCCTTTTTAAGTCAAGCGCAGCTGGTTGCTAGGTAACAGTAACGCCAATGGATTGGGCCAAGAACAACTGGTGATGCACCCAGGAAATCCTCCGCAGACCGCTCTCCAACCCATGTTGGAGAGCGTTCAGATTGACTGATGTGGTTTTCAAAGGATGTGGCCAATGTTGACTGTGAAGGCTGCGTCCGTCAAAGGCTGCAGCCCCTGAATTGAGACACAGCTAGTTTCACAGCAGTCCTAAGCCTTTGCAGTGTGTCTATAAGCCAATCACAGTGTTCCACATCATCTAAAGTAGACTGCAGTAGAGCCACACCCCCTTTTTTAAAACAGGCATGGCCGCCAATGGGGCAAAAGCATGTTTAAGTCTGTTAATCATATTGTTTATGTACATATTTTGTGTTCAAACAGTTTTTAAAGTAAACATGAGATATTATATTACTTAAACATGTTTTAAAAAAATCATATGAAAGATTTATAGCTTTTACTCAGGATTTTTTTTTAAATATCTGTCCATTGTAATGGATGGCAAAACTGAGTGTCACTGGAAAGTGAAAAGAGGAAATACTGTTCTAATATGATATTCTAATTATGCATTCATTCATTTTCCGTAACCGCTTATCCTGCTGGGGGTCTCGGGGGGCTGGGGCCTATCCCAAGTGACACTGTGCGAGTGACGATGTACACCCTGGACAGGTCACCAGACTATCACAGGGCTGACACGTAGAGACAGACAACCATTCACACTCACATTCACACCTACGGACAATTTAGAGTCACAAATTAATTCACTGCATGTCTTTGGACTGTGGGAGGAAGCTGGAGCCCCTGGAGAAAACCCACTATTTTTACAGGCAGCTCATAATGCATGCTATTGATTATGTTCACGGAATATTAATCTCAGGAGGTTTTCAGCAGACTGTTTCTGGAGATACTTCAGAAACTGAGGATAGTTTGAGTCATGGTGACGAATACAGTGCAAATTATATATGCAATGTGTTTTGAGGCATCACTTTATTCACTGATAAGAGTTAACTATTCATGAAAAATGAATAAACTCATGTGGTTTTTTTTGTTAACAAAAAAGTTCTGTTAAGACATCTTATTGTCATTTTTACTTTTAGGTGGTGTCTGTGTTAAAATTCTTTGTCTATTGGAATGTACAATAAATAAAAACACACAATACAGTATCCCAATCAGATTCTTTTTACTAATGATTTATGAGTACATTAAGAGTAGAGATCGATCATAATATTTTTTGTTGGGACATAACTGGGCTTTGAACGGGTTAAATGTGAATGTGGAACTTGGTAGTTTCTATTACTCAGAAGAAGAAGAAAAAAAATCAATGTAAATTACTTTTATTTTGAAAGATGAAACCGGAATGATTAAAGCAAGCTAGCATGAGAAAACAGGAAATGGACAGAGTGCCATCAAAATACTAGCGCAAATTTTTTAAATTGCCAAATAAATATTAGGACGCTGCTGTATAACGTTTATATTGATTCCAAATTGTTATTACGGTTTAATTATTTGTTATGCTGTTCGATTTTATTTTCGCTCACGTTACAACTAAAGCAGGCGTCGTCAAGATGTGAAGGTAAGAATTTTATTTTGAAAGTTTAACCAGAAACGGCTCTCATCTCCCCCCGCTAGCTTAACCCTAGTTGTGATGTTAGCCTGTTTTCTTGGACACTCCTAGCGCTTATCCCACTGCCCCGGTAATTGCCTCAAGCCCCCTCAGGAAACCATGGCCGAGCAGGCCTCGGGACCCCCTCTGTCGTCCCAACATGACGGTAAATCTCTCGTGTTTGTGGGGTTTCGTGGGGAGAGTGTTGAGGGCTGGGAGCAGCGAAGCCAGCGGCCCTCTGCATCCTTGACAACATTAGCTAGTTAGCATCATCAGGGCGACGTGTCACTGGCTGTCACTGGCTCATATTGAACATTTAACACTACGCACTTGGTGCATTTAGGATCCACTTGAACTAATTTGCGGGAGGTCACTAAAGCTTCACAATGCTGAACAGGAGCTATGTCATTCTGCATCCTAACATACCCAAGCTAACGTTGTTATCTCTTTACCTCTGCAACTTAGCTGGTTAGCTTTTAGCTTGAGCTAATCTGACTATATTGATCTAAAGGTCGGCACTAGCCTCTGTTAGCCTGGCCTGTCAATCTGTAATGTGGATCATATGAATTATATCAGTCCATTACAATGTGGCCTGCACACTCGGAGGTTGGACCATAATACAGGAGCATGATCCAGCTGGAGGTTTCTCCCTCTGGTTCGGGGACCATCCTGTGGTCCTGCAGGAAATCCAAGCTGCAGGTTTAAGTGAATAGAATACAATCATGCAGGGGTTTAATTTGTTTACATCTACCAGAGGGCACACATACGATAATATCACGATATTGAAGTCATGATACAATATTATTGTGATTTTAAATGGCATTGTGGTAACATATATCATGATATATTGCACTATAACCTTATTTCAACTGCCAATTATGTCCCCTAAGGAAAGCTCTGTCAACATGTTTTATCTAATGATCACATTTAGCCATTTTTATTGCAACAACTGTATCTATTGGACTGAAAAAGCAATTTATTTTGTTATTCTTGCAGGCTACCAAAAGTTTAATTTGTATCTGTAATATTAATAATTTATATTCTTATTAAAAACTGATACTTGGCGTTAGGGATAGGCGTCGAGAAGCAGTCGACAGCAAAATAGAGGCAGAATTGAATGTCTCCAAGCTTATCAGTTCCTGTCTTTCTGAAAATTTCCCATTGCAAAACAGTAACCTTAAATATCTTCGCTGCTGAAACTTGCAACAAGAAGGAGTCATAGTGGAGAGGAAGAAATGGTTCATATCTTTTTTTTCTACTCTGTTTATACAAATCTGGGCAGAATCAGTAAGGGAATCAATAAAGATTTGGACTGATCAGCAGACTCGAGAATGACATTGATATCAGTAAAGACTTATTGATATCCATCCCTACATTTGACCTTTTTTTTTTTTTTTTTAACCATATTGGAATTAAAACTCAGAATCGATCAGACCTGGAATTGATAAGCAGAATTGTAAATAAGATAAGATACACCTCTATTGATCCCATAATTGAGAAATTCCAGTGTTACAGCAGTCAAGGAGAAAGAGTCAGATTAAAGATTTAAAATTTAAACTTAAAAACTTAAATAACTAGGCATGCAAATAAGTACAAAAATACAAGAGACGGCGATAAATAACAATAATAATAATAATAATAATAAAAATAATAGGAAGTGGATAATAATTAGCAGCAGTGAATGAAAATGACCAGTGGATAAAGGGAGCACATCTAGTGCAAGTGATTGTATATGCAAAACAGCAGACAGCTGTGGTGTCCATAAAGTGTCCATAGTGTCAAATTCACACGATACCACACCCTTCTTGGCGTCCTTGCATCAATACAGTGTTGCCACAAAAAATTATCGTGAAACAATGCTGTATCAATTTATTTATTTATTTATTTATTTATTTTATCCTCACCCCTTACATCTACCAGATAACAATTTCAGGCTCGCCATCAGTCTCCGCTACAAGTTGTGCACACAAATATTGTTGATATAAGCAGTAATGGAAATTTTGATCGCAGCAAGCACAACTGTAGGATGTATAAGATGAAGAATAATTATTGTTCTGTCCATAGATTTCAGTGAGCACAGTAATACTTTGCTTTAAATTTAGTACTACAGCTGCAGAGATAATTCCATATGCATCATTTGGGTCTAAAGTCAGGTCCCATTTTAAGTTTCGCTGCAGAGGAAACATGAGAGAACTGCTACATAATGTGATTTATTGTGGTGGCCTTTTCATGACTGCTACAAGCATTAGAGATTTTTGGGGTTGCAAAACATTGTCATGCCATGCACAGTTCCTCTATGTAATCATTTTTAGTGTGTGATTTAGCACAGTGTTACAGCCATGACTAACCTAAAGCACCTGGCCCATAGCATGTTTAGCAGTCCCTTACCTCTACACCTGAAATTAAACATTTATGGATTTATGACCATTTCAATCAATATTTGGCAATGGAACATGTTGTAATGGTTTTAGCACAGTGTAATATAGGTTATGAGGATGCTTTCGGTTATTGATTATCAAAGATTGACTGTAAACGCTCTGAGGGTTTGAAGAGCTGCTTTTAAGACAGCTGCAGTCATCTGTACTTCAACTGTATCAGTGTATGCTGGTGCCATACTGTGTGAATGGTGTAAAACAAAGCATAATAAGAAGGTGGTCTTTTTTATGAGGTGATAATGCATTCATTGTCAGATTTACAGCATGTACTTTTGCATAGTTCTTGTTTTATTGAACATAATTCAACAAGTGCTCAGAGTTAAAGTCAGTCAGCAATGAAATCAGCATTTCCTGTGTATATGTCATGTTATCTAATTATCTAAACCCTCCTTGCTTATACTTTTGTTTCCATTGTTGCTTATTATTAAGCTTCAGCCCACTGATTCTAGAGGTTGGAAAGCATATTGAGATTGAGCTTCATCTATATAGCACTTAAGGTGAAATGTCGATTGTCTGTTGGTTAATTACTGACTTTGTGTAAATGGTTCACATGTGATCTCCATCCCTTTAACTGAATCATCATCCCAAGACAGACAGTGTGACAAGTTTGTTTGGGCAGCCATGATTTTATAACAGTAGAAGCTGAGTATGCTTTGAGTTAAAGTGCAAAAGGGCTTAACATGACATTCAGTAACAACTCATGTGAATATGTGTTAAGCTTATGTGGTGATGGAATTTCTCCTTTAGAGTCTGTTCAGCTGTCACATGATCGTGGCGGAGTTGTGCTGAACCGCTCTGCTGCTTTGTGCTAGTAAATGTTTCCATTCGTCTGGCTGTGTTTGAGGGTATCATCGTCTCTCTCTCCTTGGTCCGCTGGTTTTGAATAAGAAAGGAAATAAATAAGATGTGCTAGATGTCGGAAAAATCTTGTGACTGAAAGTCAGTTTGGAAGACTTTTGTTCATCAGTTTAGGCTTTCGAGTATTTGTATGGGAAGAAGACAATAAGTCACCCGATACACACTGATAATTACAAATGATATTGTGTGACTTGATTAACTGCCATAAGCTTGAATGGACCTTAAAGTCAAGACTGAATTTTAAAATCACAAAAGTTTGGACTTATTAGAGAATCTGTGTGTGTATTTATGTTTGAGGGGAGATCAAGGTGACTAGTATTATATTATATATTAGGTTGCTTTGGTAGTGTTAAACAATATTGGAAGATAAATCCACATTTGAAAAATATTTAAACACTAAGAAGAACAGCAAAGAGTTAATTTATCTTAGGATGCATTCACACTGGCGCTATTTGGTCTGCTTTAAACAAACCCTGGTCTGCTTCCACAGTTAGTTTGCTTCGTTTGGATTCCAACTCTGGTGTGGACCAAACGAGTGATCCCTGGTCCGCTTTTAAACTGGGGGTCTCGATTCACTTGCAAATGAAGGTGTGAAATTTTTCGGCATTCCCTGCTCAATCGAATCGAGTCCCTCGGACTATCCTGGTGTGAATGTGCCCTTACTTGGCTGCCTTTACGTGACTATTGATTTGTTACCAGTGTGCTTGTTTGCTCATTTGTGTATTTATTTATTCATCTACCATTTATTATAAATTTTCTTTATTGTATTTGCCTGTTACTGGGTGATCACTGATCCAGTTATTAAAGCAAAGTGAAAACATTGATGCATATTGTCATCTTTAAGGGTATACTATGCAGGATTGTCAGTTACTCTTTGTAGACACCTTGCTAGCAAAAGTCAAAGCCAATACCAGATTCATTCTAGTTTGGGGTTCCGCCTTGCTTTATTTGCGTTTTTCTGGTGCTGTGTCTCTGTGATGCCTGCTGCTTATGGTCTGGCACCTGGGGTCTCATTTATAATCATTGCGCACGCACAAAACAAGGCCTGAAAGAGGCGTACGCCACTTCCCACACAAAAGTTTTGATGTAAAAAAACAGACTTGATGGGAGAAACTTTGACCCGTGCTCACGAACATTTCTGTAATGGGAAATTGGCGATGCAGATGGTGAGGTGGAAGCATTCCATTTTTGGCTTTTGTTCTTATGACAAATTTTAGTATGTATCCTAGGAATTGTTTTGTAAATGAGACCCCTTGTCGCTACCTTTTTTTTAAAGCCCCGACCTCACCTGAGCTGCAGGGCTACACGCCCATAAACATCCCGAACACAGAAAATAACAAAAACTGTGCAAATGCAGACAAAGGCAAGAGTCTCTGCAGAAAAATACACCACCACACACTTATAGTGGCTCATAAGTGATGACTGAGAGGAATTACTTCTGTATGAGTCTATACATTGTTTGTAGGAAAATCCTGCATAGTATATTTTTAAGATACGCCTTTATTTGGACATTTCCCATGGCACGTATGTGTCACCATTTCCGTCCAAGCACATAACTTTCCTAAACACTCAAACAGTGTTAGCAGCCTAGCACCCGGCTGATAATGGCAAGCAGCCAAGAAAAAATACAATGATATTGTCAGTGTCTCATGTCGATCACAGGCCCCTAAATTAAATTAAATCGTAATTGTGTTAGACTCAGCAAATATTGTGTTGTTGTCCAAAGAATCGATACTATATCGTGATGAAATGTGTGATTTACTCCTTATTTACTTTGTCATATACCTCCCTGTGGGATCAGTGTGGACAAATGGAAAAGTCTTAAGTCTCTCCAGCTCTCAAAACAAAATGGTAGTTGGATATATTTGACTGAGAACCTCAATATTGGAATAATGAGTTATTTTTGATGCTTTAAAAGGGATGTTTATGTCCAAGAAAATGTTAAAAACTATCAGTGATTGTGGATATGTTGGCTCAGCACTTGGTTCGTACTGTCTGAGCTGTTGTCCTAGAGGTGCTGGGTGTTTGGGAAAAAAACTTTATATGTATGCATCACAAAATAATGTTTTTCTTAGACTTGATTCCATCCTTGCTTTTGTCTTAAGAATTACTGAACAGTTTTACGGGTTCACACCTCTAGAAATGATTCAAACAAATAGATCATGGAAGGAAAAATTACTTTTTGGTGAGCGGTCACAAAAGAACATTGCCTCATTTTTAAGGGGTCAGAAACTAGAAATCTTAGAAAACAGTGAGAGAAAAAAGCCTGGCACAATTTCCCAGAACCCAAACTTTCATCTTTACATGTATTGTTTTGTCCAATGAAATGAATCAAAAAATAATACCTTTCCTATTTAATAGTTTTAATTTAGTAAAAGCTGACTTTCAACTTGGACACTTTAACGAACACGTATTCGATGTTTTGATATCCGCTGGTATGAAAACCATCACAAGACATTGGCTGCTTTCTGACACACATTAAACATGGCTTAATAGAGACAATTTCAAACACAAGTACACAAATTGGCTTCACTGTAACTCGCAGCATTCACAGACAAACACACATTTTCCCCACAAATACAACATGCTAACGTTATTAGCACGAGCCTATGGCATTTTACATTGTATAAATTAGCCTAGCAGCTAGCGGACTTTCCCTCTTCTCATATAAAACCAGGGACAACAGCAACATTAAACAAAGGTAATGGTACATAATTTGGCTTCATTACAACTCACAAGGTTCACCGACAATAAGACAATAAGACCGACTGTCTTATACTAAACACGTTTTCCAAACAAATGTAACATGCTAACATTTTTAGCACAAGCCTATGGCATTTTACATTGTATAAATTAGCCTAGCGACTAGCTGAGATTTCCTCTGCTCATATGAAGTCAGGATAAATCACACACAAGACTTAAAATGCTATTTTTGTGGAGGCTTTATTGTCTTCAGAATTTATAGTTTCTTATCTGTGAAATGAAAGTAAATAAAATCTTTGTTTCCACTGAGGGAAATGGTTTCAACTTACAGAAACAGACAGAAAGTCTGTGTCGCTGTGACGTGTAGATACATTTCTGGGGAGGTGCATGTCAGGCTACAGCGTAGGTTATGGCGTAGGCTCTACGTCGACGAGGAGCCCACGCACTAGCTACGGCGTCGATTCAATGCAGAAGTATTAATTCCCTCTAAGTTGCACATTCTTGTCTTAAATTTGAAGGTTCTGTTTTAAACTTTAGGTAACGTGTTGTTTTGTTTTCTTCCTGTCACCCAGAGGTGCTCCAGCAGCGAGTGGCCGCTCTGGAGCAGGAGAGGGCTGAGTTCATCAAACTCAAGCAGCAGCTGGAGGCCGAGTTCAACCAGAAGCGAGCCAAGTTCAAAGAGCTCTACCTGTCCAAGGAAGGTGAGGATCTCACAACTGTGCACGCTCGCTGAAATCTTACCTACTGAACTACTCATAATGCTCATGTAAACCTGGTCATAACACGAGTAATGTGCAGCTTTGTCTTGGTCTGTCCATTGTCATACTGTGTTTCTGGCTCCTGTGTATGCCTTTGCCCCTGGTTCTCTCCTCTGCTCTGTTCTTGCACATTTGCTCACTTTGATCCCCCTTGTCCCTCCTCAGAGGAGCTGAAGAGGCAGAACCTGGTACTGGAGGGCGCCCAGGTTGAGCTGAGCTCCGTCCAGGCCCAGCTGTCTCAGGCTCGGGCCGAGATTGAGACCATCAAAGCGGTGGCCACTGTGTCGGAAAACACAAAGCAGGAGGCCATTGACCAGGTCCGCAGCCAGTGGCAGGAGGAGGTGGCCTCACTGCAGGCCATCATGAAAGGTAAAACTGAGCTGCTCTCACATGATCAGTTTAATGAAAAGCTGAGAGTGTGGGAGGGAGTGTGCCGGTGGAGGAGCTCTGACAGGTTGGGGGAGTGAGGCTGTGGAGGGCTTTATAGGTGATGAGGAGGAGTTTGAAGTGGATGCGCTGGGGGGTGGGGAGCCAGTGGAGGTTATGAAGGATGGAGGTGATGTGGTCACCCAGATTTTTTGCTCTGATAGCATTATTAACAAAGTGGTCAACAGTCTGTCAGATAGAGTGCCATACGAGGCTGATTTGATCTTCAGTGAAAAGTGTGAAAGAGAACCGACTTTTTCCGTCAATAGTTGGCAAAAGCTACGTTGCCTGGTGTGAAAGTTTTTCTTGAGGTGTTCCATTTCTCTTTTTAACATGCAATTTTATCATCGCACTGCTGAATTTAAGTGAGGGCGAGGAGGAAGGGTGCAGTGACACCCCTGACGGATATTGGAAGAAGCATCAGAAACAGACAAAACAGCAACTGGTTTATGTCCAGGCTTGTTTTTTAATATGCTTTATAAATGAATTTGAGTTGAAAACATTTTTTGTGTTCTTACTCGAAACTTAACTTTTTCAGTGAGGTTTGCTCCAAGTCAGATTCACCAAATTCTTATAACTGCTCAAACCTGTTGTGAAGTGCTTGTTTCAATCCAATAACCCGAAACACCTCCGGCGGGAGGCGTCCAGGAGGATCCTGATCAGATGCCTGAACAACCTCAACTCAAATCTCAATGAGGAAACTCATTTCAGCTGCTTGTATCTGCAATCTCATTTTTTTTGGTCACTACAATAAAAAATAATGATCCTAATTTTCTTTACTAATTAAAAAAGAACAAAGTAACAGATTGACTGTGTATTACATGTTCTCTGTTTCATTGCATGCTTCCTCTCTGTCGTCCAACCCAGAAACTGTGTGCGAGTACGAGGCCCAGTTCCACCAGCGTCTGGAGCAGGAGCGAGCCCAGTGGAACCAGTACAGGGAGGCAGTGGAGAGGGAACTGGGTGAGCTGAGACGCCGCCTCACCGAGGGCCAAGAGGAGGAAAACCTGGAGGATGAAATGAAAAAAGTAGGCTTTGTTTTCTGTCGTACTGTGGGAACTACCACTGTGCTTTATGTATATTTATTTTTATACAGTATTTATACAGTATTTAATATTTTAATGTTTTACAGGAAGTGAAAAGAGAGAGATATTTTTGACACATATCTGTCAGAAAAAAAGACATAATTAATCAATCAAGACAGAGATGCAAAATAAGAGTTTTGAATTCTAATTTAATTTTATTTATTTGTAGTTTCCCCATGTTTGCTTATGCTTCATTTCTTTTTACAGCTACAAATGTACTGGTTTTCAAGTAAAAGTATTATTCAATGTTTGCATGAAAACAAATCACACTGATGCGGGGAAGGAATTTATCCCAAAAAAACATCAAGAAATGAAACATAGAGTGGCTTAACTTCCAGTTGTTTAACTTTTCACCTTGCTGCTGTTGGGTTGGTCAGAGGCAAGGAGAGTTTAGTGAAACACTCTATGCTCCAGTAGTCTTCCAACTGTATTATTTAGTATGCTAGAAAAAGATTTACTATGTCAAATGATGTATGCCAACATTACCAGGATGACCTCCTGCATCTGGTTGCATTTTGCAGTTTACAAGCCAGCATGTTTTTCAAGCTTTTTCTGTTCTGACCCAGAATCCTCTGCACAGTGGAGGATGCGTCACATCAAGCTGCAAACAGATGTCGGCTCATTGACAGCTCATTTTGACAGCTGTCAGAAGCCACAATGACAGATAACATCAAATTCAAGTGATTTATGACCAGTCAAATTGTCAGTAATATAAGAACAGGGATTGTTTAAGTAACCAAAAAAATCATGGAGATAACCAACAATAACATCACATTGGTCCCGGAAAAAGTTTTCTATCTAATGGCAGCACCCTCCAGGGCTGAAAATTGAAGCCGACATGGAAGTGCAGTTCCTCTAATGGTTGATTGAGGCTGGCTCCAGAAGTCGAAGTCGAAGACCAGCACAGATCTCTTTTATCTGGATGGAGAATGTTTATTGACTGTATGGTATGGCTCGATTTGACTCCACTCACTTTTGGTACCTGGTCCTTTCCTCTATTTCTTTTTCCACTGCAGATAGAACCCCTTAGTGTTAGCGGGATTCTTAGATAATCACATAACGACGACGAGAAACTGCTGTGACATCTTCAGTGCAACACTTGCTGAATCCTTTCATTTGCAGCCAAACACAGAAACGTCTGCACTTTGACAATTGTATCATGTACTGTGCGGCTTGGTTTTTGAGGCTGAGGTTTTTTAAAAATCTGGGTCAAGTGACTAAAAAAGTTGTGGTCGTCAATGGTAGATTTGCTATTTAAAAACAGCAGGTTTGTGCAGGATGTCCTGTGTGACATTGATGAAGATTCTCTCAGTCCAGTCAGTGGTCTGCAGTGTTATAACTCCACCCTCAGTTATCGGCACAGCTCGTTTAGAACCTGACCAGGGTGGTACCAAGAAACAAACCCGGTACCTTCCCTTACTTTTTGCAAATGAAAAATCATGTCGCAAGTCGTGTTGAGCAGAACTATGCAGCACCATGTGTCAAAGTGCAAAATGCTTTTCCTGTATGAACTGTGTTTTTGCAGCTGTAAAAAGAAGCTGTAACTTGACGTATAGCTGCACACATGTACATGTTTTAATGAGGTATTGTAAAAACCCTTCAAAGGCCCAGGAGGATGCAGAGAAGCTGCGCTCAGTGGTGATGCCCATGGAGCACGAGATCGCAGCCCTGAAAGCCAAGCTGACGACAGCCGAGGACAGGGTGAAGGAGCTGGAGGCCTCTAAGGTTAGTCGGCAGTAAATCGATAATTCACTGTGGGGAAAATGAGAGGTGAAGATGATGTTAACTGGGTGTGATATTGACCAGGCATGGCAGCTGCTCTTTTCTAAGTTAATTTCATTTGAAGTGGGTCAATATGTTGAAGGGGAAAGCCTTTCTACCACTTCATTTTTTTAATGTACCTTCCCCCAGTGCACGGTATGTAGGACGTGATGTCATTGCACAGAAAAACTTGTGATGTTATTTTGTAATTATGAAAAGATATTCAGAATAGGGCTGCTCGATTATGGAAAAATCATAATCTCAGTTATTTTGGTCAGTATTAAAATCATGATGAATCATTGACTGTGGTGACGTCATGCATTTTGAACTTTTAAAAAAAGTTTTAATGGTGAATTTTTTGGCATATTGTATTAAAAATCAGTCCCTCCATTATTTTTGCAGGATGTTTTTAGGACTGTTGCGGCCTGCAGCTTTTCCAAAAACAGTTGCGTTGCATGTTGCCTGTTTAAATGTGTTTGGGTTTTTTTTTTCTTTCTTTTTTGTGGGGGCAAGTAAAAATTGCAAAAACAGTTGTGACGCTGTTTCTGATGCGTAACCTTTTATTATGAGCATTCAGTGTTTCCCACAAAATTACTATCTATTTGCGATGCTAGGCTGGGTGACAGCTGATTGCCAACGATCAGCTATTGCTGCCATTGATGTCTTAGTCAGCCACTCTCCTCCCACTCTCTCTGCCCGGTTAGCACGAGCTAACACAGCACAATGTGATCTCATCGCTATTTGTCAGATTTTGCCATTGGGCAGAAGCCTCATGGCAGCCGTTAACATCTGACACTGAGCCGTTAATCTCTGACTCTGACGTTAAACCTGTTAAAAACCACTGGGTAACATTAGCCGTGTGATGCTAACAGTTAGCCCTGTCTCTGTGTGTGTGACTCTGTCACAGGCACAGCAGCAGTGTCATGATGACCACAGAGAGAGGGGCAAGGAGGAGCTGAATGAATCACTACATGCAGCTTTACAATAAAATTTTAAATAAATTAAGTTTTTTAAATCGCCAAATTTGCAGTAAAGTTGCAAGGTTGCGCAGAGGATCGGCTGAATTTTTTAAAAAAATTGTGGCGATCGTAACATCACAGCATCCTGCAGGGACTGAAAAATATATAACACAAATCTCAGTAACTTAAATGTAACTCTCCATCACAGCATCATGACCTTTTGATATCTGCTGAAGTTCACTTCTGCTTGTTTCTACAGAGCAGGCACAACAGACTGACTAAAATACAGGGCTCAAGCTCTTTGACAGTGTGTGGGTATGGTCACATATGTATGCAGCAATAAACACCCCATAGCATTAGTTATTACTTTAACACGGTCAGTATTTGCAGTGGTAGGCTGCCTGAACACTGTGGGGAGAAGGACTGGCCCTCTAGGGTGCTCTTGTCTCATTCTGCTAATTCACACACTCAGATGATGCTGCCTTAATGCCTTTTGTAAAATTTACACAATTTTATGTATCACAAAGATGCACTTTTTATGAAATACATATTTTCATGTTTGTGCTCCTTATATTCAGGTACCATCCACTCATTGCCAATCTCACAATTAAAACAGGATTTAAAAAAAGTGTGCATGCATATTAGTGCACATAAAATAAGTTATTGCACTTCAGAAAAGAGCTGTAATGTATTTTAGTGGCTTCGTTTCAGTTCAGAGTTCAGTATGGTGATGGCTCTGGGGTAGAGACTGTTCATGAGTCTTGTGCTGCGTGTTTTTATGGACCCGTAGCGTTTTTTTAAACAGGTTACAGGAGTTTTACGGAGTATTACAGTGCAGTATTATTAGTATTCTACACTGTTTTAATGAGTTGTACAATCATTGAAAAGTTTGCATTTTATTCCCTTACAGAATGAAGTCATACTGCACCTAACATGTAATGTAGTGTCATAAAGTTGTCGGTTTTAACAGTGGCTGTTGTAAAAGTTTCACAGATAAAAGTAGTTGTGGTTCCTGCCCGTCAGTAACGATGCAGTGTGGTATCCAACATATTTTTGTTGAAGTTTTTATGTTTGATATCTTGTTGCCTCTTTGACAGTTACACATTTATAACGGCCACCTTTCAAGTGTGCAAGGTGTTTGATACTCAGAAGTTAGATTTGGTGTAGTATAATTTCGTAGTCTGGTTATATAATAAAGCTACATTAACATCAGATCATATGACTGTGTGTGATGTAAGAGAGGTCACTTGTGCTGTAGTGTTCAACCACAGGAGAAGGATCAGACTCTAGAGTTCACCTTGAGCTCATTGTTCTGGTTTTATAGCCCCACTGCTTTGGTTCAACTGTCATCTCTCTCATCAACCACGCTTCCAGCTGCAGCAGCAGACAGCTTGTTCATAGAGAAGCATCTGATAGAAGATATCATACACCATCTGCACAGCACGTAACTTACTTCTGCTTTACTGTTATACTTTTTACTCCGCTACATTTATCTGATAGCTTTGCAAATTAAGATATATACACACAAAGCATATGAGGAGTTTATGAAACTATTTTGTTAATTATCATGTAAAAACATTTCATAGTTCCAGCTTCACATTGTGAAGATTTGCTGATTTTTGTATTAAAAATTTTACTGTATTACGGTAAAATATTCCAAATATAGCGTACGCATAAACCGATATTGATTGTTTTTTAAGGTGACTCTAAATTGGCTGTGGATGTAACTGCATCATGAGCGTCTGTCTCTATGTGTCAGCTGGAGGCTAAAGAGCAAGATATGTCTCTCAACAGCTGATGGAGACGAAAGCAGAAGTGACCAAAAGTTCATATTGGACTTACATTCATCTTCAAATAAATGCTTATGCTGCTCTGTTTCTGCTCGGTGTGTAAATAAGGAATGGTTCACCACAACAACCTTATAAGGTGATGATAATATGTCGATGTTGTGTTTTCAGCTTCAAGTTGCTTCTCCCTGTGTTTACCAACCTTTCACCACAATACAGTTACAGTGACTAATGACAGAGAGGTTCTCTAAATAAAATGAAAGCTTGAACCAAATTAACCACAGCTGCATGTTTCTGTACTTTCACAGGTCAAGGAGCTCAATCATGTTCTCGAGGCTGAGAAGTCGTGTCGTACGGACCTGGAGATGTACGTCGCTGTGTTGAACACTCAGAAGTCGGTCCTGCAGGAAGATGCAGAGAAACTACGGAAAGAGCTCCACGATGGTACATAGCTTATTGTAAAAACTGAAAATCCTTTTGATGAATGCAAGAAGTGTACAAGTTAATGAGAGCAGAAGACGTCACAGAGAGGCGTAAGGGGTGTGACATGTAACAGGACAGCATTAGCCTCTAGTGTGATATAATTAAAATATGTGTGGGGCAGCGCTTTCTAAACGATATCGATGGCATTACGGGGTAATAACAATCCTTTGCTGTCCCTGTTAGATGGCTGTTGATCTCATTCTTTGCTCGGAGGGTGAGGAACTCTTGGACCTCATTGCCTCCCCACATTGCAGACTTTTTTGGATGCTGTTCTTCTACTTGAGTTAGCTGCTCATTGCTGTTAGCTGCTTTTTAATTTCCTTGTGGTGGCTTTCACATTTAACATGTCATCAGAATGTCACAACTGTCATGTCCGGTGACAGCTGACCACAGTTAGGTGCTACCTCGGCTGCCAGCATAAAGACAAGACAACTCTGTCTCTCCATTTTGCAACTGTACCTTTTATACAATATAGCAAGGCTGCATAACGGTCCCTTGAAGAGGCAGTTTAAAAGGAGCTACTGGGTCTAGATAGGTCCATTCATGTTTTTGCATCAGGCACTGTAGTACTCCTTCACAGGAGAAGTTTCAGTTGGTTACAGTCTACAACCTCACCACTACATGCCCCTAAATCCTTCACACTAGACCTTTAACTTACTGTTTACATTCAAAGAGATAAAAAAGTCAATATTTTATAGTAAAAAGCTAAGATAGGGGAACAGTGCAAAACAACTTTGTGTATCAGAACTTTTTTATTTGCTTTTCTTTCCAACTATATCAGTCATGATATTTCTGACATTTTGGAGGCAGCTGGACCACTAGCTTGGGAACCACGGGACTAAACTGTAAATAAATGATAAGAATAAACTTTATTTATATAGTACCTTTCATTCAAGAAATGCAACACAAAGTGCTTTACAGTAAAGACATTAGTGATCTATGCTTCATGAAAATAGAAAAGATGAACATAAAACAGACAAACAAGGCACTTCAATATAAAAGGTTTAAAACACGGATTAACTAATTCAACAGTTTTTGTTTAAAAGTGGTGATTTGAGGTCCTACTAATCGAAATCTCAGTATTTCTTCTTGTGTCACCTTCTAGGCCTTCTGTTGTCATTAACAATCAGAGCGTATAATTTCCAACGGGCACAGACTCAACAATAGAAATTGATTAACCAAAATAAGCGTCTTTAAGATTACCCCATAACATAGTTAAAACAATAACAGTTTCATCAGAAAAATGTGTTGATACATCAATATTAGGGAGTATTTTTAATTCTTATACTCATATACATTGCTGATGATACTTCTGCACTTTCACTTAAGTAGCATTTTGAATACATGACTTTTACTTGTAATGGAGTATTTTTACATTTTAAACTGATACATTTACTGAAAGGAGGACTCAAAGGACTGCGTATGTCTTCCACCGCTGTCTGTGAGTATATGTAACAACCTCAACCTTTTTCCTCTCACTCTCTCTCTCTCTCGTTTGCTGCTGTTTGGGGTCTCAGTCTGTCACAAGTTGGAGTTGGAGCGGCAGCAGCACAACCAGCTGAAACACACATGGCAGAGAGCCAACGACCAGTTCCTGGAGTCTCAGCGCCTCCTCATGAGGGACATGCAGAGGATAGAGAGCGTGCTGTCTTCAGAACAGCTCCGCCAGGTGGAGGAGATGAAGAAGAAAGACCAGGTATACACACACAAACACAGACTTGTTATTGTCTCACTGTTACAACACTCCACTTTATAAAAAAGGGGGGACTTGCTGTTGTCAGGTAAAATTGTTTTTCAGTGATTAGCCAGCAGATTGAGCCAGCTCAGAAGCTTCAGAATGAGAAACAAGGGGTTTGCCTTGGTGTTATGGTGTATAATGCTCAAAATATGCAAAGCAAGAGAAGAAAAAACAAGTGCTGTAAAATTCAAGAGTCATAAATATAAAACAAAAATTTAAAATTAAAGTATGTGACATGTATGAAGAGGATGGAATATACAGGACAGACTTGTTCTCATACCGATACAAGAATCTCAAATGCCTCCAGTGCTGCTTTAAATGCTGGATCAGCTATTGGCCGGCATGCAAGTCTGTGCGCCAGTCAGATAATGTGTAATTTATTAATACACTTAGGTTGCATTGGTTTAATCCTTTTCGAAGAATTAGAGACTGTGATGCTGACTGCGAAACATCGCATCCCAGAGGTCATTTTCCTATCCGAACCCGACCCGAGTTCAAGACAGTTATAACCGAGCCCAGCCCGACCCCGACAGACTTTCTGATTTTTAAGTCCGAGCCTGACGCAGTTTGTTACCTGACATAATTATTGTTATGGACAGTGTGTAAATGACCATCAAAAGGCTGCTGTTATGTACAGTCAAACTTGCGCGCACACACAGCAGCGCAGCACAGCACACACACTCAAGTGGAGAGAAGCCTGTGTTGCTTTCAGCCATTGTCATGTAAATAACAAATTCCAGCAATTGAATAGGCCATAGAACAACACAGCAGCATGTCAAGTGGGCCGAACCCGAACCAAACACGCAGAAAGTTTCTGATTTGTTATCCGAATCCGGCCCAACCCGGCGGGTTTTGATGGGTCCTGTCGGGCTCGGGTCGGGTATCCACACTCTGGTATACAGGCTCCCACGAATGCCGCTCAGCAGTGCTTTCAGTTTTTTCCCATTGGCCACTTGCGGTACTGAAACAAATCTCCTGTGGCCCAAAAAGCATTTTTCCCAATGAACCTTCTGTAAAAGAGACGTTTGTAAAACACCTTGAACTTCAAATATTCAAATTATCATGAATTTTTGATCCATGGAGGTTTATATTTGTAAAACTTTTCTCAAGCAGAGAAAAGCAATTTAAAAATCTGTGATGCATCACAATGTAAAGTCTACGAGTCGAATGGGAACAAGCGGGCGGGACCAGCCGGAGAAAAACTACTAGTTATGTTAAGTGGGCTGCATACCGCGGAAGTAAACCCAGAAGCTAGAACCTTTTTTTTTGGCGTATGCACCAGGCAAACAACTGTCATCAGACAGAATAAATGCCATCCTGGGGCCTGGTATCTAGTTATTATTATACATCTATGGTAGTATGTAGCCGTTAACCTTTTTTTTTTTTTCTTTTTCTCTTCTCAATGTGATTGCATTGGGCTGGCACTCGGTATTGGCCAGTACTCAAGGTCAGGTATCTGTATTGGTATTGGAGCGACCCAAGTTCAAAATATTGACTGAAGAGTGTGAGAAGTGTTCATAGTATGAGGAAAAAAATGAGCAAATGTGAAAAATGTGCAATGTGTGAATAAAACCTCAAGGTCTCCCAAAATCATGAAGCTAATCGTCAGCTGGTAGTCTGTGGATCCATGTGTGGTGGTGATGTTGACTGATATAGGATCTTATTCTGTATTCACTGTGTGAAATATGTTATTGGACTGTCTATATATATATATATTTATTTATTTATTTATTTATATACAGTGGTGGAAAAAAGTTTTCGGACATGCATTTGTGAAATATTGCATTAAGAATCACTCTTAGGTCTTCAAGTGCAATTTCTTTTAGTACAGTCACAGCCAAAATACTAAATAAATCCTAAAAAAGCCATTAAAACTTAAAATTGATTGGTTCCATAAAAATACATAAGAAATTTTGAGTATTGGGTCATTTTGGTACCAGTGATGAAGGTCGTTCTTTTTATTAAAAGACACAATTTTTGTTGCCAAGCTTCGTGTCTACATAAAGTCAGCACATTTCAAAGTTCTTCAGACACAAAAATGGCTAAAACAAGGAACCTAACGCAGGAAACACGCCTGAAGATAAAGATTCTCAGCCAGGAAGGGTACAGCTGCCGCCAGATAGCCAGGAAGTGCAGATGCAGTCCTTCAGCAGTTGGATACACTCTGCAGAAATACAGATGAACCAACAGCTTGGAAGACAAACCAAGATCTGGGCGTCCAAGGGTTTCTTCAGCAAGAAATGACCGCATCCTGATCCGCATGTGCAGGCAAAACCGCCGAATGACATCACAGGAGCTTCAGCAGCAGTGGTCAAACCAAACTGGTGTCCAGTGTTCCACCCGCACTGTACGTGGCCGACTTTTAGATCATGGCTTAAGGTCCTACAAGGCTATCAAGAAGCCCCTGATCAATGAGAGACAGAGGTTAGCCCGGCGTCGTTGGGCCCAGGCACACAAGAACTGGACAGCCAGGAATTGGAAGAAGATTTTGTGGTCAGATGAGTCCAGTTTCCAGCTTTATCTTCCTCCTACTAATGTGAGGGTACGCAGAAGGCCAGGCGAAGCATTATCTCCAGCATGTACAGTACCTACTGTCAAGCATGGTGGAGGCAGTATCATGGTTTGGGGATGCATGAGTGCTGCTGGTGTTGGTCATCTCACTGTCTGTGATGGCACATTGAACTCTACCAAGTATTGTACCATTCTCGAAACCCACATGCTCCCTTCTGCACGTGCACTGTTCCGTCGAGGTAAAAACTGGATGTTTCAACAAGATAATGCCCCTTGCCACACATCCAAGGCCAGTAGAACTTGGCTGCAGGAGCGCAGTATCCAGGTCTTAGAGTGGCCAGCTCAATCCCCGGATTTGAGCCCCATTGAAAATCTGTGGTGGATTATCAAAAGGTCTGTTTCAAAGCATAAACCAAAGAATTTAGAAGAATTAAAAGCAGTAATTCAAGAAGAATGGGACAAGATTACCCCTCAACAGTGTGAAAGGCTCGTGGGGAACATGCCAGCCAGGATTAGAGCTCTACTACGTGCCAATGGCAGGACTACTAAATATTAATTTGATGATGTGATGGTTTATTTATGTTTTGAACACATTCTCTGTTATTTGTTGACTTTGATACCGACAATGTTGAGAACTGACATATTGAAACTGTCAAGAATTTAGTTTTGTTAGTTTTTCTTGTAAACAATAAACAAAAAAATATAATTTGTATTTGTTTGTATCTGTCTAATGCAGCCACACCTTTTGAAACACAAAAAAGATTTTTTCCACAAATATTTCATGATAATATTTGAGATTGTGTAAAATTTTAAGGGTGTCCGAAAACTTTTTTCCACCACTGTATATATATATATATATATGTATTTGCCGTTGATGTTTCATTTTTATATATTAAATTGTGGTGGACACAAGCTTATGTGTAAAGGATAATACCCAACAAGACAGCACCACTGCAAATTTCACCCTCAGAGGAACATAACTGTAATTAGGTTTCATCTAATGAGGTGGAGTAAATTTAATAAATGGAACAAATATGTGACAAATTCTGATTAACACCTTTGTCTGTCTCTCCAGGAGGAGGATGAGAAAGAGAGGCTGAGCCAAGTGAAGGAGCTGCATGAGGAGGATGTGGCAGACAACACCGAGCCTCTGGAGGATTTATTCCTCGGGCTGAGCGTTGAGGAGGTACGAGCATCCCGTAATGCGATATGTCCCTCAGAGAGAACAGAGCAGAGCTATTATCGTCTTACGTCATATCATATTCCCTTTCTGAGTAATGTGAGCTTCAAACGGGCAACATGGCACCTTCACTTTTATCCTCATGTATTGTGTTTCCAGCAGCCATAAACTGATGCTGCTGTAACTGGTGAAGAGAAACCAGGAATGATTTAAAATATATATTTATGTGACTTAACTTAGAGATTTAAGTACTTTGCTAGTTTGTCTTCAAAGCTGTTACCTGTAAAATTAAGAATTATGAAGAATAATATGAAGAATTATAAAGAAAGTCATAACTGTAGGGCTTTGAGTAGCATTAATCCAGGCAGACAATGTATGGATTAAGCTTGCTCGCTTGTTGTTAGACGAGGGGACCATGATGCCTGATCAGTTACCTGACTGACATGTGCTCTGGCTAGTGGACCATCAGTTGGATTTTTGGCATGGCAGACATTTGTGGTCAGCTGTCCTGCAGTTCAAGCAGCTCAGTTGTTCGATTTCCCACATGGTTTCTGTCCCAAAGATCTGTTAAGATAAGGGCCTGTGTCCACATAGTGTTCAATTTGAACTTGAGGCCCTTTGCTGCATGTTGAAAATTTCTATTTGAAAGGTTTACAATTATTTCTGGTTATGATCTGATACAAGGTTTGTTTTGATCTCTATATGACATGGTGAATGTTGCCAGTTGTTCCAACCCTAAAAAGGAATGACATTTTCTCTCGTCGATGTTTTTTCTTGGACATTATAGAACTTATAGAACACTTATTTGCTCCCTCTCTTTCAGCCTCATGCCAACCACAGTGGCCACGGCTCTATGCACTCCTTAGACACTGACGTGGTCGTAGGCGGCCCCACGGACCCCTACAAGGAAAACCTGCGGAGAGTTCAGTCCACAGACAGCCTCGGCTCCTCGCTGTCCGTCCAGCAGGGCCTCGGCGGCCAAAACCACAAAGCCAAGTCAGCCAGCCACTTGGACGAGTCAGACTTTGGGCCCTTGGTTGGGGCCGACGGGGTGACGGACAGTAGTTTTGGTGAAACTTCATCCATCAGCTCCATCAAGCTGACGGCGAGCCACTTCCTGCTGACTAAAGACCAGGAGAAGGCCATCAAAGCCATGACGCCTGAGCAGGAGGAGACGGCGTCACTGCTGTCCAGCATCTCCCACGCTCCTGACACGGCCTACTTACCGCCCGCAGGTTACAGACTCGTCAGTGACAGCGAGTGGAACCTGCTGCAGCAAGAGGTGAATCACCGAGGCTTTTTCATGGAAGTTCTGATCGTTTGAATACATTGCTGTGGTTAAATATAGTCCAGACTATTTCATGGTTATAGCAGGACATTAAACGTTTGCAGCACGAGCTAGGTTTGAAGGTTTTCCTGTAATTTTAAGATGATTACTTTTAGGGAACACATCACTCACCCTAGGATTTTTGCCATGAAAACTTTTTTTTTTTTCCTCTCTTCATTCGATTTTAATATCAGAGCTGCGGGTGGCATATTTTATGTTCGAGACACTTGTGAAATGATCTGCATCGTACATATTTACAGATTTTGCCCTCCTTTTCTTTCTTGTCACCTTAAGAAATATCTTGTTGCTACCCAGCTAAACTAGCATGACAAGTATCCAGAACAAATTGCTGCAGGTAAAAAGTTGATCAAAATTAGTGCAGGAGCAGCAATTTATGGTCGGACTATGATTGATGCATGAAAGATATATTTTTCGTCTTCAGTGTACAGTATTCTTTAGTTCACAACCACACATCTCAGAGGGAAATATTGTACTTTATTCTACAACATTTATTATCAAATGCCAGGCTGGAGGGGATCATGTGTTAGTCATGTGTGTGTATCCATCTGACCACAGCTAATCTTGCAAACTACTGGACCATTCAGCCTAGTATTTCGTGTGCACATATATGACTGTATGCTCAAGGACTTCTTTGGGTTGCGGTGATTTACAAACTTTTTTATAGATTGTTTTATACCGTCATTAACTGCTTATCCCTAACTCCTCTCAACTGGCCGATAGAGGTGTGTCATATCATCTCGTTCACGATAACACGGTATATTTTTTAATATATAAAAAATTCATACCGTGATACTCACAATATTTCCACTTGATGACATATTAATGTCCACGGCAACAACAAGCATGGCTGAAAGCAAAATTATTACCGACCTCGCTGTGGTTCCAAAAAGAGGAGCAGCTTCAGTAGTGTGGAATAAACTGTGGTGTCCTGAATGTTTTATGAACACCCCGGACTTCTCAGACTCTTTTAGTGACTTACCGCTCAGAGGAAACTCATTCAGCGGCTCCTCTGGCAGCAGCACAGCGTCTCTCCCTCTCCTCTCTCACCGTGCGCACACAGGAGTCGGTGTTGTCAAGTGATTTTGTCATAAACCTTTGGTAATGTAAACCAATGTGACACTCGCAGCGCAACAAAAAACTCCATATATGTGAATGTGTGATAGTTGTGGTATCGTAACAGCCAGTCACAGGTTACAGCGTGATGATTAGAGGAGAAATGGCAGAGCATAAATGTCCAGGTGGAAAAAACAACAACAACTCAATCATTTAGGATTTTACTAAAAGAAGGAAATCACCTGTTGTTTTTTGTATTTGGGAGCTGTTTAAATGTGTAATTTGTGGTAGATTTTATTTTGTTGAACTGTAAATATTGTAACAGAATCTGAATCTCACTCTGAGTTAGGGCTGCTCGATTATGGAAAAAATCATAATCCCGATTATTTTGGTCAAAATTGAAATCACGATTATGTGGCGCATGTGATGACTTATTTACATGACGGCATGTCAATTTTGTCTCAATTCTCCTTTGCTCTCTGTATCGCGCACTGCAGAGTTCAGCCCCGATGCGCACACATGATTTGCAACACAAAACAACAAGAGTAAACTGACAAGAAGCGCATAATCGTTTTATGTCGATTATTTTGTTTTCATAATCGTTGAAAGCCCAAATCGTGATCTAGATTAAAATTCGATTAATCGAGCAGCCCTACTCTGAGTTACTGTTGTTGTTCACAAACTAAAGAAATGAGAGTTCATTTTTGTTTAGTTTTTACTGAATATTTGAAGCAAACTGTAAAACTACATCACTAATTCTGTTGCAATTCTATGTTCTTAAATTGATAATATGTATTTTTTTATTTATTTATTTATTTTTTTATTAATTTGTTATATCATCAAGAATATCGGTATTGCAAAAATACCCTGAAATATGGTGATATTATTTTAGGGCCATATCGCCCACCCCTACCATCTGATAGGAGCAGCAAATCCTCAATAAATCTTGCGGCAAAAGTATAGAGTGAAAGGCATTTCTGGAAGTCATGTTAGTGAAAAACAACGAGCCTTACCTAGTGTGCTGTAGGCCACATTTTGGCTTTCATCCTGGCTCAAAAACTGACATCCAAAGAAAAATTTGGTCACATTTTAAACTGGAGTATCTGCAGATTAATTCTGTACCTGATACAGATTTCTCAAGAAATATCGTAAAGTCACATTTTCACTTGTAGTCTTTACATACTCATATTGTTAATATGACTGGTTCATGGTGTTCTTGTTGGTTGGTCACCAGGTGAAAAATGCCGGCAGGAAGCTCGGCCGACGTTGTGATATGTGCTCCAACTACGAGAAGCAGCTGCAGGCCATCCAAGGGCAAGAGGCTGAGACACGAGATCAGGTTTGTGTCTCTGCTGTCACTTTATCACTTTTCTTATTACAAGAATGATTGCGAACATCAAACCACAGATGTTTTTTAAGACTTTGTGTGGTACTCAGGACGAGAGTGTAAAGAGCTGTACTGCCTTGACCCACAGCAATTCCCCTGATAGTGTTGGAAAATGCTCATGAGAGGGATTCTCTGTCACACTGTCCTCCAGGTGAAGAAGCTGCAGGTGATGCTACGTCAGGCCAACGATCAGCTGGAGAGGACGATGACCGAGAAACAGAGTTTGGAAGATTCGGTCAAAGGAGCCAACGAGGAAACTGCAGCTAAGGTTTGGACACAGTGAATCTATTAATAACTTTATGTTATTTTTCCCTAAGAGGTTTGGTTTAGTAATTAATCTGCAACTGACAGTGTGGATGTAAAGACTTGAAGCTCCACTGCACCCGGTGTTGCTTCCTGTTTTTTTTTGGTTAATGTTCTATCTTATACAAGAAATACGGGAGTGGTTAATAGTCAGATGTAATCCATTACCATAGCAACCAGATTACCGTTCTGGCATACGTGTCAAAATGATAGCATGGATAGAGATGGCAGTCACTTTAACGTTAGTTATGAAATTTTCCCGGGGCCAAAAACTGAAGAAACAATCCCAAAGTGAAAGCTCTCCATCTTGTTTTGCCCATGACTCACACAACCCTGACCTGCGTGTGTGCTGCTTAAAAATACACTGGAGTGGTGTTTTAAAAGCTTTTTTGAAGGAATTAATATCTCAGCATGTCATTCTCAAATTAGATTAGGTAGCATAGAATGATGGCTAGAGGAAAATTAGACCTTTGGTCTATTATTTGAGTTATTATTTGAGCTGAATGAATTCCTGCAGTATCTTCGCCTTATTTCTGTCCCCCTCTCAGTTGTAAAACCCCTGAGAAAGAACTGACTCATATTTTCATATTTAATCAATAGAATAGATGTTGTTACACTCCCTCACATCTAGCTCGTTGGTAGTAATGTAGAGAAACTTGGTCCTTCTTGGCTGTTGTTCATTGTCCCATGTCTATGATATTTTTGTAATTATCTGCAGGATCTCAGCCAAGATCGAATGCAGTAACTGTGAAAGACAGGAAATATCTTCTGAGCACAGTACTGTTAATGTTTTAAAGTTGGTGTAAATAGGCACTGAAACTCGGCACTACTGTATCTATGTGTAGGTGTATAACAGAAATGCACTGTGAGGATTTCTTCCTCTTCTCATCTGCACTGATTTGGTATTTCAAAGACTTACCACAGTGGGAGGAGAGGCGCCGTAGGAGGGAGTGTAACTGGTGATTTGAGGAGCGCAATGCAATTCTGGTGCCATGATTCACAGTGTTTTTGGTATTCCACCATCAGCCTTCTTGGACCAGCTCAACTGCATCTCCTCAGGCCTCAAATTCACACATTAAACTCCTTTTTATGTATGATTGGCATATCTGTTCACTCTCTCGTACATTTTTTAACCAATTATTGTATCTAAATGCACAGTTAGAGTACAGAATGTAGGGCTGATTATTTTAATCATCAATCAATCTTCTGATTAACTTTTTTATTTGTTGTTTTGTCTAAAAAAAAGTCATAAATTAATGAAAATAGCCAATTATAACTTCCTAGAGCTCAAGGTGACAGTCCAAAACACTGCGATATTCAGTTTACTATCATTTATGACAAAGAGAAGCAGCAAATTGTCATGTTTAATTAGCTAAACCTGAAGAAAGTTTAACAATTTTTGCTTGAAAAACGACTAGACAATGACTAGACAATAATCTACTATCAAATCACTGATTTTGTTCTCTGTCTATTGATAAATGGTTTCATCTGTAAACGTATGGCAGTAATATTGTATGAAACCCCCCCTTTCAGCTGATTACCTTTCTTTACAGTCACCTGAGAGCAGCAGGTGTGTGTCCACCCTGCAGGCTCTAATTTCAGTGATTAAATCATGAGCAGTAGACCCCCAAATGATTGCAAATAAACCACACAAGCACATGTGGACGTTGTTTATTTTGTTTTTTATACTCCAGGTCTTGTTTTTCCCCACTGGCATCCAAGCACAATCTCCAGAAGGGATGCACGTCAGCGGTATTGGCCAACAATGTCTTTAAAATGAACTATCAGTATTGGTCAACATGCTTTTTCACATACACTGAAAAATATTGTATTTCATGTCTCCATCTGCTGGTGGACCATCATGATAAGAGTATGTATACATAATATGATGTTAATTCCACTGCAGAAGAGACTCAGTGGTCACTAAAATTAGGTGGGGAGAAAAGTGGATATAACGATATCAGTATCAGTTATCAGCCAAATTAGTTATATATTGTCATATTGGCTATCTGCAAAAAAAAAAATCAATATTGTGCATCCGTAATCTCCAGAAACAGCTGTTACAGTCACATAAGTCTCTTATATTTTCTGCCCTTTTTTATTTTAATTGATAAGTTGATTTTTAATTTCATCCAAGATTGATGGCCAAGACAGCAGCATAGAAAAGTTACAGACCAAAATAATGACCACAGTAACACCTAGAAGACATTAACGTGTCAAAATATTACAGAGTCACAAGCACCAACTGATTCATTCATTCACCCTTGTACTTATGAGAGCTTTAAAATCAGGCAGAGACCAATTCTCTCAGGTTGAAATCTTTATAAAGGCTGTTCCAATTGAGGAGAGCAGAGCACATAAAAACTTTCTCTCTTAGCTCAGTCTGCACACCGGGAACAGACGACAATCTTAAGATCTTAAGACCTGGTTACTCAAGATAATCCACAAACCTTGTTGTGAGCAGTTTCATCAAGGAACTATTTTCCTTCTACCGAACTACACCCACCAACTGTGTCACTGCGCAGAAGGAAGCGTGCATCTACTGTTAGCTCACCTAGCGCTACTGAGCTAGCTAGCGTTACAGGACACCATTAATGTTTTCATCTTGCACTGTCATGAGCTTGAGCCTCTCGTCCATGAGTAGATGCACGCTTCCCACTGCCCAGTGATATGGTTGGCGTGTGTAGTTCAGTGGAAAGAAAATAGCTCCTACATGAAACTGCTCACAACAAGGTCTGTGGATTATCTTGAGTAACTGGGTCATGATTTCTAGAAAGTGACATTGCTGCTGAGTTTTCCAGATATATCTGTATTGTGTTTTTATTGTTGTTGTTTTTGGCTGCTTTGAGCACCACAAGACATCTCTACAGCCGATACCTCCAACACATCTAGAGAAAGGTGGTTTTCACTAAACAGAAAGGGGGGTGACAAACTGTCAGACAAATGCCGTGGAGTAAAGAGTACAGTATTTACCTCTGAGATGTAGTGGAGTACAAGTATAAAGTAGCATGCCGTCCTTTCCTGTCAGTCCTCTCTCCTAATTTGACAACAGCAGGTTACCGGAGCAACAGCCAGCTCATGACTCATCCGTTTCCTAACCCACAAAACGAGCGCCCAAAGCATGACATTTTTTATTCAGTAGACCTGTGGGTGCAATATGAGCAGGATGTGGTGGAGCAGCATCATATAGTTTTGTGCTTCAATTTCACGCTGCTGTGACCACAAGTGACTATTTGATATTTTATTTGTAATATTTATTATTTATTGATGTTAACATGATTACTATGAGGTGTATGCAGCCTCAAAACACTGCAAGAAGTATTGTTAATCAGTAGTAAATTGCATGTGTGTGACAAAAAAAAGATTTTGTCTTAAGTTAAGAGATATCATCGGCCCCTGCAGATTTGTTCTTCAAATTCTTTTGTAGTTTTAGTAGTATATTTCCTTTAGTCAGTGTACTTCCAAGAAAAGCTTTTCCAGACATAACCAAATTGTCACTACATCATAGTGGACAGGAAGCTGCTCGTAATGAGATGAGAGGAGCTTATGTGATTGGCCGTCATTGGTAATAGTGCACTAATAAACAGCTGACACAACACACCCTCTGATAATGTGTGATAATGGATTCTTCCTTATCCCACACTCTTCCCATGTGCACCTGGGATGCACCAAAGATCTGAAAATAGAGTCCAGTGGCTGCCCAGGCAGGTGTTTTCTAAAAGGTGTTTTCATTTCTGTCTGTATTAGACTATGGTGATGTACTTTACATGCATGCAGTCTCACCCCTACTTAAAGGCGCTGTATGTAAGAATGTGGCCAAAACGGTTACTGCACTCAAATTCAAAATACTGCCGCGAGTCGTGTCCGCCCCCCTCCCCTACAGATTCGAGGTTGCTGGACAGCGGCACGCTGAAGACTGATTTGTTTGCCCACGGGTGGCTGCCGTGGCAGGGCCATGTTGCCGCGTCCTTGATCTTTGGTTTTCCAGCGGACCGTTCGAGCAAGTCCGGCTTCTCTGCTGCTAACGCTGCTGCCGGGATACAGCTGAGGAGAGCTGTAGCCGTGCTGCTGTAGCTCAGTCGTAACTGGGGTTCTTTTTTGGAACCGGGTCCAAAGTTCCGGTTCCGGAACCGGTTCCATCACATTTGGCGTAACGGTTCCTGCAAATGGCTCCTAGATTGTAAAAAATAAAAAATAAAGAAAATATATTTCCATTAGAGTGCGGCACAGGCCGCATATTTCTGTCCGAACCCGACCGAGCCCGACATTATCTAATCACTAAAGCACTGAGTTTGTGTCACACAGTTGTCATGGTTACAGGCTATTTAACAGGCCGGGCGTGCCTGCTCAGCGGAGAGGGAGACCTCCGTGTTTGAGACGTGAGCGGGCGACGGGAGCGGGCTTGCTATACTTGTTTAAGTATAGCAAGTATAATGAATATAATGTAGGAATCGGTAAGAGGAATCGGAATCGTTAAGAAGGAATCGGTAAGGAATCGGAATCGTTAAAATCCTAACGAGTCCCAACCCTAGTCGTAATTGTAACTGATGCTGAGACTCTACTGACTGCGTGACTGGTAGACGGTGGTGGGTGGCGCAACAGGCCAAAACACAAATTCAAAACATAAACATGATTTGCGGACCGTAAATTTTTTTTTTTAAATGCGAGTATTCTGGCCGTACTATTGTTGTCAGTGAGATCAGTATGTTATATGAACATTATTCCTTAGTCTCTGTGACATATTAGGATGATTTTATGACTATTTGCTTTAGATTTCTTACATATAGCTCCTTTAAAAAACTGGACTCTGCATATCATGCTGCATTACATTTTATCACAAATGCAGTTTATATGAATCTTTTGGATGATTGACTCATTGTGAAGGCATTATTAGGTAAACTTATTCTATTTTCAGCCCTTTGATCCTTTCATACCAGCAGCTGCACTCCTTCTACCAAACAGATTCCTTTAAATGTCCTCAGGGTGCACTCAGAGCTTGGTAAAACTGTTTTCTCTTCTTATTCACCCTGGGCATGAAGTGAGCTCCAAAATGTTGTACACTTATGCATAAAAGTTGAACACTTTAAACCCTCTGAGACCCACATAGACCCATTTTTGTCCTTTTGTTTTTTAAGCGGGGACAGGGGGATCTTTTGGGGCAGATGGCAGGTCAACGGTATTTGCCACATAGATGTGGTATACATCATCTGAAAGCTGGGAACCTGAAGATTAATTTGAGATGCAGCTCAAATATATAATAAATATTGGGTTTTGGTTAGGCGATTATTCGAATTTTAGAGTTTAGAGTGGTTAGGGGCTCAAAACATTATGATGGAAGTATATGATGGCCTTTCCCATGCACATTTATATCTCATAAGTTCTAGGAATTTTTGGGTTGATGCCATTTGTTACTGACCTGGAAATCCAGATGCCCCGCCCCTAGCAAATTCGAATTTGCTCTGCAGGGGGATCTGGCCCCGATGAGCAGAGCCCGGTGAATCGCCATCGGACCAATCAGATCAGTCTGTCTGGCAGAGGCGGGCTCTGGGCGGGTGTAACTTGATGAGGACAGCACTGCACTGTAGGAGTCGAAAAGTAAACAGCCAAGATGGCAGCTGCCGAAGGACCGCGTCCATTCAATTTAGCTTAGGAAGAAACGCTAAGACAACTACACTTGTCTTTTTCATTGAGAGAGGAACAGAAGACTGCCCTTGAAGCCTTCGCTTCCAGGAAGAACGTTTTTGCCGTTTTACCGACGGGATACGGCAAAAGCATAATGTATCAGTTAGCCTCACTGATTGGAAAAACCAATGGGGCTTACTGCAATGTATACGTCACCTTGTTTTTTGCTCTGATTGGCTATTGTGCTATCCAATTGCGTGTGGTGGCATTTAATATGCCTCAGTTAGTGCTGCCCCTTGGGTAGGAATTAGGGATGCACCAAATATTCGGTAACAGAATATATTCGGCCGAATATTACAAAAAAACACACATTCGGTATTCGGTGGAATAAGTGAAAAGCAAGGCTGAATAATAGCGGCGTGTTTTGATAACGCAATCAAACAGCGTGCGGTGATGGATGGAGTAAAATGTCGGCAGTGTGGCGATATTTTACTCCGTCCCTCACCGTACTCGCATTTGCGACTAAAAATAGTTTTGTGTGGGCAAAATAAATCATTCAGCATGCTGTGTGAGTACAGATTTCAACCAGCAGCAGAAATGAAACGGCGAGTCCCGCCAGTTGTGAGTTGAACGGGGGTCACAGACATGGACAGGAATACGTATTCCTGTCAAATACAGCGGCGCATGATAACGGCTTACCGGCGATGGAGAAGTCCGGCTCCAGGTGAATAACTTGTTGTCATGACTGCCCAAAAGTACCTGTACAGCCGAGCCATGGCGGCACACAGTATGTGGCGTATCAGAGGAGAAACGAGCCATTCACATTTCTCTCTTTGTGTCCACAAACCTCACCGCACTTTAGGGACTGTTCTTTACTTATGAAGGGACTTGTCAGGGGAGGAGTACTTATTTGAAGTATGAATAAGTCAATAAGTAATTTATTCCATTGAAATATCATTGATGTATTATAGAAAAGTGATTTATCTTTTTATAAATGACAAAAGGCACATCTGCCTCATTTTTGCTGTGGTATCGTGATACTACTGATACTGTGATACTTTCACTGGTATCGTACCGTGGGTCCCTATTTTGGTACCGTGACAACACTAATCTGGAGGGGGTTCATCTGCAAAAATTAATGAAAAACTAAAAAAAACAGCATTCGGTACTCGGTATTCGGCCAAGCGTTTAATATTATTCGGCTTCGGCCACAAATTTTCATTTCGGTGCATCCCTAGTAGGAATGGTGTATTGGTGAGGGCCAAACTCAAAATCTTTCTAGATTTGAGTCTGGATTTCCAGGCTAATTTCTTACAGATTAGGTGCTAAATTTAAGCAAGTTTTGCCACTCGAGAATTGATAAAAATGGTCAAAAATCGCACAGAACACCATAGAAAAATACATGCACCGTCTTGACCACAGTAGAAGTTTTAAATCCAAAGGCTGATGGTTTTCTTTTTCTTCACATAACAAGCAAATTACCGCCTATTCAACTTGAACTCTAATAACAAATCTCTGTTTTACAAAGTACTTAAACCAACCACAAAGTAAAACAACACCCTTAGAAAACAAAAGGTTGTGAATTATTATTTTGCTTAGGGCTTTTCAAATTTTAATGGAAACAATCTTTTTCAATGCATTTAAATCAGACAACATAATGCCAACACAAATACATGGTCTCAGGGTTTTACTTAAGTAGGCCGACATAAATTAAAATTGATATACAAATAAAGATAAACCAGGATACAAGCATACAGATAAAGACGTATATTCAGTTCGAGGATTCAGAGAAGAAGTTAAAGTGTTACAGAGAACAGGAATATAACTTTGATTGTTATCTATGATTTGTATAGCTGACTTTACAAGGTTCTCACAGTGCAGCTCAGCCATATTCGCTCTGTGGTGTCACTAAATGTGACCGCAGGCTTTTCGAAAGAGTGAAAACACCTTTTGTCAGTTCACAAAACCACTAGGCTCATTTTAGACAGATGCCACAGCTGTGGGTTGCAACTGGTACAAAACACTGTGGTCAGTGTGGCGTCTGAGGCCGTTTGGAACCAGGATGGTCAGCTGTCACTGCAACTGCTGATTAGTGGCACAGAGTTGCTTCTGAGCTTCAGTATTAACTTTTTATAACTGCTTGGTGACTATCAGCTGTTAGGTTGTACTTTAATGCCAACAAGATTAAAACAAGTTATGATTAACAGCCACTGTTTTTTATTACTCTTCTTCTAATATTCAAGCAAACCATCAACCACAGATCAGCCAAAACATTAAACCCCCCGACAGGTGAAGTGAATAACTTTGATTATTTTGTTCCAATGCACTGTTCTGCTGGGAAACCTTTGGTTCTGGCGTTTATGTTGATACCACCTGACATGTTCCACCCACTCAAACACCATTGCAACAGTACTCCCCAGTGGCAGTGGCCCCCCAGCAGGATAATAAACCATGCCACACTGCAAACATCACTCAGGAATGGCCCAAGGAATGTGACAAAGACCTCAAAGTGTCAACCTGGCCTCCAAATTCCCCAGATCCCAATCTGAATGAGCATCTGTGGCGCGTGTCATTAACCCACCTCTCAACCCACTGGACTAAATGGACCTGCCGCCAATGCACTGGTGCCAGACACCGCAGGACACTCCCAGAGATCCTGTGTCCATGCCTCGACAGGTCAGCGCCAAGTCCGATCCAACGAGACCCCACTTTGGATTAGGGGTACATCTGGGGTACCAGCACATCACAAGAATCCTTGAGCAGATGAAGACCTGGGAAATTTAGAAGCCAGGTCGAAACTTTGAGCTTTTTGTCATGCTCCACAGGCCATCACTGTCATTGGGGAGTGCTGTTGCCATGAGGGGGGGTACTTGGTCTGTAACGGTGTTTGAGTGGGTGGAACATGTCAGGTGGTATCCACATGAATGCCAGAACCAAAGGTTTCCCAGCAGAACAATGCATTGGAACAAAATAATCAAAGTTATTCACTTCACCTGTCAGTGGTTTAATGTTTTGGGTGATCGCTATAAATCACTCTCCTCTCGTTTTCACACACTTAATTCAGTAGATCCTTTACTGCATTAACAAACTCATTAAAGGACTCGACCTCTTTATGAATTTTTGGTCTTTGCAACCTTTATGCATATGTGATTTGTTCCATCTCATACAGTTCCCATATTTTTTTAACCATCTAATTGTGTTACATTTAATCGCAACCCCCAAGAGGATTTGTTATAGATCTGTTTTTGCTATACCCTCACACCCTTCAGGGATCGCTCCAAAGACAGTCACCCTTGGATCTTGGGGGATATTTTGATGGAACACTGCTCTCAGGGCGTCTAACACATCCTCCCAAAAGTTGCTTAACTTGGGGCACGACCAAAAAATATGAATGTGGTTTCCAGTGTGTGGGCCACATTTTCACCAGCACTTGTCTGAATTGGATGGAGCTCACTTGGCTGTTACTTACTGGGTCTGGAAATATCGTATTACTTTCCATTGAAACTCTCGCTAGATGCTGGAATTAGCTGTCAAACGTGCCTCACCACAGATTTCCCTCCAGGTGTCTGGTGATAGATCTGCATTCATTTCGATCTCCCATTTCTCCTTTATTTGTAAGCTGTTGAAGTATATTTTGATGTTAATGCTTTTGTACTTCTACTCAAGTACAAGATCTGAGTACTTCTTCCATCCCTTAGTATTTTCCTACTGTAGACCTTTTTGAAGACTGTCTCTAAGCGATGTTTCTCTGTGTGTTGTAGGTGTCCGCCCTCATGCAGAGAGTCCAGGAGTCAGAAATGCTACTCAGCACACTACAACAGGCCTTCAGTGAAGCAAAGAGGAACACACAGGAACAGATGGTGAGCAGCGTGTTCTTCCTGTGTTGCTTGTTCTTGCCAGCTGTGTTTGTAACTTAAGTTCCTTCCTAATGTCAGAGGCTATCAAAGCTGGCAAGACTTTAGCCCTTCAAATGAGCATATCAGTTTTTTGTTTTGACAGCAGGCTCTAGTAATAGTCATGCAGCCAAACTGAACTGCAGCCTGTTAGTGTTTTGGATTTACTTTTCTCTGCCTCTGTGGCAGTAACGTCACTATTTGCTCCCGACCACAAATATTTGCTGACATGACTGAGCTTTTGGTCATGGGATTATTTACTTTTAAAAAGTATGTTAGATCAGTTAATTAGTTTAATTTCACATGTCATCATATAAGGTCAGTAAAGTTTAATCCCACCAGTTCTTTCACTTTGTCCATTAAAAATGTTGCTAATCACTGCAGAAATTGCCATATGCATTGCTAAGTAAATTAAGTGTAAAGTGTAAAATGTAATGTTTTGAGAGTCCAGGGTGAAATCTTAGTATGTCCTGTTTTGTCCAGCCAACTGTCCCAAACCCAAAGATATTTAATTTAAATAGAAATTCAGAAAACGTTCACATTTTTAGAAGAATAAAGTGATATGAATGTCAGTTATCTGAGTAGTTTTAAAAAAAATTTGTCGCAGGCCACTAATAGATACAGTCTGTATTTATGGGAACATGTATTTATGTTACATCCTTTATGCCAAGGGGGAAAAACAAAGCACTCGATGCCATGCTGAAGAGTTGTTGCATGGCGTTCTGCACATCAGACTTAAAGAAGCAGTGTGTAGTAGGGTTTAGTGGCAGTGAGGACTGCAGGTCGCAGCCATTTGAAACTTCTCTTTCATCATTGTTCAGGAGGTCTGCTCTGGGAGCTGAATTATCCGCAGAGGTCTCTTCCTCCCAAAAACAAACGGACAAGGTGATTAAAACCAGTAAAAACACTGAATAAAGCAGATTCATGTTAAAAATCAGTTTCTGCAACGCTGTTCGGATCATGGCAAAGGGGCTGCTCGCCCAGCACCTGCTAATGTGTGCTCATCTTTTTTCTCTGATAACTTACGATCCAGATGTTCAGGAGGTTTTTACCAGGAGCCGAATTATCCACAAAGGTCTCCTCCTCCTCCTCCTCCGTGAGAAACAAATGGACCTGGTGAACTAAAACTCGAAAAACGCAGAATAAAGCAGTTTCATGTTAAAAATCAGTGTTTTTTCAATGCTGTTTGGCTCAGCGGGGGCTGGAGCCGAGCTGCCGCCAACATTTGCTCAGCTGGTCTTTCTGATAATTTAAGATCTAAAACCCTTCATTCTGTTTAAACATATAGTTAAAAATGACCAAGATCCAAAAAGCGTATCATAAAAATGTGGCTTAAAACTGGATGAAAAGTCAATTTATGATAGCTTCTGGCATATGTCACTGGCAGGTGACAGCGACCAAATAACATGGACAGTGTCTTTGATTAAAATGACAGATTTCGCTGGGTTTGAACATTGTTGGAGACGTTCAAGTCCACAACTCAACGAAGTGTGTAACATTGATCTTGTTGTTTTAAAGCATTTTACAGTGGAAAAGTTACATATTATATCTTTAATTTAAAATGATATAAATCAGATAATGTTCACCACTCAGAAGAGGAACATATGTCAGTTGTCAGAGCTATCGTGATTCATTTTTTTTTGCTCAGCTCTCTGAGTGTTTAAGGAGAAGTTTAAACCTAGAAAGTAAACAAATGAGTCACTTTTTTGGAGGTGGAATTGAACTGTTTTTGTAATGTCACCGTTCCTGCCTACCTCAAGTATTTGTTCTTGGTTACAGGATATCAAATATGTCCAGGTGTTACTCATCCACCACATCAGAAATGCACAGATTTTTAGACTCTGTTCTTACATCACTGCAAAACCAGACCATTTGCATTGTAAAGTAAGTACATGACTTTTTCTAGAAGTTAATCGTCGGGGGGAAAACAGGAGGAAGTGAGCGATGCAGAAACATCCTCAATAATGAATGTGCAGCTGCGAGCTGTGTCATAGCACATGCATCGATGTGCCCTCAAAGTCTTTGCAGACAAACTTCTGCCAGAAAATGAGACATTCCCGTTTCTGCATGTGGCTTTGATCTGAAGAAATATGGGTCTAAATACTGTCATGAATTCAGTCATAATGTTACACCGAGCAGAATGATCGCTCTGCAGGGAGAGTCAGAGGACCAGTGAGTCACTCTTCACCATGTTGTGAAGTGCTGCTGGTTCCACATGGCAGGGGTTTAGAAAAAAAAGGAAACAAGCTGACATGTGATGAGTTGGCATGATTTATTTTGTTTGTTTCAGGCGGTGCTGGTGAAGTCGAGGGAGCAGGTGGCAGATGAACTAAGCCGACTGCAGAGAGACAACGAGAGCCTGCAGGGAAAACACAGGCTGCACGTAGAACTGCAGCAACAAGAGGACTTCCAGATGCCCAGTACTGTGCAAGTATGTGAAGCAGGGGGTCCTTAAAAAGTCTTAAAAGGCATTGAATTCATTAATCCAAAAATAAGGCCTTGACTGGTATTAAAATATAAATGGTAAGTGGACTTACACTTGTCACATTCACACATACATTCACACACAATCATACACTGATGACACAGCCACCAGGAGCAAGTTGGGGTTCAATATCTTGCCCAAGGATACTTCCACATGCGGACTGAAGGAGCAGGAGATCGAACTGTCATCCTTCCAATTAGAGGATGAGCTGCTCTACCTCCTGAGCCACAGCTGCCCGACTAGAGTCAGTCTTTTAGAAGTCTTAAAAAATGCTAAGCAGGGTGTCTGCCAGTTCTTAAAAGAATCTTAGGGGCTGTACACATGCCGCGTTTTTTGTGCCCTCACATAAATTGTTTCAGTGCAGACACGTGGCAGGCGCAATTTACACGCCAAAGTGACGCCTTTTTTTCAGGGCATGACAGCTGCACACTGAGATAAGTGTAACTTTTGGAAAGAATGGATGTACGAGGAACAACTAATCCCAGCCAACAAATATCTGTCCTTTCATCCATAAATATCAATCTGTGATAAATATGGAGGAGTGCAGGGCTACCCAGAGCTTTCCATCTGTCCCACAGACAATATTTTTGGCCTAATACTCACTTACAAAACAGCGCCTGGAGGAAGATCAGCTCTACACTCAAGATTTCCGATAAGTAGGCTTTGATACCCGCTGTCATGGTCGCTTAGCAACCTCAGATGCAACCTGCCTTTACGCCCTTGAAAGTTGGCACAGAATAGGCACAAGAGTCGTGTCCAGCACAAGACCTTGTGTTTTCCAGGTGGTTAAAGACATGGCGTGTGTGTGGCCCTTTAAAATGTCTCAAAATGTAAAGCCTTAAAAGTCATTAAATAGTCTTAAATTTGAATTTGTGAGGTCTTAAATGCCACAAATATTTGATCTAACTTCATATATCCATCCGTCAGTTTTTGTCAAAATGAGTCGAGCTCTTTTGCTTGAGAGAAAAAGAAAAGATTATTTTTTCTGGCGTTTTTTCCTTTAATGGATAGGACAACTAAGTATGTGAAGGGTTAGGGAAAGAGGGAGTGACACGCAGCAAAGGGCTGTAAGCCGGAACAGCACCCAGGCTACTGCAGCGAGGACTGAGCCTCTGTACATGGGGCGCCTGCTCTAAACACTAAGCCCCTGACGCCCCTAACATCTATTTTTTTATTTAATTTACTGAATGCCTCTGGCATTAACGTCACATAGATCAGGATAGTGGAACCAACAACGCAATACAACGATGAAGTACTGTAATTCAATATGATTTTGAGTAGGGTTGCCCCCACAGTCGAACAAACGTTAGTCGACCAGAGAAGTCATTATTCGACATGATTTCATTGGTCGCTTAGTGGCAGAGGAAAACAAACAAAAACATACGTGAAGCTCTTTTAGGAGCTGCACCTTCAAAATAATCAAAACCTATATGAGTGGACCATGTGGGAGTTTAATTTGAAAGGACAGACACAGGAAGTGTCTACGCTCAGCAGTCAGACAGGAGTCAGGTTAATTTCCAGGGCTGGTACCTGCGGTTATTCCACAGGCTAGTTAATAACATGTCGGGCAGGAAATCCAAAGTGTGGGATCATTTTGAGAAGGTGAAGGACGAACCCAAGGTGATATGTAAACTCATCTTCATTGGTCGACTACTAACATGACGTGTCATCTGAAACATGGAAGTAGCTACATGCCCATTAGCTCACAGCGTCATTAACAGGCGGCTCGCTCAGTGTGTGATGTACACTTGTAGATAAAATATAGGCCTATATTAATGAAGGTTCATCAGATACTATTCTTTCTCACACCTTCAACTCAAACCACCAAAATATATCATTTAATAATTAAATGAGTATCGTAAACATGCAGGTGACTAGTCGACTAATGGCCCTAAATGATAACTATTGGTCGACTAGGAAAAATCTTAGTCAGGAGCAGCCCTAATTTTGAGGTACTACTTTACACTCCACTCCCTGACATCTCCAGGTTTGCTGATGTTGAATGTTTGTGAAAAAACGAAGTGTTCCTTTGATTGCTGAGAAAATGTTCCTACTTCTCAAGTTAAATAAACTCTTTTAAAATGCTCTTGGATCAGCTGGAAAATGTATCGTCACAATGCTGAAAACAGGGCTGTCTGACACCATGAAAACATTTTAGAGATTTGTGGTTCTCACAGGACAGCCACACTACAAACATATGATGATCTTATAGAATATGATGCCTTGCTGTAGATTAAATTACCCAACAGTATATAAAGGAGTTAAAATGAGCATAACCTTCAACATCTACAACAGTAGAATTCAACATACACATTAATGCAGCAGTAATTTTAATCCTAAACATCACATATAACAGTAAAACACTAAAAGGGAACATTTTACTGCACAATGAACAGTTTTACTTGAAGTACTTGAAGTATATTTTGCTTAAGATACAAAAGTAAGGTTTTGAATGCAGGACTTTTTCTTCTAGTAGAGTATTCTCACAGTGTGGTATTAGTACTTTTACCTAAGTATCTTAATATGTCTTTAACCTCTGCTCATTTTGAGTTTTCTGACAAAGGGAGAATACTATCTTTTTATGACAACTGTGCGCTCTCAAACACACACATCATCCTCCCACTCTGTTACTCTTTGCCTCTTGCTGAATTACGCTCTGGAGGTAAATCTGGCAGAGTGGGCTTGTGCTTTAGTGGAGGTGGAGTAACACTGGTGACATTTTCTGCTCGTTGGTGGTTGAAACAAGCTGCTCACATAACATTTAAATCTGTATTTACTGCATCAAGATACCAAAGATTATGTTAATGCAAAGCAATGTAACTTCTTATTATTCATATTTTACACTGCTAGAATCTGAATAAGATCTGGATTGTGTTGCATCAGATATTTTTATATCCACCACCACATTTGTGTGTAAAGCACCTCTGTATTTCATAGGTATGATTATTAAGTTTCAAACTAGTGATTTACATAATGGGGTTGCACCATTTAAGTCGTAGCTGCAAAATAAATTACAAATATCAACAGTTTAAGGTGATAAAGTGATAGATTAAACTAAACTGCCAATCCTGTGTAGGGTATATATGTATTTATGGATACATGGTGAAATATGTGTTTTGTAACACTATTAAAAGGTTATCAATAAGGTTAAAAAACCAGATGGGCACAACAGAGGGCGGCACAGGCTGCATTTTCCTGACTGAACCCAACCCGAGTCCGAGACAGTTGTAACCGAGCCCAGCCCAACCCGGCCCGACGCAGTTTGTTACCTGACGTAGTTATCGTTATCATGGTTACAGCTTGTCTGTTTACCGTGATCACACATGGACAGTGTGTAAATGACCATCAAAAGCCTGCTGTTACGCTGCATTCAGGTGTTGTCATGTAAATAACAAATCCTAGCACTTGAATAGGCCATAGCACAACACAGCAGCATGTCAAGTGGGCCGAAGCCGAGCAAAATGTGTGATTTGTTATCCGAACCCGGCCCAGCAGATTTGTACACTGAATCCTTGTCAACCAAGAGTGACCATTCCCTTTTGACTAATAAAAGGACAGCAGTGTCCCTTGCTCCAACTTTTAGTGTCGGATCAATGTGCTAGGTACCTCAACAGAGACGTGACTAAAAAACAGTACAGAAATGAGTGGTTCTTGTGGTACCATCCACAAGTTTTTGTCTAGGAAATGCAATAATCGCTGTAAAAAATCACCGCACTGCTTGGTGGAAACAAGGCTTATGCTTCAAAGCCAGACTCATTTGACAAAAACAGTAATTTTACCTCACTGAACACAGGAGCTGCTGGTCTACTGCTGCCTTGATCAGTTAGTTTGTCGGAGTTATTGTGTGACTTTGGTGTTTTAAATAGTTAGTTCGGATTCAGCAAAGTCACACAATTACGCAAACAAGTCATGGATTGAGGCAGCGGTAGATCAGCAGCTCCTGTGTTCAGTGAGGTAAAATTACCTGCTTTTGTAAATGGAGTCTGGCTTTGATAAGAGTATCGATAAGCTAAACTTTTAGTTCAGTTCCCTATTGGAAAGGGCTGTCCTTTTGGCAAGTGAAATGAGACTTGGATTATACTGCATGAGTTGTGTGAGAGTTTGTACACTATGTATAGATGTAGTTTTTCTGTTTCTAAACGTGGTCACTGAGCCCCGTTTCCACCAAACACTTTCGGTATAGTGTTTCACTGCAAACAGTACCCTTAGATGTGGGCGGGGTTGTTGTCACTCACTGCTCCGTCCAGCACTAACTGTATTTCCTCCTTTATCAGCCTGCACCTCGTTTTTAATCCACAGAACGAGGCTGCACGCCGACATTTTCAGAACAAAATAGAACAGACTGCAGTGAGTGTCTCTCTCCATGGGATATTTAAAAATAGCAGCTTTGTGCATTTAGTCCTTCTCAGGCAAGCTCGGGGGTTTAGTGTTGCTGTAGCCCACAGGAAATACATACAAATGGTCATTTATGAGGGGAAGTATTCCTCTAAAAATTGTGCTCTTAGATAATGATTCTCCACACTGATGCCTGTAATGTAGTTTCGTTCTTCTCCAGGAGCTACACAGCCTGGTGGTGCGGTTACGTGAGGACCTGGTGGCGTTACGGACATCAGCTGATCACATGGAGGAGAAGCTGAAAGCTGAGATTTTGTTTCTGAAGGAGCAGAACCAGGCGGAGCAGTGTCTGAAGGAGAACCTGGAGGAGACTCTGCAGCTGGAGATCGAGGGTTGTAAGGAGGAGATAGGTGAGGCTTAAACTCTCCAGTTGGATTGTTAATTGAACTTTGATCAGCTTTTTATTTTTTAGTAAATAAACCTTCCATCACTTTAACTTCTGTGAGTGTTTTTTATTTTTCTGGACATTTCTTACATTCTCTTCTGTTTCTGCTTTTGTTTCTTCTCCATTGATCACTGTCATTCAGACATCCTGGAAGGTATGACGAACACGTTGAGCTAGCTCACTTTAACTGCTTATGCGTGCGTGCGTGCGTGTTAATGGCATAGCTGTCAGGCTGACAAATAACTGTAGTGAGTCCGCCACATACCCCTTTTCCCACACATGTCTTGAACTGTCTTGGAATGTCTATAATGTGAATTAATTCACCTTACTGAATGTTGTCCTGCCCCACAGATTGTTTATAACATGTTTTACTGTAGTTTGATCAGGATGTTTGTGTATCCTGTTGATAAGTTAACACTGTTGTTTTTGTGTGTTGCACTTACAGCCTAAATCTTTACACGTTTACACTCACTTGAACTGGTCACCTTAACCCGGTGTGCGACAAGAGATTTGGTATCCAAATTGTGTGGGGATTGATCTGTCTCAATATTTTTTGTGTCAGGGCGGCTTCTAGCTCAGCAAGTAAAGTGTCCGCCCCAGGCTGAGTCCTTTGCAGCAGCCTGGGTTCGATTCCAACCTGCGGACCTTTGCTGGTGTCATCCCCATTCTCTTTTCCACTTTCCTGTCACGCTCTAGCTGCACTGTAATAAAAAAAAGGCAATAAAAGGCTATTATTTGTGTGAACAGATTGACAGGAAAGATTAAAAACATTATGATAACCATTGTATTCAATTACTTTGATATTATTTCATTGTATTATGGACCTAACAAGAATAACGGAAAACAAAAAGTATGACCGTGTCTTTGTGGTGAACTAGCTACCTCGCTAATGTTTCGTTGTTAAGGCTGATTGGTGCATGACAGTCCCACACCACACCCAAAATTTAACTTAAGTCTAGCAGCAAATTTGCTTCACTTGTTACCGCTCTTCTATCATCAGTGCACACTGGCAGGGAAGGAGCATGGGTTGCTAACATTAGCTTGTGGGGCTAGTGGCCTGGTACTAAAGCAGTGTTCATTTTTATTTGATGACTTGATCGATTGATAGCCTTAAACAGAAGTGGTGAACCTGTCACGAGCGTCCCGACAACCCCAAAATAATGCCTATAGCCCACAAATGGCATATTTGCAGTGTCCAGCAACACTCATCGCATCTGTTTACGTAAACTAATGACATATCAATGTCTTAAAGGGTTGTTCTGTTTTATAGGGAAATATTTCAACCACCAACCCTTGTAACTCTGTCTTATCTTATTTGCAATATTGTTATGTAACATGTATTTGCTTGTCAAAACTTAATTTTGAGAGTAGAGAGTAAAATGGATCTGTTGGGAAGTCTGAGCACAGAAATGGCATTAAAAAACAAGCTAAAGTTGTTTTCTTGCTGTTTTTAATTTACAAACAATTAAAAACACACCATGTTTGGATTATTGAAAGGTGTGTATTCATTTAATTGTTAAAACATTCACACCTCACAGATCTACCAGAGACTCAGGCCCTGTTTAGACGACAACGGTTTCTCTAAAAACGGAAAAGTCTGTCCTTTGCATTTTAAAAAACTTCTGCGTTTATATGACGACGTTATTGAAACGATTCCCGTGCACACACAGCCGCAAAATCTACTGGAAACGCTGTAGTATGCATGCCAGGCCAATGGGTGGCAGTGTAAATTTGCAAAGCAACACCACGGCATGACGCCATGCGTCTGTGCTGAAGCGCCTTCCTCTACAGTGCGGTGATTACAAACCAAAACAAAGAAGACACAATGGTGAAAGCATGCACAGAAAACTTTGTCTGGATGGACGACGAGGTGGAGTTGCCACAGTAACAGATCTACACTTCAAATCAACAGGGTGAGCAGCACAAACAGAGCTCGGCATTGTTGTTGTGAGGGATGGCATGCCTAGTGACTGGAACCGTAATGCGCGTGTGTGAAAAGTCTCCGTTTTCAGAGGAACTGCATATTGCAAGTTTACATGACATCGGAGACGCTGCCGTTTCCAAAAAGTTGCACTCTGGAACCCGTTTTCAAAACGTTGTGTTTTCAGGCACCCAAAATGCCGCTGTTGTGTAAACGATCGGCCAAAACACAACTAAAGTTTACCGTTTTCAGTTGAAATCGTTGTCATGTAAACGTGGCCTCAGAGATAACTTTGACACCATTTCTCTTGTCTTTTGAAGTGACCAGTGAGCTGAGCTGCCCAAAGACAGTCAATGTAGCCATTAAATGTCAGAGTGTTTTATGTTTGTTACAGTTTATTTTTAGGTCAACACATTCTTTAAGGCTCAGTCAGTCTATTAGCTTTTAGGATTTGTCCTGTAGATGTCTTACTGCCTGTTTGACACATCCCAAACACACACAGCACCTCTCAGCTCTTTGCTTTCACTAAAGGTGCAGCTTTGTTGCATTATTCATGAAGTGCCGAGTCATTTTCAAGAGACCCCGTCATGATCCCAGAGAGAACATCTTTGAGCTTTTGAGATTCAGATGAGCTGTGTACAGGATGATCCTCTAATGATATCTCCCTCCAACAGCCTCTTTCTCCAGTCTGAAGACGGAGCTGGAGCGAATAAAGGCGGAGAAGGAACAGGTACTTAACTCTATATGATGTCATGCAGTGTTACACCTCAGTGGGGGGAAAATAGAGATTTCTTTAATGCACATGCTGCTCATTTCATCCTGTGAAAAGACTGTCAGAAGACTTAATGTTGTCAGCGATGGTATTTCTCCTGATAGAGATTTTTAAAGCTGCACTAATCGATATTTTCAATCAATATTTTAAATTGACAGTGAGTCAAATATTTGTCAGTGGCTTGTAGTGACGAATCACCCACCTCTGCAGTTCTCCTTCAGCTCCACTAAACATTTTTGTTTTGGTTTTATGGCCCCCAGGCGTCACTGTTTTTGTTCAGTCTCAGCGCTCTCATAAGTGTTGCTTCCAGATGCAGGAGGCTGATAGTTACAACAAGAGTAAGCTAGCAAGGCAGTTTTGTGCTTATGTGTGTGGTATTTATTCAGTTTGGGAAATCCCACGATTTCTACGAAGCATTAGAGTGAGCTAAAGTTGGCTTGCCGACTCAACAGGGACTACAAATTGTCTCTGTTGCTAGGTCATTACTAAGGGTGCTTTCACTCCTGCACTGTTTGGTTTGGTTCAATCTAACTCAGGTTTGTTTGCCCCCTCAGTGCGGTTCATTTGGGCAGGTGTGAACACAGCAATCACACTCAGGTGTGCACCAAAACAACCAGACCGAGACCTTCTTGAAGAGGTGGTCTCAGTCCGGTTACAAACAAACTCTGGTGCAGTTTGTTTGTGGTGAGAACGTGTTCCGACCTGGATCTGAACCAACTGCAGTCACATGACACATTGTTTGGGTTAAACATGAGCATGTTACAGTCCTGGAGGATTATTAATGTGCACCTCCTCCTGTACTGCCTTAATATGCACATTCAGCACATCCAATGCATCACAACATTGTTTTCTAGTTGGAGCCGCGCCTCGTTTTCAAACTGTATGGTTTGACTAAAATGAACAATGACAGCAATATAGTCCACGATGAGCAGCGCTAAAATCAACCTGCGTAATGTCGGGCTGACAGTGAGCATTTGTCACCCTAGTTTTTGCGGTGTGTCCTGGATGGTTGGCACAAGTTGGCCCTCGCTGAACACAAACATCAGTTTGTGTTCTCAATGTACTAACTGGCTCACTAGCGTCTTGAATCCATCCTGGCGGTCTTCCAGTTTCCCTTTTTGAATATTTAATACAGATTACTGCCACCTGCTGGTGTGGAGAGTTATTTCCTCTGACACAGGTGCAGAATGTACGTGCTGGTTGGTTGTCAGCTGTAGTTTTTGTGGGGTGCTGAGTGCAACTTTTTGGCCAAGACACAGGCGATGCACAGTTGGACTTTGACGCCACGTGTTCTTTAATGTTAGATCAGTGTGTATGGGCCTCAATCTACAGATCAGTTGCCCTCCCTCCCTTCAGTTGTAGACTCTTAGTGAAATATGTTGTCTCTAGTACATTTGTCTTTGTATCATTAATATGTATTACCTACATAACTGTTGTTTATGTAGTTGCAGAGCAGTTTAACAGAGAAGACTGAGACACTGGAGAGTATCCAGGCCCTGAGGGTCACCCTGGAGCATCAGCTCAGAGAGCTTACCACTGCAAAGGTCAGTCTCATTCACACACATTTACCTGAAGGCCTGTAATGTCAGAGCATCGCTGATGTTTTGTAAACCCCAGACCTACTGCTATTTTAGGACAGAACTCTTTTCATGTCAGGATTACAAGAATATACAACCTCACTTTAGTATCTATTAGGGCTGTGCGATATGACGATATATATCATGTGACGAGAGAAAAATGTCTATCGTTTCATATTTTGCTCTATCATTTATATTGTTGTGATGCAAATTACACTTTTTACGGCAATATTTTTCATCATTTGGAGTCTGTCTATCTTTTGCACGGATCACATTGATAAATTACTCTTCTTGGCTTTTTAATTCGCGAAGCTTTTACGGCACTTACAGTAATATAACGAGTTTATATAACTCCACTGTCTGTCTCTGCCGCGCTGCAGCCCTGCAGCGCTGAGAAAGAGCAGACAAGCGAGATGGAGACAATTAATGACAGCAAAACTCATATTCAGACCAAATCAGGTGGTGTGGAGTACAGCCTCAGTGTTGAGTGGAGGTGTGTGGGGGTGTGGGCGTGTTTGTGCTTTACAACATAACCGTTGTGAAACAATCAGAAAATAACGTTTTATTGATCTGATTCACCAGCTTTCTTGCTACCAGCACTCCCTCTCTTCACTCACTCTCTAGCTTGCTCGACCACAGCTGCTCGCTCTCTCTCTCTCTCTTTTTCTCTCATCTTCTTTAAAATGAGTTATCAAATGAAGAGAAATTGGGGACAACTTTTTATTCATTTGATTAAAATGTGCTATATCGTGATATGTATTGTTATCAGGATATGAAATGACCTATATCTTGATTTGAGATTTTGGTCATATCGCCCAGCCCTAGTATGCAAAACAATTTATAGAGAATGCTTTAATGAATGCCAGAAAGAGGCGGTGTGTAATATTTCCTTATTGAAATACAGAGTATTTAAGAGCATTTTTAGACAATCCGAAGCCATTTGTAAACTTCTGTGTAATGACACTGAAGCATTCATTCAGCCAGTGATGCTACATCACTTTAAATTATTCAGCAAATGCGTTTGAGTTAAATATTTATTTGACCTCTTCTGTAATGTTGAGGATTTTTTTCTGGCATTTTATGGGCTCCATTTAGACTTTCTAATTCAATTTGTGTGTGTATTTTGTGTATGTGTGTGTGTGTTTTCACTGCAGAGTGCACTAGAGAGTCAAGTGTTTGAAGAGAAAGACAAAGCTCAGCGGCTGCAAACAGAGCTGGATGTCAGTGAGCAGGTTCAGAAAGACTTTGTCAAACTTTCTCAGACCCTTCAGGTAAGGAGGAGTTGTCTGTTTATGGGACAGTTATCACGTAAACAAAAAAAGAAATTTAAATAGGCAAAACATTTAGAAGTCTTATTGATAACATTTTTATGTTGATAAATAATTTGTAAAAGCGATCAAGAGCCTGCTAACACAGCAATAGCTAACATCCGACACCGAGCTGTTACACGTTCCAAACTAACTCACACATACAGACACTGAAATGGCTCACACTGTAGTTACACCAGATAAACCATTAGGTAATGATAGTCGTGTGATGCTAACAGTTAGCCCTGTAATTGTGTGTGTGGGAGACTCCCACAGCAGTAGCATAAAATATGCTGGCTTGACACGCTGCTTTTCCCTGCTGCTTGTCTGAGGTCCGACCTCCCTCTTGCTCCTTTCCAGATATTTTCACATCTAACTAGGTGTATTAAGGGTTTATTTCAACCAGTTGGTGGGTGTTAAAACAGTTGAAAGATAAACCAAGATGTTTTTTTTTTTTTTTTTGAGGGTTTTTTCTGCTGATTTTCAATGGAGTGTGTTCTACGATTACAAAATGACTGTTTTTTTAAATGGAGTCTAATGGTACTGGGGACAGTGATTTTGGGGCTGTTACTGGCTAAACAAAAATGATCTAATTCTTTAAAGGATAACGTCGATATTTTTCATCTTGGATCCTATTTTTAAGTGTTTTTTTGTCTAAGTAACTAATGGTACAGTAAGTCTGAAGAAGAGGCGTTTGGCTCGAAACGTTCTCAACGGGAGCTACTTGGTGTGCGGACTTATGTGTTTTTTACTTTGCGAGCTGTTTCTTTGGTCGAGTACTCATTTCATTGGAGGTTTTGATGTGCGTATCTTTTGTACTGTTTTTAAATGACTAATGGTGACAAGCTTTTGAAACTGGTCCACTATCGAGTGAGACCACTGCAGCCGATGGCGGCAAAACAGGCTGCAGTGTAATCATTCAGGACATTGTTGGATGTATTTTTGCACCTGTCTGGCTTAGAGTATCATTCTAAATGTCTGACAACATTATGGAAAGGATCCCTACAGAGATAGACCTTTATGTTAATGAGTAAGAGTCTTTTTGTTTAACCACAAACAGCCCCAAAATTGCAATCACCAAACCCACCAGACTCCCCACTTCACACACTTCATTCAGTGTCGACGGAAACAAAATAAAAGTCACGAAAGCCATCCCGGTTCATCTTTCCACTGTTCCGGCAATCAACAACTCTGGTTCGGTTGAAAAGTACCCTTAATTCACCCAGTTAGATGCAAAAATATGTTGGCTCTATGCACGCTAAAATTACTCATTATTCAAGTGGAGTTTGGTGGGTTTTGCAAAATCAATTTTGGGGCTGTTTGTCGCTAAACAAAAAGGATCTTACTCCTTAAAAAGATCTGTCTGTGTGGGGATCCTTTCTATATGTAGTCAGACACTTAAAATAATGAAAAGTAGTCTAAACCTTTCAGTGTCAAAACAAGCACTTAGTGAACATACACTGAAAGTGCAAGAATTGCCTCAAGTCATTACATTGCAACCTGTTTTGTGGCTGCTGGACAAGTTTCAAAAACTTGTTCCTGTTAGTCACTGAGACACAAAACATGGAAAACAGGGTCCAAGGTGAAAAACACTGAAGTTTCTCTTTAATTCCTGCGAGCATATGTTTATGTTTGCAGAGATTTTAGTGAGTAAGTCAAACTGGAACTGTGAACGTAGGAGAGACAAAAACAGATTGTTTTTGTGTTTAAATGAACCAATCGATGTTTTGTCCGCAGGTACAGCTGGAGCGAATACGACAGGCGGACTCCTTGGATCGAATCAAAGTCATCCTCAATGACACCAACTTGACTGACATCAACCAGCTTCCAGAGACATGATACCACTGATTGAAAACTGCCTTCAGTTTCATTCCCCCTTCTTTTTCTTTATCACTGGCCCCAGTAACATTATTGATCTGACCCTTCCTCCTCCTCCTCCCCCCTAACCACCACAGAGGAAGAGTTTGGAGGACAGACATGGCATGAGGAGCCTTTTGTGTACATTGAGAGTCTTGGAACACACCATGGATAGAATAATGAAGAAGAACACTACTAAAAAAATTGTAAATAACTAAATGTGTGACTATGGACGGAGGGAGTCCATCTTCCTGTGGGTCTGTCTGTGTCTTGTTTCTACTGTAGATATATGACTGTCTGTATTAGCTCAACCAAAAAAGGTTTGTCGTCTTCTTAAGCACTTTTCATCTGCAACTTCTCTTTCCAGGTAAATATAGAAAACAATTGGATGCATAACTTTTTCTCCCTCTGTTCTCAAAGCGGTTGATATTCGCTTCCCTGTTCCACTCGCTTGTTTTTCCCCGTGTTTTTGTTTCCTCACCTTCTCTGGCTATTTTTCCTGTGACATTTTCCGCCTTGTTCACCTTGTGACAAACACGATGAAGGAGATTCATGGAAAAATACTTGCACATAACTTAAGTTAGATAAAAAAAAAAAGGAACACAATTTGAGCAATACCCTCCATTTCTTAAACCTCCTCCACTGTATCTTGTTTTGTTCTTAACGTCTAACAGAAGCCTTTTTTAAAAGCTGCAGAAATACAGTGAAGAAACATCAAGTCATTTCAAAGTTTTATTTTTCACATGTTTCTTGATTGTCGAGGAAATCATCAAAACTCTAGCTGACCTAGTTTACATCATGGTTTGGTGAGGAAGCATAAATGGATTTTAATTCACACTTTGTTCCTTTTTGTTTGATTTATTTTTTGACCTTCTTAAAGGGGACCTATCATGCTCATTTTCAGCTTCTAGTAGAATATGTTTACATGCTTAAATGGTCAAAAAATACTTTATTTTCCTTACACTGTCTGTGCAGATACACCTCAGAAACACCCTCTATCTCAAACGCTCTGTTTTTGCACCTGTTTCTTAAAGCCAGCCTCCCGAAAAAGCTTAGTCTGCTCTTATTGGTCAGCGTTTTCCGGTCTTCTGTATCTCAGCGTCTCTGCCAAGCCCCCAGGAAGTGCGCTGGACTTTGAAGCCAATTGCACATAGTGGTCAAACTGTGTAACTACAACTTCTGGGTCAGTAACGTGATGCCATCAGGCGCAAAAAAAAGAGATGTCTATAAATCAATAGATAATGTTTTTAAGCATCACTCATTTCACTTTTGGATTTGATTCATTTGATACGATAATGTGAAAAAGAGCTGCAATGACTAAATAATTTTATTCCCATTCAAGTTGGTGGAGGGCTAAATTGAGAGTTAGCCACTCAGCTGGAGAAGTCTCTAGTGCGCTAGCTCTATGGATCTGGGTAATTTGACACTCAGGAAGTTAAAGTTTTTTGGCGTCATGCACCACTAAGCAACTTTTATTGGAATGAATGGGGCCCCGCCTCCATCATTGTACCTGGGGAGTGACTGTAATGCAGTATAGCGTCACTTTATACCATGAAAACCCGTCAATAAAAGCCTTAAAACCCAACCGTACATGTTCCAGCAGGAATATGATCCAAAATCGCAGCGCAGTTAACTACATCAGCAACCAAGATTACATGTTTCCCTGGCGTTAGCTTGTAGCTACATGTAGCAATGTAGGCTACATAATGTAAACACTCGCAGTAGCGTGCCTGGAGCAGATGACCATGTAAAGAAATCTCTCATGAGCTGACATCTTGTCTCGAAAGTAGGAAAAAAAACAATGGAAACGAAGTATTCAGAACAGTCTGAAGGTCTGAGGTTTTTGCTCACAGTGATTACTTTTACATACGTTTACCTTCTCGTTTGAAACTTTTATCCACCATTATTTAGAACATTGGACATTGCAACATAACATATATGACAGAAAATATGGAAAAGCAAAATAGGTCCCCTTTACTGTTATTCTAAAGCCCTTAAGTTACAGGTGGTGGCTTTTTGGTTGGCGCAAGTTATTTTTCTTCTGTCACAGCAGTAAGAGGCAGTTAACTGTTGGGGGCACCAGGGGAAGGAAAGGCGAACCTCTAGCTAGCAAGCGACTCTGCCACTTCTTGTCAGACGGAGAAATTCAGAGGATAAAATTTCGACTAATGGACTGCTGACATATCTATAGTGTGTCTACGAGGTTCATTCATCACTTCAGCAAAGTCTGTATCGGCGAGGCTACTAATGGATGTTATTTAAATCAGTGCATTAGAAAGCAAGACTTTGCAGCTGTGCATCAGAAATCACTAAAAACAAGAATTCACAGACTGATAAACAACTAAAGCTGCCAATATGCTTGGTCAGAGCTGCTTGTCGGATTGTCATGTAGCTGTTTCCTTCAATTTTAATTTGAACAATAGAATAAAATATGAATGCTTTCCAGGAAAGATTGTCTGAAAATGTCTGCCGATATCCCCATATTAGCCTCTCTGTGATGGCTGCTCAGACCAACCATGAACCCTTTTGGTCTCGGACAACGCGCCTCAGTGTGCCTCAGAACAAACCATGTTGTACGATGTGTCATCAGACCACCCTGAAGGCAGAGTGTTTATACCTTTTCTGAATGGCTGCAGTCAGAAGAACTCCCGAGTCTCTGTACTTTGGACCCAGTACATTTTATAAATGGGGACATTTTCAGATAGTGGTTGAGGTAGATGTATGTCAAATGAAAAAAGGGAGCTTTTGAGAGAGAAATCCCACCTCCTTTTACCCCTCCACACACCTTTATGAGGGTGTGATTGTCATGTTGTTTGTGTAGCAAAGTGGCAAAAATTGTCTGAAGCAAACTGAAAGGAGGGCTGAAACAGCCCAATCGTCAGAAGAAAATGTTGGGAATGTATGTTTTTGCAAACCATGAAAATGTCAAATTAAAAGGTTCAGCGTTTCTAAAGTGATGTAGTATATGAACAGACAGACAGTCATCTGAGGGTGCAGGGAACTGTGGATGGCGTGTCACCTTGGTGAGAAAGAGAAGGTGTATGGCACAATACCTAGGTGAGAAAGGAAAAGTGGATGGCATGTCATCCAGGCAGGAAATGGATGGTGTATGGTGCATCACTTAGGCAAGAAAGGGGCAGTGGATGGCACATGACCAAGGCGAGAAATAGACAACAGATAGTGCAGCACCTAGGCGAGAAATGGGCCCCGGATGGTGCGTCACCTAGGCGAGAAACAGACAGTGGATGGTGTATCACCTAGGCAAGAGAGGGACGGTGGATGGTGTGTCAGCTGGGCAGGAAATGGACGGTGGATGATGATTCACCTAGGTGAAAAATGGACCCTGGATGGTGCGTTACCTAGGCGAGAAACAGACAGTGGATGGTTTGTCACCTAGGCAAGAGAGGGATGGTGGATGGTGCGTCACCTGGGCAAGAAATGGATGATGGATGGTGCGTCACCTAGGCCAGTAAGAGACAGTGGATGGCACATGATCTAGGTGAGAAATAGCAGACAGATAGAGCCTCACCTAGGCCAGAAATGGACGGCGAATGGTGCGTCACCTGGGCGAGAAAGTGACTGTGGATGGTGCGTCACCAAGGTGAGAAAGGAAGGAAGGATGGAGCGTCACCTTTCTGAGAAAGAGACTGTGGATGGTGCATCACCTAGGCGAGAAAGGGACAGTGGATGGTTTGTCACCTAGGCCAGAAATGGACGGCGAATGGTGCGTCACCTGGGCGAGAAAGTGACTGTGGATGGTGCGTCACCAAGGTGAGAAAGGAAGGAGGGATGGTGCGTCACCTTTCTGAGAAAGGGACAGTGGATGGTGCATCACCTAGGCAAAAAATGGACGGTGGATAGTGCGTCACCTAGGTGAGAAAGAGACGGTGGATGGCACATCACCTAGGCAGGAAATGGATGTTGGATGGTGCATCACCGAAGGCGAAAAATGGGCACCAAATGGTGCGTCACCTAGGTGAAAAAGAGACAGTGGATGGTGTGTCACCTAGGCAGGAAATGGACGTTGTTTGGCATATCACCTAGGTGTGAAAGGAAGAGGGGATGGTACATCACCTAGGCGAGTAAGGGACGTTGGATGGTACATCACCGAGGCAAGATGGCTGCCAAACTGCAGACTACTGTCAAGACCAACAAACAAAACCAGCTGTATTTTAGCAAGTCATTGCTTTGTTTCCAGCGGCTTTGTTCAGTTCAAATGTGGGTGTTGTGCAGCGACCCGTTGGTGGGAATAGTGCCACGAAAAGCGGATGTTTGTTTCCCAGACATTGCTGTTTTTCCTCCCTCGGTAGGATGGCATTGTGCCCCAAGACTGGATATTTTACACCAAAACATGGTCCTTTTTTTAAAGCCATAACCAAATGGTTTTGGGGCATAAACCCAACTGAAAGTTTCAACATATCCACTACATAATTATGTTCAAATGTAACATATTTGTGGTCTGCATGAACTTATGATGGCAACATTTTCTTTGCCGATTGGGTTGGGTTTTAGTTGATCTGACAAGTGCTTTCCTTGAAGCATACCGAGGCCTTCACCCCTACTGAAAATGAACAGCTGTGCTTTTTAGTAATCTATATTTAATCCAGTTTGATTATGAGAAGGATTTCAACCACAGCAGGGCTGGGGGAGGCAAGATTACACAGGTGGTATCCATTAAACAGCTACACATTTAAATCTTGGTATTGTAAGACAGCGCTGCCTGCCCCCTCAAAACCTTTATTCTCTAATGACATAAAGAAATGCAAGAATATTAATAGGAAGTTGTGTGGGGGGGCTTGAATCGTAATCTGTCTAATATGTGGGTTCATGTGCAGTGTCAGGTTTTATTCCGCCAATTTAGGCCAGCAGAAGTTATTACACAACCTTAAGTAGCACGTTATCAGCTGCTGGACGCCCACATGTGTAATATTCAGGCTGATTTTAGGTATTGAGAGACAACGTGAAAAATACAGACTACTGACACTGTGGAAAATTATTTAAAAATGGCAAAGAACCGTCACTAAAATCTTCTTTCTAATGTGCAGACAGAGAATATTAAATGATTTTGAGAACCCCAGTTAATGGTTCCTTTGAATTAAGATTGTGATTCAATGTTCTGCACACACTTTAAATGGTTTAAGCAGCAAACATGGTTTTATGGAAAATATAAGGCTGAATTTAAAAAATGAAATGGAGGGAGGGATTAAAACAAAACTATATACAGCTCTGTTTGGTTTAAGGACATGTTGATCACTGTTTTTTTTACTGCATGTATTACATTACCTTTTGTTGCATATGTCTATACTGTAGATATCTTGAGTTGGTATTTATGATAGATTCATGCAATGTGTTATGAGATGATGTGGATGTGTGGGCAAGCCAGCCTGAAGTTGCACTGACAGAAAACCGTATGTCTTTTTGGCTTGTATGATTGTGGGCTGAGAACTGAGAACTGGTGAACTTAAAAGTAGAAATTTTACAGTGTGAGATCTGGATATTATTTCTTTTTTCTCTGAAGGCCTTATTGCATTATGGCTTGGTGTGCTCTTAATTTTATTTGTGACAGTTATTGTCCCTCTAATTTAATGTCTGTTTATTACAGTAACAAATTTTTCCTGTGGCCCATGTGGCATTAATATGAAGATTCTCGCATCAACAGCACAGATATTCACTAATTCGTCATGTTTAAAAGGGTTTTTTTTTACGGAGTAATTTCTGATCTAACATTGCCAGATTATCTGAAAAATGTATGTTGAATCCCCAAAAAATGATGTTCAATGTTAAAATGAGATGGACGTTTGAAGTCTGGACGTCTGAAAGCTCATACTGTGGACCGCCCACTGCTTTTTAGTTTTGTGTATAAGTAGAAAGTCACAACAAATAAAGCACACTCGCAGCCAAAAATAAAATTTTGCATTGATCAAGGAGGCACTGGCACTGAAAAATCCACTAAGAAATAAAACACAGGCATTAGAAATTATTTCATTTTATTTTTTCTTTTTATTATTTTTATCATTTGTGTTCTGATGTTTTTCACTGACAGTCTCTTGATTTTTTGCTTTATGTCATTATGTTTTTCAGTGTCTTTTCAAAAAAACAACCTGATACCGAAAAAATTACATGAAATAATTTGAATACTGTCAAAGAATGCAAACAAAGTAAATATAATTTAAAAATATATAATTAAATAAATAAATAAATAAATATATGTGTGTGTGTGTGTGTGTGTGTGTGTGTATATATATATATATATATACACACATAAAAAATGGAAAAAATAAATTTAATGTCTGTGTTGGGAAAATCTGGCTTTTTTATTTTTGTAACTCTTTCACCACTTTCATGACAGTCTTTACAGGGATTATATAGGTACACTGAAATTTTATAACTTCAAAATATTTATTAATCTGTAACATACAGACAGTTCTTGCATTCCAAGCATTGACTATAATTTAAATTTTGAAAAGTCCTTTTCAAATAAATCACAATATTTTATATCCGACTAACAAATGTCAATTGGAGCTAAAAATTTAAAGATTTTTTATTATTTTTTTTTTTTATTGTTACCACGTCCTCGAGTGCACAGTCTGAGCTTTCAGCTGCAGCTTTTATCATTCCATATGTTGTAATGAATCAAAGCATTGTTATCCTGTTTTACATTCTAAGATCTGTACAAGGGTTAGACCAATACTCTCATTTGCTCACTAATTAAATGGCATCCGTTTTAAAGTAAAAACTGCAGATCCAGATTTCTTTTTTTTTTTTTTAAATTTTATTAATAAATAAGCTACAGGAGTTGCGATCTAATATAACTGTATTAAGCATGGGTTCCAGCAGAGATGTAAATGCTGTTTTACAACAAGAATAAAATCTTCTAAGGTCTTAAATACTTTTTGGAGGCTTTAATGCTGCGAAAATGGTCATACTTCACTGCTGGATATTTGGTGTTAGTGCTCAGTATTGATGTCTAAAAACACCAACTGGTCGAATCCTGGTGTGTGTACCTGCAAATCCATCCAAAAAAAGAAAAAAAAGGCATGAACAGCATGAATATGATTAAATTTAAAATGTAGTACTTCCCTTAGATAAATTCAAACATTGGTCACACGCGCTCTTTTAATTGCTAAATGTACAATATATATGTCATAGGTCCGAGTGAAATGATGTAGAGCTGGTATTCAATTCAGTTCATCTTTACTGTCATGTTGTTATATATTTGTGTGTAGTGCAGAATCAGACAGTGTTTCTCAAGAACCTCAGGTGCAAAATGCAAATATAAATATCGTGACAAGACATGCACACTTTCAGCCACAGGAACCATTCAAACATCAAAATGTTATGTTTTTAAGGACATTCATGCTCTTATCCGGTTTTATTTCTACATTTTATGCTTTTAAGGTACAAAGCTGTTCCTCTTTCTGCCCTTTAGTTCATTAATTTCAACTTCCACCTTTGAGTGTATTAAAGTTAAGCCTCCAACTTTTTAAGAAATGTATTTCAGCTTTCTTGCATTATTTATGGAAAACATTTGGTTAAAAATCCAATGGCCGATCAATGGACCCTCCCCTGAGGTTTTATTTGACAATTATAATATGAAAAACAATGGCTGTATTTGTTGTGGTTTAAGTGGTTTACTCGTATCACACATGGAAAGCTACACTCCTTGTGGTTCCATTAATGATGATCATTTCAAGATACAACCATCACAGCAGGCTCAATAAACACTTCTGTCAGATATGATACAAATGGCTATTACTCACCTATAAAGCATGATTTGAAACCACAGATCGATATTATCCAGTCAGGAACACTGCTGACTCAGTTCTCATACACTCTCAAAGGTCCAGATGATCTAAATTCAGCTAAATATTTAGTCCAAACACATTATTACTATTTGTTTCAAAAGTTCATATTTCTTCATATATTACCCATAATTTCTCTGTCCTTCATGTAAACAACTGGCTGCCTGGAAGCCAAAATGGAGTTAAATACCTGGCCTTTTCATTGACACCTCACTTGAGCCAATAGGAGCTTCCAGTGCTGTTCCTATGGCCTTGATAGCCAATGAGGGCCTGTGTCACTCACTTTTCCAGGGTTTATCATCAATCAATAGCCAGCATTTGGCCCAATGGCTTATGGGTCCTGTAGTCAGTGACTCTCTGGAACTTCACAGGAAGTTTGAACAGGCACCACAGACTGTTATAAATGTACGTACATACATGATAAACAAATGGCTCCTCTGTTGTCTATAGATAGATAGACAGATAGACAGACAGATAGATAGATAGATAGATAGATAGATAGATAGATAGATAGATAGATAATCGATCTATGAGGAATGGGGAAAATCAGGTTTTCTAGATGTGTTTGTTTGTACAGGATGCTCCTAAATAGACATTTCTGCCTGTGTCAATTAGTTTTTCACTCATATCAACACATCCGGTACATTGTTTTATCCTCTTTTTTTACACTGCTTAGACAAAACCTTAGAAAAACATGTGGCAAATATTTATTTGCTGTGATACTGTCAACTGCTTTGACTTTGGACTATGTCCCTCATGGTATGGCCCCATTAAATTAAATCAGCCGTGTCATTTCCTGACATTGAGAGGCTTATTCATGCTACTTTAATGCCTTTACATGCCTCAGTTAATCTTCAGTTACTCGGCTTCAAGTAGTGTACAGTACTGCAGCTCCCATTTTAACTGGGACAAATCGTAGGTCACATATCACCCCAGTTCTCGCCTCGTTCCACTGGTTGCCAGATAACTTCAGAATCGATTTTGAAGATTCTTTTAATAACATTTACAGTTTTGCTCCCAGTTACGTGGCTGAACTTCTGACTACCTATGCTCCAAGTCATGACCTGAAATCCTCAAGGCTACCCTCACTAGACATCCCCAGGTCAAGACTGTAAACTAGAGGTGACTGGTTTTTCTGTTACATTTAGAATTGATTTAAGCTCCTCCTCCCTTTGCAAAGCCCTATATGGGCTGGGACTGAGCTACGCCACTAACTCCTTTGTTAACTGTTTGCCTCCAAGAACACTGCGATCATCTGCTGCTGGTTTATTGGAGGTTCCCAGAAACAGGCGGAAGAAGATCAGGGATGCAGCCTTTGTCAGTTATGCCCCAAAGCTATGGAACACACTACCTATAGATATCAGAGAAGCTAGCTTGTTAAATATTTTCAAAAGAAAGCTAAAAACATAGCCCTATCTGTTCACTTTAGACTTTTACTAGCTCTGACTTCCTGATACAGGTCTGAAACTCTTTTTTTTACGCTTCATGCTGCTGCAACTCTTTTAAAATGTTCTATCTTACTTGATTTTATGGTTTTACAATTCTGTGATTTTATGATTTATTTCATATTATGATTTCTTTATAATTTAAGATTTGTGGTTTTGAATTAGTGTTTTAAACTGTTTTATATTGAATTGCCTTGTTTGTCAATTTCATGCTTATTATGTTTACTTTCAAGTGAAGCAGTCAGTGCTTGTAATGCCCTCATTGTAAAGTACTTGTGTTGCAATTCTATATTATTATCATTATATTATATTATATTATATTATATTATATTATTTTAATGCCTGGTTTGTAGTTTGGGGATTTGAAACCTTTGTGTTTTACTTTCTTTTATTCTGTTTTTGCCTCTGTACACACTATTTTTCATAGCTCTTTTTTTTTAATTATTGTAATCTCATCATTGTCCTATTTTCATGCACTTTGTGAAGCACTTTGTAACCTTGTTTAGATAAGTGCTACAAATATTTTTATTTATTTTATTTTGTTCTATGTTGTTTAATTTTATTTTACTTTCATTTTTATTTTATTATTTTCTGTTCTATTTCGTTTTACTTTATTTTATTTTCATTTTTATTTTGTTCTATTTATTTTATGTTATGTTATTTTATTTTATTCTATTCTTTTTTATTTAGTTTTACTTTATTTTATTTTATTACCACTGTACAGTGCAAGTGTCAGCTGCAATCCGTCATGGCACCTATAGACCTCTAGGGGGCAGCAGTCGCCCTCGGAGCTGTGCACCCGCTGCTTTAACTTCTCACGAAGAAGAAACGACTCGGGCGATAGAGGGTGGGGAAAAAAAGCAGAGGAACCACTGCTGTTTACAACATAATGGAGCCAAAATGGTCAAATATCGTCTGCAAGCGTGTGTTATTGACTGGATTTACGCTATGTGTTGTATTAGGTGAGTACTGGAGTGTAAAATGGGTTAAATTTCAATTCGGAAATGTTTGATTTTGAGCTCAGTATTTAAGGTGGGATATCAGGTTAGCTAGCTAGCGATGTTGTCTCCCATATACGGGAGACACCTAGTCAACTACACCCATGTCCACGATTCACACTATTGCTAATAAATACACCTTTGTTCACCCCTCATGGCTGGAGACGAGATTTAACACCACCGTAAACATATATTTTGGGAATGTTAGCTACACCCATCGTTGTTAAGACATCGACGTAATATTACAGATAATTTATTAAGAAATGGTAAAATTGACTAAAATCTGGATAGGATTTGGTTCAGATTGGAGGCTGCCGCCCGTAGCTGACGTTCTGTTGAAGGTAAAGCCGTGGAAGTAACGTTAAAAACGGAGGCTAACCAGTTTGTACACGGTTATATTTAGCTTAAATATGTGTTGCTGTGTGTGTTTGATTAAAGCCGATTTCAAGAGCGACGTCTAGTAACACAGATAATGTTGAAAAGTGTGTGCTATCATGAAGGAGTATGGGGCGGTAAACAAAACCACGTTGAAGTGCCAGATTGTGAATAACGGTGTCGTTAGGTGTGGGTCTCTACGGGGGACGGTGGTTTACCAAGCTAACCAGCACAATATTAACCTCTTCACAGTAATTTGCAGCATATTATACCATGAAGTTTACCATTACCTAACAGTTAATATGTTTTATTAACACACAGTGCCAGCGCATCAGCTATGTTGTTATCTTGACTAGTTTAGCGTCCACAAACCGAGATAACATTTCATTTCCTTGTTAGCTTCCCTCCTCCTGACCCAGAAGCAACCATCACACACGTTAACGTTGTATTGTATGTAATTAATGAAGCACGTAGCAACACAACTTTATGTATTTTGTTCATAGTTTGTCTTAAGATTTTACTTTAAATGTTGGGACAGAAAGCAAAACAATGGCTTTGGTCTTTTAACTACGTGTGACTGCTGCTACCAATTAGTTATTGCTAATGGCTGGCTGATCAAACAGCTCCAAACTCTCAGCTCAGACATTTATAAGAGATTAGTTTTGCCCCTAATTATCACTCAGATACTGTAGATTCAGCTGTAGACTGAGGGATTATCTGGTTGTGTAGAAATAAAACAAGGCACATTTTCTAGCCTTAGTCATCAAATAGTTTCTGTCTCAGGTTGAGCAAACAAAACCAGATTTACAAAAAGGATAAGAAATAGAACAAAGACACAAGACAAAATAAACTCAAACAGATCCAGTTATGAAAACACTTAAAGAGCTCTCTTATCTTAAGTTTTAACTCACTCTTCTCATGGTTTAGTCTTTGAATATCTGCATTTATGTACGAAAAACTCCCCCAATAACAAGACAATGTTTTTTTTAACGCAGACACCAAATTTGACTGTCGTCACTGTCAAGGGTGACGACTCAGTCTCCCTGGATTTTAGCCAGCGTTGCATATCACTCCAGTATTTGCACTATTTCACAATAGAAAAACACATGTTCCACAGTTTCTAAAACAGGAATAATTTGATGCAGCAGGCTAAAAAGTCAGTCATTCAGTAGGTAATTTCCTATTTAATACTGGACAGCTTGAATGGTGAATATTGTAAACAACAACAGCACACCTTCCCAGAGGCATCGCTGACACAATTTGAATTAGCCTAATGGATATCAACATCCTAAAGTTTGGGGAAGTGGCTTTGAATCTCAGACTAATAACAGCTGACTGGAGGAAATGCATCATCAGGCCTCCTTCTGTTTCATATTGTGAAATTATCTCTAACTGATTGCTGAGTGGCTTCTGTCACACAATCGCACAGTATTTCCTGCTGGAGTCTGAAATCTGTGTCGCTGTGTATTAGATAGAATTTGATCCAGTAAAGTGCAGAAGACAGGAAGTATCTATGCTCCTGTTTGATTTACGTCAAGTGCATTTGATCCTCTTGTAGTGGGAGCAGTTGTGACAGTTATGTGTCTTAGTTTTTCAAAGATGTTTACACTTGTGACGTCAAACTTTCTCCGTCAGAGCTGTCCTGTAAGTTATTAAGCTGTGCAGTCACTGCTTCACATTTATTAACACAGTTCTGTAAGAGAATGTTGTTTTTCTGTCAGTTGTACTTGGTATCTGTTGTAGACACAGATAAATATAATGTTGATTTGTTTCAGATTGAACACGGCCTCTCAGGTGTCTTTTTGTATGCTTTGAGAATTTGGGTGCACGGATCAGGTATCCACACCCTTGAATTAATGATTTTGAATACAGTATTAACAGAAAAAGTTCAGCTGTCATATTTAAACAGTTTAAGGGATGCTTAAGATAACACAGTGTTGTGTTGGTTATCCGAATTATTAAAAATATATTTATCACCGCATCTAGGTAGAACTAAAGCTGTCTTAAACTCAGCCAGCTAATTTAGACTGTCCATGATCTGACCTTCATTGTGTGTTTTGCGCTGCACTACACAGTGGTATGTATGCATAAAGAACACGGTGAGCTAGCAAAGCGTAAACAAGAACCAAAAGGCCGTGAACAATAAGAACATTTACAAGAGAAGGGATCAGGTCAAATGGAATAAATACAGTAAATTAAACATCATTAATATGTGGAAAATAATACAGTAACACAGCTGCTCAGCCACAACAACCTGTAGCCTCAGTCTTTACTGCCACAATAACATGAATGCTTTTATGTAACGGAATTGATTAAGTAATGTGAGGGGAACTGACTCAAGGGCACATGATAGTAATAGAAGTTTATTAATTATTAATACCTGGGACACTTGCCGGACACCACAAGATTGATTCATCTATTTATTATCTCCGCCAGGCATAAGCCTGGAGGGCATGGTGCATTTGGTCGTGTGTATCTGTTAGTCTGCAGCTGATCGTACCAACTACAGGACCAATCAGTCTAATATTTAATGACTGTTTGCTGAAGGAACTCCTGTGGTTGCAGTGATTAACAATTTATGAAAACCTGTTTTATTGACTGTTTTATATCATCATTGACTGCTGACTGGCAAGTTTTCCAGAAATCGTCTCAGCTAAAAACAACTGTAGAACAGTTTGGTCTCATTTGGAACCAGAACATCTGCAGATTAATTTGGTACCCATTATGTTACAATCCACTAAATTTAGGCACAATAGGAGATGAATAAGTCAGCTGTTTTGTCATCTTGGCAGCCATCTTGACTGTAAGGAAGCCGACGGGGAGAAAACCACCAAGTACAGCTGTGCTGCATTCTAGCTGTCATTGCGGTGACTTGGTTTTGTTCTGTCTGCCGCACACTGTCATACCACACTGGGAGCATTTAAGAAGTGGCACATTTTGCCTCCCCAATTTTGTTAATTTGATAATTTTTCCTTGTTATTTGTGCCTATACCCTACCCTACGTAAGTGTGTAGGCTATGTAGTTAAATGGTTTGGCCTGTTTGTTGTTGACTACTTTGTTGCGCTGTAGCCTACAGACAAAGTTAACACCGCTAAAAGTTGAGCTATGAATGGATCAAACGATCAAGTGGATCACGTGGATCAATATTTCTGGCGGTGTTTTAGTAATTAAAAATACATCCTGTTCAATCTCCTCTGTGTAACCTGTGCAGCTCCATTCAAATAGACATGGAGTGTATTTTTATTAGCTTCTGGGGTTCTTCTGAAACTCGCTGCAGTGTATCTGCTGGAACAGAGTTGTCTAAAATGGCCGCCATCAGCTCGGGCAGCCACCTGGCGGAGAGTGTACTTTTAAAGTTAATTTTTTGGATTAGTCAGTTGAAAGTTTTGATAATCAATTAATCACTGAAGTAATTTTTTAATGCAAAATGGCCAAAAAAAAGCTTGAGCTTTAAGTGTGAGTATTTGCCTTTTGTCTTTAAATTAGTGTAAAGGGACTCAGGGTTCCCACAGTCACGGAAAGCCTGGGAAAGTCATGGAATTGCACAATCACTTTTTCCAGGCCCAGAAAAGTCAGAGCATTAGTAAAAAAAATCATTTAAAGATTTGGGGAAAGTCATAGAATTATGTTATGTGGGATGAAATTGTTCCAGTAATCTTCTTTGGATAACCTTCCACATAATGTAGCGTAACAGCACATTTATTTTTTGTAGCATTAATCTGCATCAATGTGTGACAACGTTTTGTACTTTGTCCCTGCATTCTGTCCCTTCATGTAGCCAGCACGCTGAAATTATGTTTAAATTAAGTTTGAACCCGTTATGTTTTTTTTAAAAAAGGCTGGGCAAGTGGGGGAAGAATCTATTGTTGTTTTTCTCATGGGTCCTTGAAATGATTTGAAATTTTCTCCATGAAAATGTGCGGGAACCCCACGGACCATACATAGAAATAGACGCAAGAATACTATGTAACAGGAATGGCATTTTTCTGCTGTTTACTCTGTTATCGTTGTTATTTCCAGAGTTGTAAAATCCTGCCTGTGAGTTTTACAAACTGTGTTTTGATGTTGAAGAAACCTTTAAAGTCTTTTATCTGTTTCTCAAAGTGGACTTCCTGGACTCTGTTTCATTGTCTCTCATGTACCTGAAACAACACGACACATCCCCTCCGATATGCAGAAGCTGTGTAACATATTCCCCACAGTGTTTCCCTCACCTCACTACACCATGATGCATTCAACAGTTTAATTCCAGGAAACTTATTTTCATCCCCTCTTGTATCAACAGTCACAAAACCTTCGTTGGCAATCGACATACACGCTGACCCTGAGGTGATGATGCAGAACGGCACCACGGGAACTCTTCGATGCACCTTCAAGTCCAGTGAAGTGGTCAGCAGCTCCACCTCGGTGACCTGGAGCTTCCAGTCGAGTCAGCCCGACAATCAGTTCTCCAAAGCGCCATACGTGGTGAGTCCTTGCTGGTCGCATCCGCCGTGGGGATGAGTTCCCACAGCTCCAGGATGTTTTCCTGCGATTGTTTTATCTGTGGAGACACATGACGAGCTGCTCCTCGGGGTTAATACTCACTGTGATGGCACGGTTTCAACATGCAGCAGGCGGCTACACTTTAATTTTTCACTCAGTCTCAGTGCCAGGCATTTATCTCTTCTGTATATTGTTTATTTTATTTGTGTGTTTGTGTTCCTGCTCCGTCTTCCCCCTCCTGTCATCATATCTCTGTGTAATCTCTGTTTGTTTTCTGTTTGCTTTCATTTTATTTATCTTGTATCTAAATCTTGCTCGAGCATCATTATTATATCTCATGGTGCGCTTTTAATATCCCTGTTTATTTCTTCTTTTTGTCTCACAAAGCTCTTTTGCAAACACTGCGTTTTAAAGATGTGAGCTGCGGGATTTATTTCCACACAGTGTTTATACTGCAAGTAAATTGATTTGTTTCTGGCAAATGGTGTTGGTGATTACCACAGATGTGATTTTTCAAACAATTAAGATTTATTGTCAAGTGCTAAAACTGTCGTCCGCCGCTTCAGTGAACATGATTAATTGCTCATATGACTGTGAGTCTGTTAGCGCGAACTAATCCAAGACACGTAAGTGCCCAAAATTATGAGAGTACATGGACAATATTTGATTAGTGAATAACGAGAGATTCACCTTTAAAGAAGTGTTTAACTGCTGGAAAGAAAACTTGGGTGTGTATGCAGGAGAAAGACGCAGATACTTTTGAAATTTGAGATACATGAGGAGAGAAAAATGAGAAAGTGGCGTCTACTTTTGCTCAGGAGGTAGAAAACCTACAACTACCTGAATGCACCGCGCTGCACCGGACCTAATAAATGCTCTTGTGGGGAGGAAACAATATGGTGGCTGGCTGGTGACAGACAATCTCAAATTACAGTTAATGGCTCAAATGTGGTTTCAGACATAATTGAGGCAGGTTTTTTATCATAGTCCATCAGATGGAGAAAAGCAAATATGCATCACTGGACCTTTATGAGTCATTTATTCTTTCTGGACTTGCAATATTCCTACAGCACACGATAACTTTAGTTTAGGCTTCTGATCAATGTGTTCATCTGATCTGACCTGCTGCCAGCATCTCCTGGCAGTCTTATTGTTCATACCACTGCGGGCCAAAGAAGTTGTTGATAGGCTTAAACAGGAAGTTAGAATAGGTTTCTGAAAACATTTTAGGCAAGAAATGGTCAACGCAGTAATAGTTTCACCGTTTGATCTTGCTCTTTTCAGCCTCCGTTTTCACAATACAGGAAACAATATGGTGTCCGCAGCACATCCACAAATTCTCATATTGCAGCCAATCAGATCACTAAAATAGGTTTCTGAAAATCTTTTAGGTGAGAAATAGGCAATACAGCAACAGAATATTGGCTTATATTTGATCAGCAATGCCTAGTTTTACCATTTGATTGGTGTTTGGTCTGTTTTTGCAAACTCCCGATCCACTTTTATACTCTGTAGCCCCATTTGCACGGGACTCATTTTACCTGAGGACCTCTTGCGATTTAGAAATTAACCCCCCATACCCCCTCCACCCCGTGTCCCCACACAGGATAACTCAACTCTACAAACACAGAAGCACTACACCAGTGGTTCTCAAATGGTGTGCCATGATGCAGTCCAGGTGTGCCGTGGAATATTGTGATAACCACACATTATCATGTCAATATTCAACCAGGCCTATACAAAAAGTTATGAATGAATTTTTAATTGTGTAACAGTATTACATGGCACCCATTTCCTAATAAAGAGGCAAACTCTAGCTAAACAGTGTAATTTAATTTAATTTAAAAAACCTTCGTGGGGAACCTATGTGTTGCTGTTTTTGCGTGGGAATCATAAGTGTGACACATCAAAAGCCCTGATTGGCAGCCAGTGTGAGGGATGATAACATTTAAAAGGAGAAAGCTGTGAGTGGGACAATGGATCGCTTTATTGTACGGAGCAAATTACAACAGAGCACCAGTGAAGATGACAGTTTCAGTAGACAGTAGACAGTATCATGAAAGCTACCTGCTCCCTGTGCACAGATATGAATACAGGTGTGCCTAGAGATTTTGGCTTGCCCTTTGGTGCCCTTGAAACAAATAGTTTTAAAACCACTGCATTACACAGCACCGCCAGTAGCGATTTACAGTGTTAACCGTTTTTCATTGAATTGCCATTGCAGCGTCCAGTACTCTCGTGTGGGAAAGAGGCTGAAACGACATGTGAAGAAAACTTAAATCTGACACGAAATCGCTGAGATGCAGATTCGCACGGGACTAATGCTACCACATGACCTCTGTGGCATGTTCACACAGCATTAAGATCACAGATGGCCATCGCTTTTATTGCAAATTATCAGAAGTCCCCAGGTGATACTAGTCCCAAGCAAAAAGAGCTTTGTGTCCGTGGTGGTGGGCATACAAAAATGAGAAAGTACAATCTGCAGTTGGAGCAAAAGCCCTAGAGCCAGTGGAAATCCTTGGCGCATTTGAGCTGGGACGTGAGCAGGGAGGTTTGGGCACTGGTAAGATTGAGGAAAGTTTACCACAGGTCAGTTACACATACTACTCATGTTATGATACAGAGCTGGCTGAAGAGTGTCCCTTCAACTGAGCTTCAGATCACATTTAATGGCGTTTTCATTGTGTCACATTTGAAGCAACATGTCAACAGTATGTCGTGGAAAGCAACATCTGCTGTATGAAACGTAGAGAGTTTGTAAAGCGGATCATGTCCCTGCTCACAGTACCTACTCCTTTTTGTTTACAGATCAGTCAGGCTGGGCAGGGGCCTCTTACCTGTCTACTGTGATCACCTGCAAACATAATGACATAGCCGTAGGGTTTTGAAAATGCAGGGAAGTCATGCCAGAACACATACATGCACTGACAACTTGGAGTATCTCCATGCTAAGCCGGCTAAATTTGTAAATGCTGCCCAGACAACAACATTTTCCCCCCAAAGAGTGTATAAATCTTAAAACATCACTTTGGTATTTCATTGTGTACGGGGATTTTGTCAGATGATTATAGAATGATTATTTTATCACAGCAGTGCAGCAGCTTGGGAATGAATGCTGGTTAACAGGAAGTATTTATGAGAACAATAATATTGTGAATTTGGCTGTATTTCAGCTGCTTTTCTGAGTCCCTGGAGAAGTCAGTTAAAGAGTTACTAAACCCCAGAGTTTCAGCTGAAGTGCCTACTCCCTGGAAATTCAAAAATGTCCACCAGTGAGTCCTTTGCAGAGGAGTGGAGGGGGGTCGGATGGTGACAAAAGCTGCAGTCATACAAGTCACCTGTCACCAGATCGACCAGGAGTGAAATTCAGTTGCAAGTTTTTTTGTTTTGTTTTTCTCGGCTTTTTGCCTTTATTAAACAGGACAGGCTTAAGTGTGAAAGGGGAAGAGAAAGGGGATGACATGCAGCAAAGGGCCATGGGTCGGAATTGTACCCACACCTGCTGCGGCAAGGACAATGCCTTCGTACATAGGACACCCACTGAGCTACTGGACACGCCGCAGTACCTGGGTTTTTTGAGCAGGGGGTGTCGGCTGCCATCTTAAGGCTAGTTCACATTACACAATTTTCACCCTGATTTTGCATCGCGGAGACTATCGTAGTCTTTTGAGTGTTTATACTGGCGACGTGTGTTTCTTGGACCCAGGGCCTGGGTCCAAACACAGTGTGCTCCCCGGGATCCTGTGGACGCCGCCATTGTTGTTGTTGCTTGCCGGCTTGTCAGTGTTGCCAGATCTTGGGAGAAAAACAAGCAACCAGGGCTATGGAAACAAGCCCAAAAGAAGCGAAGGATATATAGAGAAAGACGCCGTTTAGAGAGCAAGCCCAAATAAGCAACTCCACTTTAGAAACAAGCCCAAAATACCGCAACCTGACTACCAATATTTGTGACTTTACCAAAAAAACGAGCCCAAAGTTGCGGCTAATAAGCAGACCTGGCAACCCTGCGGCTTGTCCTCCTCACATTTCTTCCTTCCTCTTGCGTGCTGACGTGGGATTTATCCTTCTTCTCATTGGCTGATGTTCTTTGTCAGTTGTGTCATACTTCTCCAGTTTTCTAGCATGCCAGATATCCAGTCCCAGTCACAGACGAGGGGGAGACTTGTTCGTAGGCTTGTTCACACTGACCCAAGGTGGCTCTCAAGATCCTCTGCGACGTCAAAACCGCGGTGAAAATCGTGTAATGTGAACTAGCCTTTAGCTACCATGCAAGTGAGATGCCACTGGCTGTTGTCATGGCACACCATCAACTTTTTCCGGGAACTTGACTTGCCTATAAAAAGCAGCCCTGTTTTATCCACCTTGCTCTCAAACTGGCGGCAGCGTCTGCAGCACGTAGTTGGAGTTTCCCCACGTCCTCTAACGCAGTGGTTCTCAACTGGTGGGTCACGAGTCCATTCTGAATGGACCGCAAGTGACTCGTGAATGTGTCAAATTTGTAAAAAGCACACTTAATTTTGAAGTACAGTGAATGCACAGAGCTTTTATTTTGGTGTGTCGTTTCCTGTGAGTAAATAACAGACAGATATTTAACAGAGACAGCAAACTAGCTCGATAACATGGCCAAGTATGACGCTGAATAAATTGAAATGTTTGGATCTTAAAGTAATGACTAAGGAGAAATCTGGATGCTGTGGCTGCACCAGTTGGGAACCACTTGTTGAAATTGGAATTTTCCCTTTTGCTTCAGCTCATAAGCTTTGTTGTTACCCGCCCAAATTTTCTTGCGAGTGACTGAATACGCATGTGCAACTCTTAACAGGGGTGAAAAGAAAGCACGGTGGCTCACTCCTTACTACTTTTATCGTCAGCTCCACATACAAACATGTATTAAATTCTTTTTACTAGATTTACCAACCAGACGTGGCATTTTACCAGCCCCAGGCAATCAGGCGATCCTTTTTTAAGCTCTGCTTGTCAGAGTTGCTGTGACTCTGCTTTATCACTGACAGAGATCCATTCTTTGTTGTTTATGACAGCAGCGTTGGTTCATGTCAATGTGTTTTGAGTTTTAGAAATGAAGAAACTGTTCTACAAATGTTAAAGGGGAAGCAAGAAATAACACAATGTTCATGGATGTTCTCCATGTTGTGATCTGGTTATTAACAACAGGCTCGGATGATTTCAGTCTTGCTCATAAACAGCTGTGTGTTGTTGTCCCGTGCAGATGTAGGCCGTCTGACATCAGTGTCAGGGCAGTCCTTGTGTTGTGCGTGCTGGCTCACTGTCACACTGTCAGAACTCTAAATGTCTGCTGTGAGAGAGGCCTATTTATACAAACCCTGCTTGTTTTGACTCTAAAGCCTGGTATACACTGTTTGATTTTGGGCTGTCCAGATGAAAGATGACCAACGTGAAAGAAACGTGGCAATATCTTTGGCTCTAAAACGGTGGTCCTACGTCGCACAGTAAGAGGTTCAAGGATGGCCCATGTCACGGTCTTGTGATCAAAGACAGCCTGGGATAAAATTCTGAGAGTTACCATCTCACTGTGTGACTGCTGTTACAACCTACGTCTACTAACCAACCAATAGAAATACAGCATGCTTTAAAGACAAAGCATCAAAGGAAATAGTGGCAGAGTTGCAGCTGTAAGGTGAGCAGCTGTGCAGCTAGCAAATACACATGGACACATAATTTAGATGGTTAATCTCGCGCATCCCTAGTTTATATGTACATGTGAAGGGGGTCCGCATCCACAGCAGTTCTCTATGATGCACTGCCATGTTTCTGCAGTAGCACTGAACGAACAAAACACTGGCCCTAGAGAGGGCCTTTCTTATTTTTTCTACTGCCACTTTAGTTAGCAGCCCCTCCACAATGAGCAGCATCGATAAAACAGATTTTTTAAATGTTAACCTGCTTATTTAGTGTTTTCTTTCCAGTTAAAATCAACAGGTCTGTTTGTTTCAGAGAGAAAGAAACCTCTGAGGGTAACGCACCTCCCAGTAAAAACCTCCTGAACATCTGGATCTTAATGTATCAGGGGAAAAAAGTAAACACATGTTAACAGGTGTTGGGCTAACTGCTATCTTGGAAATGCTGAATAGCATCGGTCAGACACTGATTTGTAACTTGAAACTGCTTTATTAATTTTCTTTAAGAGTTTTTATTACCCAGTCTGAAACCTCTGTGGCTAATATGGCTCCCGGTAAAAACCTCCTGAACAAAAAAGACTGAAGGAATTCTAACAGGGAGAAGTTACAGCTGGTTGAAATCTGCAGCTCTATTACAATCTTACTCACTGCTCCTTTGAGTAAATTAAGGTATCAGATTTGACTCTGTATCCTCAAATTTCCGACGTTAATGAACTGGCATTAGTACATCCTTATTTACTTCATATATATGACCAAAAAAAAATCCTCACATTTAAGAAGCTGGAAATGATGAAAATGGTTGTTGATTAATGTTCTAATAATTGACGTACTTATTTTCCTTGCCCTTGTTTGTAGATTTTCTACTTCTCCAATGGGAAAGGATTCCCGGGACAAGATGAGTTCAAAGACAGGGTGCAGTTTATTGGAGACATTAACAAGAGGGACGTCTCGATACAGCTGAGTCCTGCTCAGTTCAGTGACAATGGGACCTTCTTCTGTGATGTGAAGAACCCGCCTGACGTGACGGGAACACCAGCACGAACGGAGCTCAGGGTCGTTCTGAAAGGTGAGTAACTTCTTCTTCAAATTGAAATCAGATTAATGCTAATTAAATTATACTTAATATAAAGGATTTGTTCCCCAAGATAATTTAGTTTCAGCTTGAGGCAGGAATACTCGGAGATTGTGATTACACAAGATGTTTTTTTTTATAATGTACCTGCCTGTTGTGGAATGAGCAGGATCGCAGCCTTGGCCTTTCACTTATCAGTTGTGTTCACCCACTCACTGACTCTGCATACACACGCTGATTGGGCGGTGTGTGAAAACGCTGTCTGAGCCTGCACTCTGTCTCATTGTGCTAAATCTGTCATGTTTCCAGGCAAACAGGTGGATTTTTTTTCCTGTCAGTGATGCTTTTTACTCAGATGAGGTGCCATTTTGGAAACTGGTTTGGTTGCACCACCTAGGATTAATTAAAACCTCGATTAAGTCATGGTTTATCTTAAAATGCTGCTGCACCAAGCTTTAAATCTAGTTTTAAGCTGTATGGGATTGCCTTTTAAACCTTCTTTAAATCTGACTTTAGTCACCTTTAAACCCAGATTATCAGGTGTGTAAAAACCAGATGTTAACGTCAGACCTTAAAAAAACAGTGGATCCTCTGCATTGGGACTTTTAACAATGTGATGATGAGCAATGCATATGCAGCATGAGTGTCTTTCCATGTAACTGGATGGTAAAATGAGTTGTTTACCTTGGTAAGCGTGGTGTCGGAGGCGTCCTTGTAGAACCGGTTGCCTGTGTGCAACTCATCATCTAATCAGCACTTTGTGGCTGTTTCTTCTTGTTCCATTCCGGCCTGGAAAAATAAAACTGGGCCACTGCAGAAAAGGGCAGTGCTGTAACAGTGCTTGTTGTGAGTGCTGAGGGTACACCTTATTTTTTGTTTTACTGGTATGGATCCAAGCGAAGGTGTTGACTGTTACTATACCGTCTACAACTATTTTTAATTTTTGTTAAGTTAAAATACTGTAAATTGTAATACAAAGCCATAAATGATAATGTTAAGAGACACATTTCCTCCTCCTCTCGGTTCTCACTCATGATCTCGCTGCTCCGTGAGTGTGTGTCTGTGTGTTTCCCCTGAGCCGTAAACACACGCTGTGCATAAAGCTACGAGCTGCATGGCAACAGGCAACAAGGCAAGATGAAAGACGTAAAACACGTTAAAAATGCTTCTGTTGTACTTCAGTGCTACTCCTCCAACCAGTCTAAGTATCTTTCCTTGCATTATTTTGAGGCTTCGCAGCACACGGCCAGATGTTGTAAAATAATCCTTAACTGGCATCATTTTATAATTTCAGATATCCTCAGCAGATTCAAATTAATGTTTAGCGACAAAAAACTGTTTTGTAATGAGAAATCATGTGCATATGCAAACTGCCTCGCACGCCAGTCCTTTTGTTCTGCTAACCTCAACATTTATTTATTATCTGACTTTGATCCTCTGCCTGCCAGTCCCTATGTCCAAGGATATTCATTTATTTTAAAAGGGTCGAGGCTATTTAGTTGTTCATCATTTTTTTTCTTTTTAATATAAAGTGATAACCACTGTGTGTGAACAAATGAATAGATCAGACCTGTGCAGCACTGAATTTTAAATAAACTGGAGCTTCTGTGCTTTGATTACCTGCTGTGAAACAACATAGCCCTCATCCATTGCCTAATGCCTGTTATTTTGGTGAAAGTAATGCAAAAGTAGTGTAAAGGTAGCTTATTATTCCACACAGAGAATACTATTGTAAAGTAATAGTTTATTACTTTCAAATGAAGGTTACTAGTAATATGTAATACATTACATTTTGAAAGTAACTTGCCCATCACTGTTAGTCATAGGGGCTGGGTATTGGTACTCGTTACCTGTAATTTATCACCCGATATAACCCTTGTCTCTCTTTCATGTCATATGCTGAAGTGCTGATTGGATTTAAGCCCTTTTTAAATGTAGATGAATCTCAATTGGTTTATGTGAACGGCAAATATTCTATTTCACACAGATTTTTAACAGGAAACAGCTTTATTCACTGTTTTTACCGGTTTAAATCACAGGGTTCATTGGTTTTGGGGAGGAAGAGACCTTTGTGGATAATTCGTCTCCTAATAAAAACCTCCTGAATGTCTGGATCTGAAGTTAACAGAGAAAAAAAGGAGAGCACACATTAGCAGGTGCCAGGCTAGCGACCTGTCTTTGATGTGTCCGAGAAACACTGATTTGTAACGTGAAGCTGCTTTATTCAGTGCTTTTACCAGTTTTAATAACCTGGTCTGTTTGTTTTGGAGAGGAGGAGACCTCTGCAGATAATTTGGTTCCTGGTAAAAAGGAAGGAATTCCACTAGGGAGTAAACACATGGCACTTGGGAGACGTTTGTGCAATCCTCAACGCTAGACGCCACTAAATCTGCTTTGCTCCTTTCAGCTGACACGGTTTCATTTCAAAATAAGTCTTTTGCCACCAGACAAAAATAATTTTACCCCCTCTGTGGTGGTTGATAGAGTCTTCTCTCTCTCTTTCCTCCCACAGCAGTGAGTTGATTTAAACTTCGAACTTCAGACACCTGTGTCGTAGTGCATTTATGCTGTCAGCTTATTAAAAGTTAATCCACAGCTTCCTGCCAGTCCGAATAGAGCGTTTCCTGTGGTCACGGTAAAACTTGGATTACTCTTTAATTGTTTTGTGTTCCTGAAGCTCTCACAGCAGATTCCTGGAGCTTCATGGGAAACAGTGTATCGGCAGTGTGATATTTGGTCCAACTCGACATGTAAAATCTGTCCTGACAGGTGTACTCTTGTCATTTGTTTTTCAGTTACATGAAGCCCACATGTGCATGTGATGGCTTGTTATCTTTTGGCTCACCAGTGGTGGCCCCACCCTCCAGGTGGGACTTCTCTGTCTAGCATTTGTTGTCTAGGTGAGCAGTGCAGAGGAATTTTTATTTACCTCTCACAAAGAATGGCTGAAGTATTTTTCCTAAACACACAGATCTTTTGTTCCGGCTCAACAGCCACACATCAGTGACACTCCCAGCTTTGAACCTGGCCATGTTTTATGTCAAATAGTAACACAGCTGCTGAGATCAGCAGAGAAAACCAACAACATGTGCTGATGTGGGGCTTTTACGCAGTATTGAAATTATGTAGACAATGAAAGAAAGGTGGACATGAAAATGTGTTTTGTAAGACATTTGTAAAACTGAGTCAAATTTAACCACACAAATTTATGAGACAACTTTTAATATAACCTTCCACATGAAAATACCTTTAAAAAACTGCTTTAAAAGCCTTTTTTTGCTGTGAAAATATATTTCTCGTTAGAACAACTGTATTTATTCAGGTTTCTTGCCCTGAACTACCTTTTACAAGACTACATTTAAACACATCATCCTTCGGCTAATACAAAATGGAGCTTGAATGCATCATAATTCAACTCAATGCAACAGCCGTCAGTTGTTGGTTCCGGCCACAGGCTGCTAACAGCTAACGTTAACCAGCTCTCCTCCTGCTGATTTTAACACAGATTTGTTGTTTACGGTGTAGCATTATCAGGATAATAATGGGGTGCATCCACTGATTCGACAAAAATGAGTTAACGGACTTTTGTTCCCACGCCGTCCTGACTGTTCATCCCAAACACATGTTCGTCCCCTGGAAGCCCTTAGTTTCGAGCCGCTGGCCATCAAGAAGGCATGTCGGCAGATACTGATGCTCAGCGGATGAATTGGTGCATCGTTAGTATTTTAAATCTGTTGTATTTTTGTGCATAAATGTGTGTATATTTTTAAATCAAATCAAGTTCGGGTGTCACATATATAATCACACACAGTACAACATATAAAAAAAATATTTAGATGTTTAGCTCCAGAACAAATCTGACAAATGGATTAACAGCAAAAAAGAATCTAACAAAAAAAAGTAAATCTAGCTAGTATATAACAAGATATACATTAGATACAGTTTATAAAAATGGGACAGTTAAACATTGAGGTAATATAATGATATACCAGTATGATATCTTTAAATCTTTAGCTGTTTTATAATAATATTTTGAGAGATTAGATCTAAAAATTTGTTAATTTTTATAGGCTCCAGTGTTATTTTTCTTGCATTTTTAGTTTCTGGCACCTGTCTTACTTTGGTAAGTTCACAATATGATAAGTCAAACATACATCTGAGATTGTGCTGGGAAAAAAAAGCATTTGGGGAAAGGACAGTTGAAAAAAAGACAGAAAGTCAGGAGAGATTTAAATGTACGTAGACTCCAGAAATGTCAGCTTTCTACTTTAAAACTAACACAGAGTTGTCCCTGTTGTGTTTGTGCAGAATCTCTTCCTCAGAGCAACACCGCCATGATAGTCGGAGCAGTCTGTGGTGCTTTACTTCTGCTCGTCCTCATCGCTGTAGCTGCCTGCATTGTCATGAGGGTGCTTCACAACCGCCATGAATATGAAGGGTGAGTGTGCTGTCTTGTGTTATATATGTTACAGGCAGAAGGACTGTCAGTGATTGGTGACATTAACACCGCTGCAGTACGACGACACAACATAATTTACTTAAAGTAATTTGAAGTCCACGAGCATGTCGGTGTTACTTTGCTCTACCCCATCAAGTATTTATAAGCAGTATATAAACATTAAATTAATACTTTATAACACACTGTAAGGTAGTTGTAAGAAGATAAAAGTGTTAATGTATTTGTCAGCAACTATGAATCCTCCTGTGGGCAACAATTAGTGGAGGCTGCTCCATGATCTTGTATCATAATATAGTAAAAGTGAAATTAATATTCTTCAAAGGAGAATTAAGGCCCCGTCTAAGCGTATACAGATATTTTTAAAAACAGATATTTTCCTCCGTTCTTCAGAATATTCTGTCCACACAACCTTTGTTTTCAAAATATCTCCGTCCACACTAGAAGGCAAAAACAACTATGTTAGCGTTAGCTGTCTCCCTCCTCCCCTCGTTGCAAAGGCAGTCAAGTGTCCAGGCCAGCGCTATCTTTTTCAAAACTCCTACTGGTCGGGGGCAGCCCTAGTTACAATACTCATTTTCCTCAGTATTGATTCACTTTTACCAGCTGCACTTCCTCACTTTCTCTTGATGTTATCTGCAGTCATTTCACTGTTTTCTGCGCCTGAACAAGAAACTCAAAGTCATCGTTGTCATGTTATAGCCTTTTTATATTTCTCTTTAAACAAAAAAATCTAATTTTCTGTCCTCAATGTCAGTTTCCCCCCCATAGTATTAAAAAATGTGGTCTTAATATATAAAATCATATTTTGACAACACTAGTCTGATATCTAATAAATAATAAATATAGTGTAATATATACCAAAATATATAAATCAGGTCGAGGAAGAGAGAGAAAGAGTATGATTGTTAGATTTGTTGGCAAATACTTTACATTAATAAACACTGAAAATGCCCTTTATATCTGCGTACATCTGCATTATAGTGTGTTAATAATAATTTATTAAAAGTTTTAATGCTGCTCATAAATTGGGTAGTTAATGTAAAGTGTCACCAGAATATTTATGTACATTTTAATGCCAGTTTTTATTATCAGTTATTTTTCTTGTAATATTTCTCCACTGTTAAAATGGCATTAATTTCTAGATGAGTATTTGACATTGCCACCTGTAAATTGCTAAGTGTTGTTGTTACAGACAACATGTGACATTAATATTTAAAGAGCCATGTGGTTATTGAAAAGTAACACACACTAACTGCTCTAATTGCTGGAATTGAATGTTATTTTACGGTTTCAACAAGTCGATGAAACTCGGCTTATCAGAAATACGTATTCTTGGTGTTTAATGTTATTGAAATGTAAGGTAAGTTTCTCAGATGGATTTTATGCCTCATGTGTGTTTTGAGCTGGTCTCCTGAATCTTTGTTCCTGTTATTTCCAGTGATGTTTTACTCCTGCAGAGATGTAATCATCAGACTGTAACCCCTCGCTAACTCTTTCTGCATGGGTGCAGGGTTCACTCTCTGTTTTAAAGAACTGTGTGTTTTGGGCTGTTTTTGGATGATCAGATATTGTTACTAATTATTAACATGTTTGTTAAAGACATGGTCAAAAGCTAGACTTAGTTTGCTCTGTGTGCTCGCAGTAGTTTGATCATGTCTACCTGGCATGCTGCAGTCACGCCTGCTCTGTTCATCTCAATGAAAGAACCAAGTATTGACCCATAAATGTGAGAGGCGTTGAATTAACATTATTCTAAGGTAAGAAAATGGCTGACAGCTGCTGTTTGGCTGTTGAATGGTTTGAGCTGCGATCTTTGGGGATTTCTGTTTTCACTGGTGCCGGTCACTTTCCTCCATATTTGTTTGTTAACACAACTAACCTCACAGCAACACTGTCTATTGATGTCATTCAGGACGTTTACATGCACAGTTAAGTGGAGCTACGGTTACAGCTCAATTAGGCTATTTAATTGAACTACTGTCCTTGTCCTTGTATACAAACACTGGAGAGATCAATTTATTGACCAAAGTATGTCTGACTCTGCTACGATGGGTGGCGATATGCCCCCTTTCAGCTTGTTAGTATTGGACCTTTTTCCAGTCGACCTGTTGTGTCACAGACCAAACAACTGAGTGTCGTCCAGCTGTTCCCACCACTTTTTTTGAACAGGCAGCCATTCCGTGTTTTCCTCCCATCCATGTATTTTAAACATTGAACTCTTTTAGTTGATACTGGATGAACTGTGTCTACTCGTTCGTCCATAAACTCCTTTCAGCTTCTTAGTATTGGACCATTTTTCCAGTTGACCTTTTATGTCATAGAGCAAACGATCGAGCGTCATCCAGCTGTTGTGCTACTGTTATGAACAGGTTGCCACTCCGAGTTTTCCTCCCATAGATGTACTTCGAAATATTTAACTCTTTCAGTTGACACAGCATGAACTGTGTCTCCTCGTCCGTCCAAAAATGCACAGCTCTGGATTCAGATTTCGCCATGTTGTTACTGTCTTCTTCTGCTACGCATTTAATGCTATTTGACTTCCGGGGCGGAAACTGGAGCATGTGCAGACAGCGGTATGATAGTTGGTGATATGCCCTCTTTCAGCTTGTTAGTGTTGGACCTTTTTCTGGTTGACTTGTTACGTCACAGACCAAACAATCGAAAAACAAGTTGGCTACCAGCTAACTGGTACCACGGTGAACAACTTTACAGCTTTGAACACCTTGTCCGTCCAAAAATGCGTGTCTCTGGATGTAGATTTCGCCATGTTGTGACCAGTCTCTTCTTCTGTTACACATTTAATGCTTTGGATGTCAAGGTCAAAGCCCAGGGCAGGCATTGTGGCGCATGCTCAGAGCGCCTCGGCCAGTTTGGGTCTGATTGACTGTATACATGCAGGAGGAGTTCGACTGCTAATCGCATTATCTGGGTGTGTTAGTCCGACTTTGGGGAATTCGACTTAGTGCGATTTCAGGCGGACTAACATGTTGACATGTAAGTCCGGTTTTAGTTGGACTAACACAATAGATAGATTTTCTCTAATGTCATGTAAACGCACTGAATGATTAGCTTGTTGCGTCAGCTTGTCAGCATGTTGTCCAGTCATTGTTCATCATCTTCTGCCTCTAACACTGCAAACTAACCACAGTCTTCTTCATGTGTGTCCCTTCATCTCCAGCTTTTCTTTTTAAATGAAACATGTCAGGTCAACAGAATGTTTCAAGGTGTCATGTTGTTCTGTCACCTTTATATGTTGATGACAAAATGTTAACAGCTCGTTATAACACTCACATAGCTGAAGTGAGTTAAACTGCCTCTCTCACTGTACAAACTGTTACACATTGTCTTCACTAGAGGTGCACTAATAATCTGATTTTTATGTATTGCAGTAGCCGATGGATGGACTGATACAAATAATGATCAAAATACAAGTCAGTTAATGGTCAGGCTGCAACTAAAGGTTAATTTTATAATTGATTAATTTGCCGATATATTTCCTAAATCAATCTATTCTCTGTTTGGTCAGGAAAAACATCATTAAATAGAGAAAAATAACATAATTTCTCAGAGGCCAAAGTGAAGTCTTAAGTGTTCCTATGCAGTATGAAAAAGAGTGAACAAACAAGGCTGCACAGAGCTGTGAAATTTAAATTATTTAACTTTTTTCAACTGATTTTTGGTTCTTTTTATAAAAGGGAATAAAAAATATGGAGGAAACAACAATATAATATTATTTATTCAGTATGTTAAGGGAGCACTGGTTAGTTTACTTCCTCTTCAGGCAAAGATGTTTGACAGTGGAATGTCATCCAATTCTCTGTATAGGCGTTCGGACTGAATGGCCACAGTGGGTAAAAGTTTTCCCTGGGCTGGCTGTCAATACTCAGATGTCACATGTGTTCTGAGAAATATACCTATAATTCTGGAAATCTGAGTTTTCAAAAAGCTTTTTTTTTGTTTGACCACCAACAGCTCCAAACCCCCAAAATTCCAGTTTACAATAATGTAAGACTTAAAAATATTCCTGTCTGGCCCCGACCCTGATTCAAGTTTTTTGATATTTGTTAAACATTTGCCATATATAGTATTGTATGTTCTAAAACTTTTATTAACCTAAATCTTGATTAAATATGTGTCTGACACATTAAAATATCAGCTATAGCCTGCTAAATCTGACACACCTTTTATTTTACAAGTTATTTGATCCGGGTACCGGAAGTGCTGGTTAAAAAATATGACGTTTGTAAACTTAAATCATTTAAGATATATGATTGAAAGTTAAACTGGAAGAACGCGACTCCTTAAACAGATGCGAAGCAAATCGCTTGAGAGAAGATGTCTCACTCTTGAGTTTTTTGGAACCTCAGAAACTCCCTTCAAACAGTCTTTTCACAGTGTTGATACAGACTGAAGCTTCTTTATTATCATAAACAATCTTTGGCTGAGTACAGGCACCAGCTTGCAGAGATCACACAAACGAGATGACAGTCAAGTTTAAACTGGCCTGCCATCAACTTAGAGTTCATTCAGAATACCGTTTTTTTTTTTTTTTAAAGATATTTTTTGGGGGGCTTTTTAGCCTATAATGTATAGGACAGACAAGCGTGAGGGGGGAGAGAGAGAGAGGGAGTGACATGCAGCAAAGGGCCACAGGCTGGAGTCGAACTCAGGCCGCTGCGGCAACAGCCTTGTACATGGGGCGCCTGCTCTACCACTAAGCCACCGGCACCCCTAGAATACCGTTTGTTACAGTAACCTGAGTGTTATTTTCTCATTCGTTTGATCTATAAAACATCTGCAAGTGACTTGCAAACGTGTCATGTTTGTAAAAAAAAACACATTTTATTTCCAGCACAGATCTTTTATTTTAAATTGCCATTTCTTGCTGTAAAGTGAGTGACTAACTAGCTTGACGACATGGCCAAAAGCTACTATGATGCTGGATATATGGAACTCTGTGGACCCTGAACTAATGACCAAGGAGAAATATGGACCCTGTGGCTGGACCAGTTGGGAACCACTTTCAAAATACTTGTTTTGACTAATCAGCTGCTTTAAAGCTAAATATTTTCAGATTTACTATTACATATTACAAAGAAAAGCTGCAAAATTCTCCCATCTGAGAAGCAAAATAAGCTGTACTTTTCCTCGAAAAATGACATTAAACAATGACTGATCGTTGCAGCTCCAGTGATAATGCTATAATAATGATAATTATATTTCTAAAGCACTTTTCAAGAAAGGAGCAACAATTGATTTTCAGTGCAGGGAGATAGATTTAAAGGAAAATCACAAAGAGCCACCAAAAAATTGTAAGTAGGTAAAAAATGATTAATTCCACCAGTCCATCTTATAAACCAAACAAGCAGTAAAAATAAACACAAAATCGGGTATTATGTGACCAAGTAGGGATGTTTTTCAGGCCTATTAAACCTGTGAAGCCAGTGTGCACTGCAAAATATTTAAATATAATCACACCAGGAAATTACTGGCTGTTTTTCAATCGTGCCAAAGTATGTGTAACTATAGTATTTGTTATTATCTGGAATAGGGCTGCAACGATTAGTCGACTAATCGATGACTACTCAACTATAAAAATAATCAGTGACTATTTTAGTAGTTGACTAATCAATTTGAGTAATTTTTCATAGAAAAGTACTATAAAAATCCCCCAAAATACTCTTATTGCAGCTTCTTACGCTCAAATATGTAAATATAATAATATTTACACGCTCTCCCATGACGGTGACCTAAAACCCTTTGGCATGAGTAAGAAACAAGACATTAGATGACATAATTTTGGGGTTTGGGAGAGACAGACCAACATTTTAACACATTTTTCGATAAAATGATTAGTCGACTAATCGAAGAAATAATCTTCAGATTAGTCGACAATGAAAATAATCGTTAGTTGCAGCCTTAATCTGGAAGCTGCATCAGCACCAGTCAGATCTTTATCAGTGCACCTCTAGTCTCCTCCCAGTCACTGCTTCCTGCCCAACCACTGGGAGCTGCATTGCACTTTGTTTGCATCCAGTGTTTCATGTGCTCACCTCTCATTGTTTTATTTTTGTCTTGTGTCCCATTATTTGTGTTTGTCTCCATTTGACTGTGCACCAATGATTGCTCGTCACCATGGCAAATCGTAACCCTAAAATAGATGTACGACCTTGGAAAGCATGAGCTCTCAGGCTCCCAAACCACGAAAGAAGGTGGAGTCCAACCTGGAGGGCTCCAGGTCTACCATTCCCTCGGGTCCACTACAGGTAGGAGCTCGGGGATGGAAAAATCCACTGGCTGCCACCGTCTCAGCGGGAAAATGTTGCAGCCATTTTGTTTATCAAACTCATCCAGACTGGGTCTTTATCCCTGTCTATAGATTCATTCTCATATTCAGTATTTGTTTCATATCAGTCATAAAAACCTTGACAAGAGTCAAACAGAAAAAAATAATTAAGTTTATTTATATCTTGTTAGACAAAACAAACAAACAAATCCCTCAAAACAAAAATTAAATGCCACTGTATCAAGTTTCTGTCAAAAGCAGATTGATTCAAAACACTCGACAAAAGTACAAAATTCGACTCCATTACAACTCACAAGGTTCATCAACAAAACATTTGTCTTATACTAGACCCACAGATCCAACATGCTAATGTTACTAACATAAGCCTATGATGTTTTACATTGCATAAATTAGCCTAGCATCTAGAGGACTTATCCTCTTCGCATATGAAGCCAGGAACATCAACAACATTTAACGAAGGTAACGTCATAAAATTTAGCTCCATTATAAGTCACAAGGTTCATCGATAAAACAGTTGTCTTATACTATTATGTTTTCCCTACATTCACAACATGCTAACATTATTAGCACAAGCCTATATTAGTGTTCACACTGGACGCAAATAAAACAATATGCGCGAGTGAATTACATATTAAGTCAATCTAAAGACGTGACAGATGCAAATTCTTGCCAGACTGATGCGAATGATGCAAAAATAAACAACTTAAGCGGTGCGAATGAAGGGAGTAGCGTGATTTTACGTCATGCGCTTATTCGCGAGAGTTGGAAAAACCTGAACTTAGGCGACCAATTTGTGCTGGGATAGGCAATCAGCATTGGCATCCTCTGATGACGTATGACGCCAAGGCCATAGCGCTGAAAGTTTATTTATTGATTCAGCAATGTCATATGGCACAAGATGTTGGCGCATATGAAGTAAGTCAACGCAAAGTATTCAAAATCATACAAAATCCCGTGACTAATGCACCGTGAAAATTTGCATCCCGTTTGGTGTGAACACAACGTTAGACTTATAACTTGGTGATAAAAACATTAGCTGCAAAAAGCGACTAAAACAATCATGTCAGTTATCAAAATAGTTCCCCTTTAATTATCTGTAGATTCACTAATCAATTAATCAGCTAATTGTTTCAGCTGTACTTTTTATACAATCAGCTGTGTGCATGAGACCTGTTTTTGCCTTTTGTTTTTGTGGCTAATCACTAATTAAGCAGCGTCAAACTCTGGAAGAAACTCTTTCATTACATAAAATTCAAGACATTTGCTGTTTAGAAGTTTTATTGGCAAATATCAAAACACTTATCTTGATAGATGTTTAATCACGTGTATGAATCTAAAATTGATGTAGTAGTTAAAAAGCAAAGCTCCTCACCATAAACACTACCGTTCAAAAGTTTGGAATCATTTGTTATATTGATGATTTTCTCTCCTTCAATAATTTTAATAGTGACTGGTGATTTCCCTTATTCAGCTGTTGCTAAGAGGGATCTTTGTCTCTCTCTGCCCGTTCAGTCATCAGTCTGGTTGAACCATTATACAACGTTTTGTTCTCCATGTACAAAACAAACCCTTCGCCCTTTTTATACAGAGATCCTGAGAGAGGGCCATCACAAAGTCCCTTCATTATGGCAGCTTTGCTTTTTTATACAGAACCAATTAACACCAACATAATGCCACCCCAGTGTTCAATTTCAGATAGCAAAAGAAGCATGATGTGTAACACAACAGCATCAGCCTCATATATGACATATGCTGCAATCCATTGCAAGTCAGAAGTCGATAATTCCAGTGCATCTGCTCAGGAAAACATGGATGCTGACAGCAAACTGATGTTTCTAAGGCAAATTTATGAGCGTCACAAGAATCTACAGAGGACCTAACCAGCTATAACCATTAGTGAGGTGAAACAGTGGATGAAATAAGTCATCTGTTTTGCTCGTCTTTGCTCATTTTTTTTTCTTTATGTCAGCATACTCAGGCTTGGTGGATCTTGCCCAAGTGTCCGACTTGAAATTCCAACTTGAATGACTATTCTGTTGCATGTCGTTGCCGCTGTTTTCCATGACGGAGATTGTTTTTTTTTTTCCCCCAAAGTTCCGAGTAGACTGGATTGCAGGGATGTAACATATGCATCAGGCAGCGCTTTCTAAATGATAACAATGGCGTAACACGGCATTAATCATCATTCATCGTCCCTGTTTTATGGCACTTGCTCTTGTCCTGTACAGAAGGGTAAGGAGCTCCTGCACCTCATTGACTCCCCAATTTGCTGACATTTCCGGCTGCTGCTCTTCTTCTTTGAGTTAGCTGCTAACTGCTGCTAGCTGGTTAAATCTCCTGGCAGTGGGTCAGACATGTAATACGTCGTCAAAACATCACACTCATCCCATCCTGCTGGCTGTTTCTTTTATGCAGGCTTCTATTCGATGCTTTTGCTGCCTCTGATGCCAGCTTAAAGACAAGACAAATCTGTCCCCCATTCCGTGTTCTTACCTTTTTATACAGAGTGGCAAGGCGGAATAATGCCACGACATTCCCGTCTGAGACAGGCAGTATAAAAGGGGCTCTTCATACAAAATAACAGTAGTAGTAGTCCTCTCAGACATCTGACTGAACACAAACAAGCTTTTGTGGCAGGAAATTCCAAACTTTTGAACAGTAATGTGTGAAGATTCTTCTCTGTCTTTTGCTCTATCTGGATATATTTGTATTTTTTACTGACTTCTTTTCTGCCCTTTTCTCTTTGTGTTGCAGGGCCCGGTGATATATGCCCAGTTGGATCACTCAGGCAGCAAAAACTCATTCCACAAGATGGAGCCAGTGGTCTACGCTGACATTCGTAAAAACTGAAGAGGAACTGGGGACCAAAAGCATAAAAATAAAAACACAGTAAAGTATCAGACCTCTCTATCAGCTGCTCTTGGGAAGGGTGGGAATATATCAACAGGGACAAAAATTGGTGCAAAATTTTATTTTATTTTTTTCTCATCTTTTTGTCCTCTGAAAGCATGATGCTGTTAATATGATAAAGTAATGTCTCCATGTGCTTTTGTTGTAAAGACAAAAAAAACTGAAGCAAAGAAACACTTTAATGGACACTACATCACTCCATCAGCCTTTAAATTGTTCAAAATACAAATGCCTTCATCAATATCATTCCACATGTTAAGATATTTTATTTTGATTTGTAGCTTTGTGCCTACGAATGGTTCTGCAGGCTGTTGCACCAGCTGAACACGTTAAACTATCACTACTAAAACTACGCACATATCGTACATGAATCGAAACTAATCACATTGCATAAATTGACATGACGAACTTTGGGGGAAAGTGAGGAATTAAAAAAATACAGTTTATCCTGTTGCATGTGAACGAGCTAACATTAGACAACACTAGGGTTGTAACATGATATAAAAGCTGACAGTTATCCTATCATGTACATTTGCTTATTTATGTCTCTGTCTATCGAAGAATCTCATCTTTTATGTTAGTTATTTTTAAAGGATAGGCTTCTTACACATACTGACATTAACAAAATGGTTTCAAGTTTCAATTAAAGTAATAAAACTTGTGTTGAACCAACAATAGCCCTTCAGTTTTTATCCCTTTAAAGGTAATTCTGATTGATGATAATATAAATTCTGTAATACTGTGATACCATGAAATTGCGGTATTTTTAATCGTACCATTAAAATATCTCATGAAGGACACACTACGGTCGTGGAAAGCCAGAATTCCCCGCTCCTGTGAATGCACCTAAAAATCACACGCGCATGTCATAATGACCACAAAATATAAAGGGAACTATAACAAACAATGTGTACCCCAATTTAAATATGAAAGAAAAATGTTCATCATCAGTGTGTTTGGAGAATGGTTGATCAGGAATGAGTAAAGCTGGATGGACATTATATGATTTATTGATCTTGTATGCTCTGTGCTTACACTGTGCGGTTCAGTCATGATTCAGCGTTTCATGACTTGGGTGCTCACACTCCACACAGAAAGCCTGATCGATGTCCAATCATTTTTATTTAAACAAGGTGGCTGCGTCCTCAATAATGTTAATTTAAAAAGGGAAAGGCAGCGTTACTTTGTGTAATTGCGTGACAGCTGCATGTGTGTTTATTCTGTTTAAACCTGATTAGGCTACACTAATATTATTAGTATTGTACTATTTGTAGAATTAGATTCCAGTGGCTAAGTAGGATTGTGTCCAAATTGTGGGATTAAATCATTGGCAAGTCTAAATATATCAGAATAAAAGATACGTGTAATATATCTATGCAGCCCTATCCAAACATGTAAAATACTACTCCCAATAATATTTAAAGCAGCTCACAACAGTAAATAATGGATCGTTTGGCATCAGACCACTGAGCTGCTCAAACTTTAAATCAGTTATTTTATTCATTAACAGTTTCTTTCTGGTGGAAATCTGCCCTGATTTTAAAATTAGTTGCAGCACACCAAAGCCTCACATCAAAGTCTGTTTACAGGTCTTCAAGAGCACTAATGCATAATGGCTAAAGGCTGCAGGCCACATTACCCGCTACTAGCCTAACACACCTGAATTCAAGACCAGTCAGTTAGTGGCGGAGTGGCATTATGGGCAATGTAGGTGCCAGGGTTTGACGAGGAAGAATAATACGTGGAATAAAAATCTTAATCTGTACAGTGTCTTTCCAGCGTTACACTTGCTTCACATTTTACGTTGTGTCTTAGCTCTATGTTATAACTTACTGTTATGCTGAAGCCTATTTCTGTAAAATTAAAGCTTTACTCTTTCATGACACTCCATATAAAGCTGGTGCAACAGGCTGCTGAAGCCACAGTTCATCTCCACTGTTGGGCAGTTCCATAGTGATCTTGTTTTGTCGGGGCAAATAATGTAGAGTTAGCTTTTACATTTGCCTTCATTAACTTTGCATGCAGTTAATGACGACACCTACAGACTAAATCTGGTACTTCTCAGATAGTTGTGACGCAGAAGAAGACGTCTGACATTGTATTACTGTGAATGCTTCAGTTTTCTGTAGAGTCCTGGCATGTTGTTGTGGTACCTTTTAAAGACACTGCCTCCCGTTTGATTTTCACCTCAGTGGAACACGCTCTTTAAGCACTTTGTGTTTCCACGGTTGCTCTGAGCGTCTGCATTTTTTTTTGGTTTGTTTATTTAAAGTGCATGTAAACAAACAGGCAGTGCACCCCAGGTAGAGGTTTTGTGTTCTGCCTTTTTAAAGGTGTGATTCAAAAGAATAAAAAAGAAGTTTAAAGTGATAATTACCTGGGCTTTATTTCAGCTTAGTTTTGAGTAATTCTGAAATGAAAATAAAATGTTAAACCGTTAAACTGAGGTGAAATATCTCCTTCTATGAAAACTGGGAGCTCTCATTTGTTGGACAAAACGAATGCTAAATACACTGTTTGCATGCAATTTACTAACATAACAACCATTATTATGAAAATATCCATCCTGTTTTCCATCTATGTATTGTGTAAAGTTCTTTTTTTTTAAACTAATGGGCCAAATATCTAATATCATTAAGTAATATTTCTGTTTTCAGATGCTTTTAAGCTTTAAAATGCATTCCAAATTTGTATGATTTTTATTTTGTTTGAAGCATTTAAAAGCCAAATTTATGTTATGATTCTGTTTGTTAACGGTGTGGTTACCTATGAGAATGATATTTGTGTTGCAACCAGTCTAAATGCCTTCAGCTTCAGCTTGTGATTCCGAATGCAGTAAATTTCCATGTTGACCAGTATTTGTATATATTTCCTGCTCATGTAAGATATAGTGCTGTTTACTGTAACTCATTCCAGTGTGGTGTGGCTGTGGATGTCTTTCCAGAGAAGGAAAGTAGTTTGCTGTAGAGGTCTAGAAAGTTGGTGGCATGCTTCATGTTTTCTCGTCTTTCCTTTTAAAGTCTTAATTATTTGTCAGCGAACACACCAATGTTTACAGTGCCTGCAGGAAGTGTTGAGCCTATCGACTCAAAATGGCTTGAATGAAATTTTCTTCAGTCAACAGTGTGCAAAAACAACCTCCACAAAATGAAAGGAGCTGTCTGCGACATTCAGAGCATATATGATTCTCAACATGGAGGTCGCTGAGCCGGCGGCTAGCAGCTAACGGTGCTAACTCAATAAACAGTGCTAACAACGGCAACAGTGCAGACAGAGTTGTCAACCTTTGGGGAGCCAGAGAGTGGGCGTTACACTTCAGTGAACACACAGTCCTGTTGTCAGTGATAACAGCTGTATGAGTGCAGTGCAGAGTGCCGTCAATTAGCTACCCAGGTGGACATTCTCACAGGGACTCGCATGCACATGCGGGCAGACTGTGTGACTTCATTCTCTGGTCAGGATGCCATTACATCACCATATCTCGACACGGCATAGCGTTTTTCAGCCATATTAATGATCTGAATGTCAGATGCAGCTCCTTCTGTCATTTTTTGAGCTATAAGGCTGTTTGTTTCAATGCCACATTCACATTAAACCCAAAAGATTGGTTAGTTTAATACATTTTTGTTAGTAAGTATTGATTATAGCAGCTTTAAACACATACAAGATAGAGAATATTTTGTTGCCCAAGTTGACTTAACTTACTGCTGCTGGCTACTCCTGTCCCAAGTAGAGTTGATTGTATCATCGTGAATGTCACTGATAATGTAAATTTCCTTTGTCTGCTAATTTCAAAGGGTTCATGCACCACTGTGCTCACGATATGTACCTTACAAGACTAAAAGACTGCAGCAGTAATGGCTGTGAAGCTCACTACACACCTTAAAACGCAATCAGCAGAATAGAAGAGAACTGTATTGTCCCATCAGGGAAGGAAACGTGTCTTTGTCTCACCAATAAAGCCAATAAATATAAAACCAAAAACCAAAACATGCAACACAAATTACAATCCTAAAATCCCCATGTGCCTACAGCGTGTTAACATTTAGTATATTAGCATGCTAACAATGAAAAAGAAAACACTGTTTAAAGTGTGTTGCTAACATTATGTGTCTTAGTACAACATGCTAGGGTGTAGTATGCTAGCATACTAACAACAAAAGTAATGTTTGTCTTGTTAGTTTTCTAACATGGTAACATAAATATGTTGACATTCCTGGCTGAGAGCCAACATTGTGTGTCATAGCACAACATGCTAACATGTTCTGTAGTGTGTTAGCATGCTAGCAGTGAAAAATGCAATGTTTAGCTTGTTAGTTTGCTAACATTAGTATGTTGACATGTTTAAAAGTAACCTACTGCGTGAGAGTTTGAAGTGTTTTGCTAACATTGTGTGTCATTGCACAACATGCTAGTGTTTAGTATGTTAGCATGCTAACATTGAAAAAAATGTATTGTTAGCTTGTTAGTTTGCTAACGTGCATAAATATGTTGACATTCCTGCCTGAGAGCTTACATTGTGTGTCTTAGCACAACATGCTAGCATAGAGTATGTTAGCATGCAATGTTAGAAATCATTTCCAGGACTTTGGTCATTTGTTTTAGAGGAAGCTAAGTTCAAAGTCAGGACCCACCAAGTTGTTAGGATTTATCCTCTCATCAGTCGGAAACCATGAATGTTTGTACAAAATATCACAGCAATTAATCCCGAATATGGGAAACTTTAAATTAACATTAACTCTTGACTGTGTCCTACTGTTATTTTAAATTCTACACTCAAACCAAAAATTAAACTTTCTCTGGAGTATTTTCTGGCAGAGTTAAGCTTTAATTTATTTCAAATGGTCTCTGTTTTTGGGTTAAATAGTTATTTACATTCACATCTACATTCTCGCTGAAGAAAATCTTAATTCAGTCCCTTCTGACTCGACTCGTGGCTGTGACACCACGCAGTGCAGGCGCTGTAGTCTTCCAGGTGTGTTTCATCTTCATGTTCTGTGTTGTTTTATGTTTGTTTGTTTCTTTACCAGTTAGCATGTACATCTGTGTATTCACCAAATCAAACACAACCTGTATGATACCGACAAACCTTTACTGCTGGTCGCTTTGCTCCTAATCGTGACTTGTTGCAGTGTTTAGTGCTGTTGTAGAAATTGTGATGTAAACTATAAATTATGAAAGATATCCGATCTGACCAAGCTCACGCAACGTTCAGTGTGTTGGTTTCGCAAAGTTGAGTGAATGCAGGTTGCACTCTTCACTCCAGACAAGTCTTAAAGTGCGTGCTTAGTGTTTTTCGATGGTAAATAGTTGTGTGTTATTTGAGAAATGTTTGGTATGTTATGTTGTAAAATCTGCACTATGTCTTGCAAATCGAAGACAAACAAATTCCCTGTGATTTTTGTTTTTATTTTTCGTTAATCTCGGAATGACCTTAGCCTCTGTTTAACGTCTTTAAAACTGGAATGTTGTACATTTAGTGCCTTTTACATTTCATCAGCTAACTTGAACATCTGCTCAAAATAGAAAAAAGATAAGATTCATTTATTTTCCTTTTATTGTATGTATTTTTTTATACACATAATATCGCCTCTGTATCCACTGTTCAAATTTTATATAAAACTTATTCCTGGCCAATTAAATGTGTGTTCTGTTCTGATTTTTTGATTCTCACCAGACTGATGACTTTGTATTTGATTTATTTTTCCTCTGAAAAAGATAAAGACACAGAAATCACATACATATGTTCTATTCTGCATGAGTAAGTATGTTTTAAAACATTAGTCTTGGGTTTAGGGGTAACAAACATGTACTACAGTTGGATATAAACTCCTCAAAAAAAGTTCGGAAACGTTAAATGGGATGATTATTTCTCCTCTTTAATAATACCAATTGGTATTGTTTTTAATATCGTTGGAAAGCCTGATTAGACACCTTTACAACGAGGTGCAACTTGTAAGTCTTGTGCATTCGTGGATTGAACAGCAAAGCTAAACGTGGGTAGCGCCCCAAAAAATTGTGCCAAAATCCCCTGCTATATTCTTCTGTTGGTAGTCTACTCACTCTTCTGTTGAGCTTCAAGTGCTGCCAGGTGTGTGCCAGTGTCATCACAGGTGTATGACTGGCACCCGATTGGTACCCAATTGACAGCACTTGTGTGCATGGGTCCTGCAACTTTGTTAAGTTTGTGTGTGCTCCAAGCATCAACATGCCTTGTTTGTCCCGTCAGGATAAGGCCCGTGCAATAGGGCAACTGGAAGCTGGTGTTCTGGTACGCAGAGTGGCAGCATTATTTGGTGTCAGCCCTGGTGCCATTTCCAAACTTAGGACCAAATTCCGTGAGACTGGTGCTTTACAGGGTAGATTTACAGGCGAGATTTGCACAACGGTACCACAGACGGATCTCTGATCAGATGGTGAGGAACAGACTGCACATGACCAGTCTTCATGCTTATAAGGCTGCCAGGTAGCCTGCAATGACTGCCCTTCACCATCAGGCCCCGTTTGTGCTGGTGTTGACAGCACCAACAGTGGAACCAAAGAATGTGGGCAAACGTCATGTTCAGGAATGAATCAAAGTTTTGTCTGCGGCAGCTGGATGGCAGGATCAAAGTATGGAGAAGACGCAGAGAATGCTTTGCTGATCGCTGCACCGATAGAGTAACATCTTTTGGTGGAGGCAGTGTGCTGGTGTGGGGTGGCATCTCCCTCACTGGAAAAATGAGGTTTGTCATCATTGGAGGCAATCTCAATACAGAGAGATATCAAGATGAAATTCTGCAACCAGTGGCAATCCCATATCTCCACAGTCTGGGACCTAACTCCATCCTCCAGGATGACAATGCTTGCCCCCGCAGAGCAGGGTTTATCACAGACTACCCCCAGAATTCGGGAGTGGAGAGGATGGAATGGCCTGCCAGCAGTCCTGACCTCAACCCTACTGAACACTTGTGGGATCAGCTTGGGCGTGCTGATAGTGCCAGAGTGACAAACACAATTGCGCTGGTTGACCTTCAACAACTCTTGGTTGAAGAATGGGATGCCATCCCACAGCAAAATGTGACCAGGCTGGTGACCAGCATGAGGAGGAGGTGCCACGCTGTTGTGACTGCGTGTGGTTCTTCGGCAGGCCACTTAGGTCCCTGACAGTGTAAAATGGCCAATATGTGTTGTTTTTTCCTTTATTACTGTGGGAGAGCGCAATCATCCAATCCACCAAGCAACTCAAAATAAGAGTGAATACCAACAGGAGAATATTGCAAGGGCACTACCCACACGTTTAGCTGTGTTGCTCATAGCACAGAAGCACAATCCTTACAAGTTATACCTTATTGTAAAGGTGACTAATCAGGCTTTCCAATGATATATACTGACACCAACCAGTAGATCTACACACCGACACCGACCAGTACATCTACACACCGACACCGATCGACAACCTTACTTTTTATAAATTTGTAGCAGGACGACCAGGAACACTGTGAGTATTTCAAACAATGATGATTCCCCACTTTTATTTTTGACAGTATCATGATCTACAGATTATTTATGAAGAGAAATATGTTGTGTAATAGTATTAGTGTAAAATGTGGTCAGAAATCTTTTTTATCTTTAGATAAACTTAAATTTAATTTTAACCACTGTACATACTGCTGGGTGGTTTAATCTACAATAAACCATTTTGGATTTTTTCAATTAATAATCTGAATATGCCAAATAAACTTAAGTAAAAAGTACACACTGGCTTCCAAATTTCAGTGGAGTTTAAGTTTAAAGGAGTATAAAATGGAAATACTCAAAAACAAAGGCTACACTGTGTGGGTGTGAGCAGCAGGAGGCAGGATTGATCTTCCTGAGCACTCAGCAGGGTTAAAAAAACTGTATCTACACCCTCCCTCGCTCCTCTGGTTGCATTACAGATTAATGTGTTGGAATAACATCCCACTGATCTCACTGTCTCCCTCCAGGAAACAAATATCTGGAAAAAACATCCCTTCACACACCCATCAGTGATGGAGACGATGAGCAGCATGGAAAGGGAAACAAAAAGTCTGGGAATCCCAGTAAATAAAGGGGGCAATCCCCCAAGGAAGGTGTGCATCATGTGGTGTTTGTTTGTAATATGAAGCGGTGAGTGTGTGTGTGTGTGTGAGATAAAACATAATGAAGGATGAAAGGATGGTGAATGTGAAACCAAACCTGCTATGAATGTGCGAGACACTGCAGAAGAAGAGACCAGGTAAGACTTGTTTTACGCCTGTTTACAATATATTTTTAATTTATTTTATTATGCAGGTCAGCAGATAAACATATATTTACTCAAGTATGGTGCTTTTTTAGGTACGTTTATCCTCCACTTAATTTGAGAGAAACATTTTTTATTTAATTGACAGCTACAATCAACAGTTATTTTCCTTATTTAAAATTTTAATGTATAAAATATTAACGTTTATTCTCGACTAGCTTTTTCCGGGTGTTTCAACCGCATCATACTGTCTTCATCAGCAGCTGATGTTTTCTCAGTCGTCATGGATCTGTTCAAGCACGTGTTGTCTTAGAATAGAAACCAGACATTGGCGCTTAACAATCCCAACTGAAATACAGTTCACTGGCTTTTACCGGAGCTTTAACCCATATTACACAGACCTCATCATCTTCTTCATCTTTTTTTTTTTTTTTTTGAAAATATATAAGAATAACATATGAAATATAAGTTCAAATCCGCACCACCTGGACCAACTACAACAGTAAAATGTCATTTACACAAAAAAATACTTAATAATAATTGTATTTAACGGGTTTGAGGGACATTTTTCTCCATTATGAGTACTTTATTTTTGATACTTTAAGTTATTTTTTTATATATATATAATGCTTGCTGGTGTGTTGGCTGTGAACGATTTGTACAATTTCAACTTGCAAGAGAAATAATATGAACAAAATATAATTAAACAAGATGCCACAACACTGTGGTAATGTTACTCTTACCGAAGCAGAACTGAAGGTTCGCACTTCAGCTTTGTCCAGAGCTCTCAACCGTATCACACAGTCTTCTTCAGTGTATTAAGTGGTTAAAATTAGGTCCAACTTAAGCAACTACTGCAGTAAAATGCTGGTTTTACAGTCAAAATCTTTACTGTTTGGTCTACTCTCACTGCTCTGTTATCCATAAAACAAACAGACACAATTAGAGACTAGCTGGTGAACATCGTGAAACCTGTAGCAGCTACAGATCCAGATGTTTCCCTCTGGCGTTGGTAGAGACCAAAACTGAGCTAAAAGGAGAGTAAATATTGTACTTGCATTCATCAGGTGGACACAAACATGACTCCAAATGAAGGCTAATGTTGCTCCATATCAACTGTTTGCTAACAAGTTCACCATATCAGTTTTATAAGGTGATATTATGTGCTGTGTTTACAGCTTGTTGTGCTGCCCCCAAGTGGCAAAAAGATGTAAAAGAATAACAGCTTTAAGAACATTTTGTTGATAAACTTTCTGTACTTTTACATGAATAAAATTTTGAGACTTTTATTTGTAATGGAATATTTTTACACTGTGATATTGATACTTTTATTTAAAGTTGGCACAGGTACTCTGGTTGTTCCAATGTCCACTATATCCATTACTGGTTATATTAACTGCAAAGAACATACAGTGATACTCTGCAGTAACTGGGCATAGCTACCGATAGCTACTGAAGAAAACAAAAGCGCTATCCTCTTCCTGTTTTGGCTGCCCAATGGCTGCAGAAGGACTGCTTTGAATGCTTCGAAGCTTCAAAGCTCAGATCATTGCCATGCTAATCTATCTAAGCACGGAAATGTTTCAATATTTTCTAAAGATGACCCACAAAAAAATTGAGTGCCAGATATGCCAGAGGAAACTGACATAGCACTAATCTACAACAAGCTTGGCAAATCACCTGAAAGCTGCAATTAACACCTTTTTGTTTAGGTATTATGGCTAATCTTACTGCGGCCTGCATTCTAACATAGTGGCTAAACATCGTTATTTTGGTGCCTCGACTAAAAACTGATGTTTCGAAAATGTGAAGCTATGATATTTGGGACAGCCCTAGTTGATGTTCTTCCTTTGTGCTGTAAACTGAGCCTTCATTTTCTTGGAGATCGTATGGGGTGGCAGACAGAACTGCACAATGAAAGCGAGATTTATAGACCAGTGATTCCCAACTGGTCCACGTTTCTCCTTATTAGTTTAAGATCCACACAGTTCATTACATTCAGTATTGCACTTCCGTTTGGCCATGTCATCAAGCTAGTTTACTGTCTTTGTCAAGTAGTTGTCTGTTAGCCACTCACTCTACAGCAGGAAATGGCACTTCAAAATAAAAGCTCTGTGCTGGAAATTCAGTGTACTTAAAAATAAAGTGTGTTTTTTAAAAACATGACACATTTGCAGGTCACTTGCAGTCCATTCAGAATGGACCCACGACCCACTTTTCGATCGTGACCCACCAGTTGGGAACCACTGTTAAGCGTTACTAATCTAAACGCTGATGGTGATTAATAATATTTGTTGTTTCATATGGCAACAAATTTGACCAGTTTTAGCAACAGTAACAAGCTGAGACGCTGTTAATTAGGAAGCACTTGTTTGAGGACATCGGGACTTAATTGTT